GTGGACGCATCCACGTCGCAATGCTTTTGCTATGACGTCGCGACGACGGCCGATGCATGCTGGGCTCGCGACGAAGCACAGCGCCGGTTTCGGGGCTGAAGGTTACACCTGCTAGCCCAAAGGCTCCATGTACCATTGTAGTGGAGACTTAAGCCTTCAAGCGGTCCCTATATAGGTACTTTAAGGACGAAGTATACACTATAGTGGTACATGGACCTTAGGGTAGCACACTCTGCAGGACACGTCTGCATGCATGTTTGATGTACTTGACCCTGTTTGCTCTCGGGCGTGGACTGCTCCGTCCACCATTCTCAAAGTCAACAACGGCTAGGCTCAGGTTGTCGGCATTGGCACTCACCTCAGCCGGTGCTGCCGACTCTACACTCGCATTGAGATGCACAAACCCGCAGCAACGGCAACAAAAGTTGGCAGAAGGCGTTGCTGGCCTCCACCTCCACGTAAATCCCAATCTCTGGCTTCTCTTTCAAGATGTCAGAGCCTGGGTAGGAATACCAATAGCGTACAGTGCAAAAGCTGAGAGCCTGAGCCCTTGAAATCTCAGACGTGGGCGGAGTCGGCAGCGGCAGTACGCAACCTGCATTCAAGCAACACCCCCCGAGACTGTACCTTACGTAAACTTTCGACCCAAACCCGTATGACATAACCGAGATCCTATACCCTGTCTATTCTATTCTTAACCTCCTGCACAACCCTACATGCCAAACCCTCAACCCCAGACCCAAACCCAAAGCCCCATGCTCCAAGCGCGGTAGTTAATATGAAGCCCTATATAGTACCCTTACGGTATACATATAATGCTGCGATGTATTACGTACAGAAACCTTTTTGCACTTGTACCTTTATGATTTTGAAGGCCTCCATAGCAACCTTAGAGTATCCTTATGGTTGTGTTTATAACTACCTTATAGCACCCCTTCAAGTAACCGGAATCCCGACAGTAATCCTCTAGTATCCCTTCTATAGGGGCCTTGATAATTGAAATAGGGTTTTGGGGTAGATTGTACTATAACTGTACTAAGGAACCCCCCAAACCCTAGTCTAATTACTAAGGCCACTACAGTAGTTGATAAATGCTTGGCACCTCGTCGGGGCTGTCGACCTTCGCGATTTCGGAGCCTGGCGGGGACGACGGCCCGAACACTGAAGCGGTTTAGGGTTTATCGGGTTCGGGGTTTAGGGTTTAGGGGTTTAGGGTTTATAGGGTTTGGGGTTTACCCTCAGGCTCCTGGACCCTTGTAGTGAGGTCCCAAACCCCAGCCCCCAAAGCCGAAACCCTCCGCCTGAAGGCCCAAGACCCAGTGCGGAGCCTCAAGGTAGTGTTCAGGGGTAAAGCCAGGCAAAGAGCCCAAACCCCCAACACCCAAGCTTAGAAACAAGACCCTGGACACAGAAAGCCTCTGCAAACCCCAGGAGCGCGAGCCCAACTTAAACCTAAGCCCCCTGACCCTGGAAGCCCCTATAAACCCAGAAACCTCTAAACCCTAAGACTGCAAGCCCCTTGATCCTGAAACCCTAAACCCTATAAGCCCCCAAACACTGGATGCCCCTTAAACCCTCCTACTCGTCGGGTATCATGGGGAACTGAAGGTTAACCATTTTAGGTTATATAGGGATTATATTGGGACTATACGACCCAAGAAAGGTTAAAGGTAGCCCCTTATAGATCCCTTTTGGAAGCCTTAAACGATCCCCTTACAGGTACCCCTGAACCCTTCCCCGGAGACTCCAATACCCCTTAATTGGGGAATATTCCTTAAATCATATTAAGGATCCTACTATAACTTAAGGTATATTCCTTAATTAAGGGATATTGGAGTCTCTGGGTCCAGCTTGAGGATGCCGCCGCTAAAGGGCGGACTGAAGGTCGGTGTTATTCTGCCTCAGGCCCAAAGGCTCCATGGTACCATTGTAGTAGATACTACATAGGGTTCTATAAGGGTTCTGTAGTAGATACTACATAGGGTTCTATAACGGTTCTATAGTAGATACTATATAGGGTTCTATACGGGTTCTATAGGGTTTAGGGTAAAGGGGTCCATGGTACCATTATAGTAGATACTATATAGGGTTCTACAAGGGTTCTATAGGGTTTAGGGCAAAAGGCTCCATGGTACTAATATAGTATTTACTTAAGCATTAAAGGGGTCCCTAGATAGGGTCCCTATATAGGTACTTTATAAGGACTACGTATATACTATAAAAGTACATGAAACCTTGGGGGGGGGGTGTAGGATTCACAGGGTTTACCTGGTTTAGGGATGCAGGGCCTCGTATATGGATTTGGTGTAGGATATGTAGGGATGTATCGGGGTTTAGAGGGATTGAGGGTTTAGGCATTCAGGGGTTTAGGGTTTAAAAGGATAGGGGTTTAGGGTTTCAGGGATTTTGGGGGTTGCGCGCCTAGGGACTTAGCGATTCGGATTTTTTTTTTTTTTTTTTTTTTTTTTTGGGGGGGGGGGGGGGGGTTGGGGGTTTAGGTTGCAGAAGTTATTTAAGGGCCTCGAGGATTCCATCACGGGCTCGGGCACCGCATGAATGAAACGCAGAGTTAGGATATGTAAGAGATACTGCACAGAAGCATCTATATCTATATATATATACATATAAATATAAATATAGATATAAATATAAATATAGATATAAATAAATATATATATATATATATATATATATATATATATATATATATATATATATATATATATATATATATATACATACATACATACATCTACGCACATCTCACCCCATCTGTCTGTGCTGTTCTTCCTCCGTCCGTCTCTTAGTGGGCATAGCGCAAGTTGGGGTCGCCACGGAACTTCGCACAGCGCGCCTGTGGGCGAGCGCAGGCATAGGAGGAGGAGCTGATGGTCGGCTCTGATGGGTGTAATCTACTGACTACTTGGAGGATCATAGGACTTCGTAAATCAGGTTTAGCGCTCCTTTAATAAGGGTACTATAGGGTTCTATAACAGGGTTCCTTAAAGGGATCTGTAGGGGTTCTATAATGGGGATCATGGGACTTAGTAAGTCAGGTTATCAGTACCTTAAGTGGGCTTATAAGTGGTTATAAGTATAGTTACCTTATTTATAACCCCAGTTTCTAAGTCCCATGATCCTTTAAGTACTAGAGGAGATGGCTGCCAGGTATTGAGGGATTGCTATCAGGGGCTACTATAAGGGGTTATATAGGGACTACAGTATGGGAGCAGGGTTTGAGAGTTTACGGCTGTCCCACGATGATTCCAAGATGCCACTACAGCTTTTTGCCCTTTGCCGGTTTGTACTGACACTGGTGTCCCGCAGAAGCCACAGCCCAAAGGAAACGACTGTAAATAGCTACACCTCGAAACTCGTACGAGCAAAAGTCCTAAACTCCTTGACTCCACACCTTGAGCACAGTATAAACTGCATCAAACCCGAAACGCAATGCCAAAAACCATACAAGACGAAAACATAACGAAACAATCAAACACAAACAAGATCGGCAACAACCAGATAAACACCATGAGCCTCGAGCAAAAAATGACAAGGCCTACAGACCATGAACACTCTACAAACACGGTAGCCCTACAGCACATAAGCCCCTAGCCCGTTAGCCGTAATTAGCCGCAAACCAAATCCCCCGAACCCCCAAACGGAACCAAGACCCGCTTCAAGATCCGAACCGGCGCTACTGTAGGGGGAGCCCGACGGCCTTCCAGTTCTCGGCGCCACAGGCCTGTCAGCTGGTTCGGCGTCGAGAGCTTGAGCTTCTTGGAGGGGGGGGCGGGGATGAGGGGTTTAGAGTTTGGGGGTTCAGGGTTCGGGTTCTATTCGTAATCTGGAGGTTTGGTGTCGAGCTTTGTCGGGGGTGGGGGGTTGAGTTTTTCTCTGGTGCAGGGCCATGCTTCGAGCTTCAGGTTCGTGTGTTAAGACCGTGGGAGAGAGCTCTTGGAAAGGAGTCGTAAGGATGTAGCGGCTTAAGATGGTGTAAAGGTTTATAGGGTATAGGGCTTGAAGTTTAGGCAGCACAAACTGCTCTCAGACTTTACCTGCTGTTCCGGGCTTTCGGCTTCGCTTAGGGAGACGAAATAGACGCTTCGACTCTGGAATTCAGAGCACATCCTTGGGTTCTGGAAGTCCCGGACAAGTAAGGACCACAGATTAGGGCCCAAAAAAGCACATAAGCAAAAAAAGGGCAGGGATATCCCATATAAACCCCCTTAACAGGAAGGCCAATAAGGTAGGGATATCCCATTAAATGCTTATGTTTATGTGCTTTTTGGGTCCCTAACAGATTGAATGCAGCTCTGCTTGTAGCTAGAGTGGCGACATGGTTAGTTTTCGTCATGGTAGTATCATCACTACGATAGCCACAGCTTCGTTAAGTGCAGGATGTACAATACGAGCGGTATGAAACTCACTTACTGACATGACTGCTAGGCACGAGCATACCTTCTGGCAATACCACTATTTTTTACAATGAGAGGAGCAAGAATAAACAGTAAGCTTCACAATTATGTCGGGAGGCAGCAATTTCAGATCTCAGGGCTTATAGGCTCCTCAAGTTATGGAACAATGACAAGGCCGGCCACCCGAATCGAACTGGTTGTAGCCTGGCTGGCGCTCAGCCATGCTGGATCTCCCGTGTCTCTTGCAGTACAGCAGGGCCCGTTGTTGGGTCCGCCTGGTCCTCCAATCTACGAGGACGAAACAGCTGGTACCTAATGGCACGCGTGCGTGACGCAATAGGTTTGTACTAGTTTGTACAGTGCAGCACTGCGTACCTGACAAGGTCAAGCAGCAGATTGCCAAATTTAATTGCAGCACATGTCGGTTCGAGGGATGGGTGCAAGCGGTTCTCATTTCTCGGCAGGCTCTTCCATGACATCCCAGGACTCGACGTGTCCAGAACCGCAGCGTCTCTTCGGAAAATGCATCATCTGCCCTGCGGGCCGGAAAACCCTGATGACGTCCGAGACGGCGGGAAAAACAACTCAACCTCGGATACCAAAGAGAAGCCGACAGCGCATCAAGCGCGGCCAGTCATCTTCAGGCCAATTGGCCACGATGTCGCCTCGGTCTTTGACGAGCCAGAGCTTCCAACCCCCCGTAATTGAAGGGTAGACCCTAAACTGCAGGAGACCGAATAGTTCGAAGTCGACGCACCTGGGGTGTGGGAGTCTCTGGGTAGAGCAGGAGTCCTCTGCAAGAAATGCTCGGCTGATTCATGTGAGTAGTTCTCTAAATTAGGGTCCCCTTTTGGATCCCTATAATACGGCACCTACAATTTAGGGTACCCAAAACCCTAAACCCTAAACCAGAAAGGGATCCTAATTTTGACAACCACCCAGGTAAAAAAAGCTGCAGCCCAAGCAGCCGGAGACCTCGTGGATGACTCCATCGATCTCGACGTACCTGCCGACATATGGGAGTTTTCGAAAACGAGGGGTACCTTATTTTGGGGTCCTTATAATAAGGATCATACTATTTAGGGTACTACATTAGGGTCCCCTATTTTCGGAAACTCTCATATCTGGCGGTCAGAGCAGACATCCTCAGCATCACCACTTCACTGCTGCATCCTCTGCGCCTCACCAACACCCTATAAACCCTAATCCAGCCCGACAGCCTCGAATCGGGTCTCACTGGGCGCTGGACGGCCTGGAGGCTTTGCAGGAACTCAGTGCAACATCAGACAGATGGCTAGGGCTTCTAAACCCCGGGTCCCAACTCAAAAGCTCCAGCCCTATCAGAGTCCCAGCTTCGAGATGCTCGCCACTGCGATTTCGCCGCAGGTGTGGAAGGAGTACTGGTTGGGGTCTGGGGTCTTGGAAACTTGCCCTTGGGGAGTTAATCTAGGGGCCATAATAATTAGAATAGGGTTTTGGGGTATATTATACTATAAATACAATAACGAACCCCCAAAATAGTATAGGTAATTATTAAGGCCCTATATTGCCCCCATCCATGAATGAGACCATGGTGGAATGAGCTTCCAAAGCAAAGTCGAAGGTGCCTTTCGGTGTCTTGGCTGCCTCGCCTAAGACCACAGAGTACCTAGAACATCAACAGTACTACTAACACTGACAGAGTTCTAATTACTCGTATTCATATACATATATACATACAATGTTAGACATATGTATGAACGTATGTATATATATATATATATACACACATGTATATGGATCTGTCACATATGTATATGTATCTGTCTGTCTGGCTGCCTGTCTGTCTGCCTATCTATCTATCCATCGATCTCCATCTCTCTGTCTCTCTCTCTCTCTCTCTCTCTCTGCATGTACATGTATAGATCTAGAAACGTACATGGTTATATGCACACCCATATTCGCCAGACCCTAGACCCCAAAGCTCAAGCCGTTCTCCGACCGTCATGGCCTCAACTTTAAACTCCGCACCCGCAGCTCTGTCAACCTTAAGCTGGCCCCCACGCGGTTCAGTGAACGAAGTATGTGGGATTTAAGAAAAATTTAGGGTTTGGGGCAGAGTAGGTTACAGTCCATACATGACGATGGTATGGTAACCCATGACATGGGTACGTGGGCTTCCAAGCCGAGGTAGACCCAGTAGCCACAGCCTCCTGCTGGATGGCTGGCACCGGCTCCCAATCTCCTCATGCGCCAATAGGAGTTCAGCATTTAGGGCAGTGGCAAGGTTTAGGAGTTGGGCTGGTAGAATGTAGGGTTCTTGGTTAGGTGTGGGTTGTTGGTTGGGGTTTAGAGCTTGTTACCAGGTTGTGGGCTTAGGCTCGCATATGGATCCAGGATTCCAGGATTTTTGAGATTACTTACGTAGGTTCAATCTAGGATTCAGCCGTTGAGACTTGAAGCTTCAGACACCCTGAACCCTAAACGATAAACGAACCCGACCAACAGCACTAAACTTTGTTTTCTCATACTTCGTTAGCATACGACATTTACACGGTAAAGTAGGATGCAATGTCATCATGTATGCATCTCTCTATGTCTTCACACAAACAAACTATGTGTATTATATACATATACCAACACCTATATTTACATATTATGTGTTATGGGTCTACTATGTACCGCATGCCTGCAAGCATGCACTCTCAGGCACACACACACACACACACACGTGCCCGATTTGCCCATCTGTTTGTGCGATTATGTGAATTATGTAGTCTTGCGTCATAACCGGCTCTCTCGAACGAGCTTGTTCTTCAAACGGCAGCTCGAAGGGAGCATCCCGCTGGCTTGGGTTTGCCAAATCAGGCATGATTTGGGGACATCCACGCTGGGCCATATCGAACCAAGTGTGGCTATCATCGCACTGGTAAAGACAGTGCGCAGAGAGGGCTGCGTCCATCTCAGAGTACAAGGAGTAGCCTTGCATTGCCTAACCGTTTTTAGCCCCCCCGCCCCCCCCCCTAAACCCTAAACCCTAAATCCAAACCCTAAGCATTCAGTCTCCATCAATGTGGGCTGCTACGGCGGCACAGCATCGAACCCAGAATGCCCCTAAGCCCTCAAGCCTCCATACTCCAGACTCTCCTCAAACCCCACAAGCTGAATATTGAACTAATAGTAATAGTAATAGTAATAGTAATAGTCATAGTCATAGTCATAGTAATAAAAATAGTAATAGTAATGATAATACTAATAGGAACTGTACCCTTCTAAGCCCCAAGCCGGTTCTAAAGCCTCAGCCCTTAGCCCGACTGCCCGGGTCCTTGGATAACGGTGTTCTGGCCTTAGAGCGAACTCTGCGAAACCATCTCGCCAAGCGAACACATGTTCCCCCTAGACACTATACACCCAGGGCCCGAAACGAGCGAAAGATGTGACTAGACCCTCAAGCCCTTAACCTTACACCTTGGTGATAGTCGTGGTTGCGGTAGCAGCGTAGAAAACAGCACCTAAACAAAGGTCTTGCTTGAAGGGATAGGTTCAGTATTGTGAATCAACACGGTACATGTGCTAAGCAGTCTGAGGATCCCACCGTCGCTGGCCTTCCCTGTTCCTGGGTTGATTTTGGAGTTTCAAGTTCCGTTTCAGAGTCAGGGTTAATTAAGCTTAAGGGCAGTTTAAGGGACCCTCACAACTATGTCCGGATAGATACCTCTACAAGACTAGAAGGGAAATTCAACATAAAGAAGCATCCCAATTTTCACCGTGGCTCTGGCGGGTAACTCCCAGTCAGCTGCTTTGGCTCCATCTTTTGCCTGGAAGTAGCCACCTCTGGGCGGAGACAATGAGTCCAATGGATGAAGGATCCCTTACCCTAAACCCCTAAACCCCTTAACCCTAAACCACCTTAACCCCTAAACCCGAAACCCCTAAACCTGAATCGCTAAACCCTCCTAAACCCTAAACCCTCCTAAACCCTAAACCCGAACCCCTAAACTCTACACTTTACAGGATTTCGAAGCTTGCTCCCAAGGCGCCCAGTAAGGATTGAGGGCAGAGAGGGTCAAAAGCTCCATTATCAGCGATTCCACCAACGATTGACGACTAAACTCAAAAATGTTCAATGAATAACTGTAGAAAAACCATCATAATTGATCTCAACATTACATCGACATCCTGAGAAAAATAACGACGAGGAAGGCACACAGTTCTTTTATCGAGGCGGCCTTGTGCGTTCAAGATGTCATCGACCGGCACGGAGAACTTGTAGCCCGCTGGTGCATATCTCATCTCTGTCTCGCCGGCCTTTATGCGCTTAAGGGTCTACATTCACCCATTCGTGCATTATTCATTCAGGTCATTCATTGATTCATAATTACAATCACTCACTCGTTCAGTGAGTTCGTCGGTCCGTCAGTCAGCTGGCCAGTCCATTCATTCGTTTGTTCTTCAGCTCATTCAATTTGTTCTCTCACTCGCTCATGCATTCATTCAGTCAAAAAGTCCGTCAGCCAGAAAGGCAGGCAGTCATCCGTTCATGCCCCAAATCGTTCAACTTGTCCTGTCACCCTCTCATAAATTCATTCATTCATTTATCCAAACCCGTGACAAGCAACCCCCCTATCACTTCGGCTGAGCTCTCTGTAAGGGCAGGAGCACACAATCTCAGGGAAAGGTTGTGTGCTCCTGCCCAGCAAGAATGTGGGAAGACGGGCGCATCGAATGTCTTATTCACATGTCTTGTTGCTCAACCGCCCCAGCAATGTCAGAAACCTACGGTTGTTGTCGCCCTGATCGCGTCACGTTAGGTGGTGCGTTCGCGGGATGATTCACAGGTGACGGCATTTGCTTGCGTGTTCGAGCGAGTGTTTTCATCCTGGCAGAGGTTAATCAATCTGGCATCTTCCGAAGAACTGCTTCGCTGCTTTGCGAGATTCCTTAATGCTGATGGACAGAGACTTTTGCAGGCTGCGATGAAGCTTAGTGGTGGGCTTTTGTTTTTAGTCCGGCGAGAGGCTGTGGTTATGTCTCCGACCAATGCTGAATGCACGCCAGAATTACGCGCGACCAAGCCGCAAATGCTCCTTGTAGCCTTCAGAGTTGTGGTTGGGCATGACTTCGTACACTTAAAGTTGTGTTTTTTCTTGTTGTCCTGCATGATGAGTGAATTGAAACAGCTGTGCAAGCAAAGCTACCTTGGCGAAGTTGATGCATTCGGGAGTTGCGAACCTGATTTAGTTTAATCCGACACCGAAGTAGCGTTGTAGCTGTGCACTCTACAGTTGAACATATAATTAGTTCATCCTTCCTTAAGGTTGCGTCGATCTTGTACAGCCGACCCACTTGGAGACCACCCCCGGAGGCGGGATCCTGCCGCGCACACGGCAAGATTTTTCTCCGCCGGGCCCTCCTTGCCTTCGCCTCCAATTCGCGATGCAATTCTTGATTCTTGCCGCTCATCGTCTGGACCTCTAGACTCTAGCTGCATGAGTTTCTTCCGCCTTTCCTTTTCGACAACCTCCTCCGACGACGTGATCGGGAGGGCAGTCCTCAAGCTGCTCCATCAGAACCAAACGATTGGATCGGCAAAAAAGCAGTTAACATTGACACTCTGAAACCTGAGCCTCTCTCTCTCTCTCGCTCTCTTTCCCTCTGTCTGTGCTTCAGGTGATGCAAGCCTTCTCGAGAAACTCCCTGGTCCACTTTTGAGAGGCAGCAAATACTGAGAAAAATCCGATCGTGAAGCTGTAAACTTGAGAGAGCAGCGCGGGGCCTCTTCTTGGGGCTCATGCGTCTCGCAACAGACGTGCTCATTCTTAAGCTTCCAGGTGCCATAGTGCTGCTCGCCCTGCGATGACCTTTCGTGCTTGTGGTACGGGACCCTGATACAGTACCCCTAAATCCTAAATAGTAGAATCCTTATTATAAGGACCGCCCAAATGAGGTACCCCCTTTTTTCGGAAACTCCTAAACCCTAAACCCTTTATAGAACCCTTATAGATCCCCTTATAAGGAACCCTTACTTAATCCCTTTAAAGGGTACTTATCCCTAAGGGTCCAAGTACCTAATTATCATATACTCTCCAAAATTAGTAACCTCCATAACTACCATCTTAAAACCGAGTACCTAATTATTGGGCCCTTTGGACTCTTAGGGTATTTTTTGGACCCCGAAAATGAGGTACCCAGAGACTCTAATATCCCTTAATTAAGGAATATACCTTAAATCCTATAAGGGATCCTACCATAATTTAAGGAATATTCTTAATTAAGGGATATTGGAGTCTCTGGGTACCGCTCGGTACCCCATGGCCATCCCAGTGCAGCCGAGGCACCACGCATCAAAGGTTCTGGTCCAGGCCAGCCTGGCGACGCCCCAAAGAGCGCCAGGGATGGGAGAAGAAGAATAACTACATTTCAATAGTAACAGAACAGTAATAAGAATAGTGGTAATAATAGTCAGAATACGAATAGTAGTAGCAGTAATAACAATAATAGTAACAATAAGGTAATAGTAAGATGAACCACGCAGACATGCTGTCTGGTGCAATCTCCCGGGCCTGTAGGTTCCGTCGCGGAAAAACTGAAAATTGAACCCAACACTTTCCTGCCAGGAGCATAGACTTCGAGAGCGATTTGCGCTGCCACTTTCAGGTGTCTGCGCCTCGAAGTCTTCGCCCAAGGGGCGAACAACATTGTAGCCTGGAGAACTTTCACACAGGGCTCCTCCTACAGCACGGTGCCGCGTTAAAGTACCACAATCCTTTAACCTTGGGCACCGGCAAAACCCATGATCCGGCACAACCCCGCGCTGTCTGTGTGATTCATATTGTTGTTATTACTACTATTCGTATTATGATAATTATGACCATTATTATTATTACGATTATTGCTCTTAAAATGTAGTTATTCCCTAGTCTCAAAATACAGCTCAAGATGCGCACACGGAACACCAGTAGATGCTGCTCAGTGGCAATATGTCAGCTCGTCCTGAGCCTTCAACCGTTGATGAAAGCCTCGCAGGGGCGGCCCTTGTACTGAACAACAAAGTTATATGACCAGCACAAGAAAGGCAAGTGGTAGAACACACCGACACCATGTCATCACCATCGTCATCGTCAGCATCATCGTCGTCATCGCCATCATCATCATCATCGTCATGACCATCGTAGTAATGCTATGTCCCAGTATATAAGGACAAACCACATCAACAACCTTGATGCAAGCAGTCGAGACATTGACACCCCAGAGCCGTCTGGCTTGTCTCAGAGCCAGTGGACAATTCCCGAGGCGACGTACAGCGGGCTTTATGGCTTTACGGGGTTTACCTGTTGCATTAACTACGGCTTTTGGGTTCTTGGATTGTGCTTGTAGGTCAACAAGGATGCATCACAGTGGCTGCGACAGTCTGGAATGCCACACTGTGCAGAGCAAACCAGATACTTCAAGACTTAAGACGGAGATGCACATGCGATTGAAGATGAAAGCATAGTGGCACATAGCTAGTCGAAATGTGGACAGCAAGCAAGAACAACAACGAGCGAACCGACGATTTTACCTCCACTCCAGCCCGAAACGCGGCGGCCATAAGCAGATCAGTGCCCACACAGCAGGCGCAAGCCGCCATAGCGAATATGTAATCAGCAGATCTCCAAATCCTGCACGAGCGGGCGAAAGAATCCAACAAGCAATGTTGGTTCAACATGATAAATGGTGGCGAAAATGCGGATGCTGACAATGACGGCCAAACCTGGCAGATGTAACAAACATACGAAGCAAGAGATTACTGGTCACCATAGCACAAAGATGTCAGCAAGTAGACAGTTACACCAAGCATTCTATAGTGCCCTGACTGCATCGAAATTGGTGCTAGAATAGGAACATAAGAACATTCCACAAAGCAAGCCAAGGTCAGTGAAAGGACGAACGATCGGAGCAGTGCCGGCATCCAGGACAACTGCATCAACCATAGTAGCAGCAGTGAGATCACCCATGTCAGGAGGACAAAGATGAACAACAAATCGTGCCAGCTCCTTCATAGCAATCAACAACGAAGCGATGGTAGCCCCTTAACTTTGAGGCTCGCACGGATACAGGTGTCGAGCTTCAAGCTGTCGTAGAGGAAGTGCTTCCAGGGTTTACAACTCACGCAGGCCTTTGGCTCGGTTGCATACCTCGGAGGAATCTCTGGAAGCTATGAGGAAGTGGGGCTCCTTTGAGCAACCTGCTGTGGCTGCAAGCCCTAAACCCTAATTAACAGCTAAACTCCTTAATCTACAGCTGCTGCGGCGTGTGACAAGAACTTGAGCCAACGCTCGTTCGAAAGCTACGCCCCTTCTGCTTAGGTTTACGGTTTAGGACGAAGTGTTTTGTCTATGGCTGCATTTGCTGTGTTGATGCTTACAACGGGTTGAGTCGGCACTCATTGCAGCGCTACTGTAGCTGCTACGAATCAGCAGCCTCATTGTTGTTGCTAGTATAATCCTCGTTTCTGACTGTTGTGCTCTGCTGCTCTTCTGGGTGCACAACAAACTTTGCAACGCTTCCATGGCGCTCGGCGTAAGGACAAGGTGACAAGAATCAGCACGTCCTCTAGATTCTAGTCTTCGGCCGGCATCTCACTTGCAACGCTGCGGCGCTGTTAACCCTAAACCATAAACCCTAGGGTGCTGGCCAGGTTGCTCCAAGATTCTGGCCTCAGGTACAATGCGACTGAAGGGGCGGCTTTTCAATGGCTTTTAAAGCACTTACCTAGACCCGAAACCCTGCAAACCCTAAACCTTAAACCGATTGAAGGCCTAAGTTGATACTCTCTTGGGGCTCCTGCGGCTCCACGGCAAGAAAGAATTCTCTGTTCTTACTTGGCTTCTGTGGTAGGGTTTAGGGTTTAGGGTTTTTGTTTCTTGTGACGAGAGGGAATAGCACGGGTTACTGAGTCAAAAATCCGCTGAATCCGCTGACGATCATTACAGTTCGTGTGGTCAGAGTCACGGTTTATCATAACTGGTACCAGTCAACACTGAAGAAACTGAGACCCCCGCATGAAGATCCTGAAGCGGGCATTCATTGGGGTTTATTTTTTTGTTGCTTTCGGGGCTTTGCGGCGCATTTCGCAGGGGAAATAGTGGGGCTCAACAGCAGCTCCGGCAGATGCTCTAGGCCAAAGGAGGCTCGGTGCCTCAGCTTCGGGTCATGCGGGACTTTTAGAGAAAAGTACGCTACAATGAGATCTTGGTTGCAACGCCCGCCCCTTCCATGTGGGACCAAAGGGTCTTCAAGTTGGAGTCTAGGCCGTCAACTTTCGGCTCTAGGTCTTGGGGTTAAATTTTAAGGCTTCGGGAATTTAAGGTTTGTAGGGCTTTTGGGGTTTAGGGTTTTCGGGTTTGGGGTTTTAGGGTTTACGGATACACACCCAAAAAGCCTCCAAAGTGTAGAAGATCGCAGTGATGGCACAAGGAGCACAACGAAACACATGTCCGCAGAGACTGCACCACCAAAGAATTGAATTCGGGGAGTACTGAGTACTGCTAGAATTATGTTCAACAGTCTTTTTGCTTTTGAGATCATCATCATTATTGTTATTCGTATTCGTATGACGACGAGAAGCTGCTGCGCATCCTGCGCCTACTACTACTGCTACTGCTGCTGCTGCTGCAGCTGATACTACTAGTAGTACTACTAAAACTACTACTACTACTACTACTACTACTACTACTACTACTACTACTACTACTACTACTACTACTACTACTACTACTACTACTACTACTACTACTACTACTGATACTACTACTACTACTACTACTACTACTACTACTACTAATAATAATAATAATAATCATAATCATAATCATAATAATTAAATTTCATGATAGTAATTGCCGGCAGGTCTTCTATTGAGAAAGAGTATCTATAACATGTCTCTTTCGTGCCTCGCTGAGCTGAGGCGGCCCCATGGCTCTGCCCATGGCTTTGCGCGTACGGAAACCTACAGAGCTCGGGGAGCCAGGCACGAGCCGAAAGGCCAAAAGGCAAGCACAGTAGAAAGTATATGGGAGTTTCCGAAAATGAGGGGTACCTTGAAAGGGATCCTTTTAGGGTTCCTTAAAGGGATCTATAAGGGTTCCATAAAGGGTTTAGGGTTTCCGAAAATTAGGGGTACACTAAACTTTGGGTCCTTGTTTTTAGGATCCTACTATGTAGGGTACTGCATTAGGGTCCCCTATTTTACCGATGACTTAGGTCCCTCCTGCACCAGACGGTTCTTTTTGGGAGCTTGGGGCGGTTTGGGGTTCGTATGGGGTTCAGTTTGGGGTGAACATTAGCGCTCCGATCGTTGTGAGATATGATCATGTACCTGGTAGTGCAACACCACCATCTGTCCTCTGAGGCTCTGAGGGGAAGTGGTGTACGACAGACGAAGTCTGAGGCATTGGCACAAAGGGTTAAAGTGCGTGCAGGGCCGCCCCAAACGAAGTCTGTGCGCGTATATATATATATATATATATATATATATATATATGTAAATATGCAGACACAAATGCGTTTGGTCAGCCTCGCGTACTCATCACGACACAGCCTGAAGCTTGAATCTTCTTCTGTGCTTCTTTCCTTGCTGCTCATACCGAGCTTTTCGCCTTCCTGTTTCTGCTGTATGCGCAAGTTTCAAAACCCTAAACCCTAAACCTCTATACCCATCCAGCACCAGCACCCCTGAATCCTCAAGCCTGAATTTGAATCCTGAGCTACAGGTAAGTGTGGGGACTCAGTCCACATCGGATCCGAAACCCGAAACCCTAAACCCTAACCCGCACCTTAAAGAGCTTGAAGCCACCCTCATCGATCTCCTTAGCAACCGCGGGTTCAGGAGTTCGGCTTCGGCAGGAGGCTGTCGTTGACTACTATAGGGGCCTTAATAATTAGAACAGGGTTTTGGGGCCCATTATACTATAATTGTAATAGGGAACCCCACAAATAGTATATAGGCAATTATTAAGGCCCCTATATTATACAGATGGTGTTGAGCCCCTAAACCCGAAACCGTGTTCTGAGCGACGACGGCTGTCAGCGCGACGATCCAGGCATTGCTCATTAAATGGCAGGCTTACGATATTCACTGCGTGTGCTTCACTGCCCATTGAAGGTGATGTTTCGCGACCACCCAGACCCAAAGCGGCATCTGGACAAAACACCCAACCTCCAATCAAAATCTCAATTCAAATTCGTAACAATGAATTGAGGTCCCCTTGTCAGGATCCCAGTTTGGGACCCCTCCCCACCCAAGCGTACATCCTGTAGGCCTAGGATCGACACCCCGGGAGCAACCTGAGACTGCTGCCATGCCGAAGAATGTCTGCAAACCGACATGGTGCCAAGGCCTGCTACAGGTTTAGGGATAGGGGTTAAGGGTTGCCAAGGCCTGCTAACGGAGGGAGGTACAGTACTGGGGTTGACCGTCTTTCCGTCTCGGGATTTAAACCTTGGGGTTAATGGAAGGTGCGTCCTTGTTCCTGCAGCTGACTCGCACCGCACAGCGATGGCTTTGCGATTCCGCAACGTCGAAATGACATGTTCGCATGTTCTCTGGGTAGTCGAAGACTTCTCCACCTGCATCGCGCCAGCAGCCTAAAACCATGCAACCGGAAACCTGCAGAGCTCTTCGCCCACCCGACCCTGCAACGCCGGCATGCTGCGGAAGCTGGGCAACGCGCCCTTCTTGTACATTGTTCAGCCGCCGGAACAGCCTTCGAAGCAACGTGGGTGCAGGAAAACACACGTTATGGCAGCATCAGCAGCCGATGCGGCAGCAAACGTCGTGGCAGCGGCAATGGTGAAGGGAGAGAGACTGGACACTTCAGGAGGAATCTTATTAATCAACTACTACAGTAGGAGGACAGCAGAAGAAATAGCAGCAGCAGCAACAATCGTGATGGTGGTGGTGGTGGTGGTGGTGGTGGTGGTGGTGGTGGTGGTGGTGGTGGTGGTGGTGGTGGTGGTGGTGGTGGTGGTGTGGTGGTGCGGTGGTGTGGTGGTAAGGTGGTGCTGTTGGTGCTGGTGCTGGTGCAAGTGAGTGGTGGTGGTCGTGGTCGTGGTGGTGGTGGTGGTGGTGGTGGTGGTGGTGGTGGTGGTGGTGGTGGTGGTGGTGGTGGTTGTGGTTGTGGTGGTGCTGTTGGTGCTGGTGCTGGTGCTAGTGAGTGGTGGTGGTTGTGGTGGTGGTGCTGCTGCTGCCGGTGGTGGCGGTGGTGGTAGTGATGGTGGGGGCGGCGTTGGCGGTGGCGGTGGTTGTGGTAGCAGCAGCAGATGTTGGTGTGTTGTTGCTGTTTATGCTGCTGTGGTTTTATTGCTGCAGTCATCACCAATTACCATTATTTTCTGCTTGCAGTTGTGGATGTCGTTGTCGTTCCAAACAGCCCCTGCGGAAAATGAGTCGGCACTACGCATTGACGCCGAAAACTCAAGCCTCTAGCGGTTCCTAGAGGATTGAAAGAATCAGGCTTCGCCCTTGCCTGCATGCTCTGTCCATCCGCCCCAAAGAGCGCGTGTCCAAGAACTGAGCAAGCCCGACGATCAGTTCAAGGCAAATCTGTAGCACAATGGATACTGCTGATGCTGCTCAGATGGGGTATGACGAGACAGGCATCCTACGATCGCAACTTTTTCTGTATTCCGCAGGAATCAAAGACTTTATCCACAAAACCTGCTAGCAGTACATGCGCTACCTGGTTAAGCAGTTCAGACCTTTTCGTCAAGTTCGCGGGCACACCGCAACGGCGGAGAGGGGCTCGGATTCAAATCTCCAACACGAGCTACTTTGCAGCCCTGATCCTCTGAACCCCAAACCCTGAACCCTAAACCGCAAACCCTTCCCTGAACCCTAAACCTTCAACCCTAAACCCGTAAACCCTCCGTCCTTCCTGTTACTGGCACAAACTATGATTACACTCTGCTTATGCAAATATCATGATTGACATTACTATCCTTGCCATGGATATCAGTATAACGAATATCAATTGAGCACCTATTATGGGGGCTTCCGAAGATAGGGGATCCTACTATAGTGCCCTAAATAGTAGGATCCTTACTATAGGGACCCCCCAAATCCCAATAATCTCGGAAACCCTAAACCCTTTATACAACCCTTATAGATACCTTTAAGGAACCCTTAAAGGATCCCTTTAAAGGTACCCCCCCCCCCCCCCAATTTTCGGAAACCCCCTTATGAAAGTGACGAAGGATCAGGCCCCGGGCTGCAGCGATGCCCCCGTAAGGGCCGTCGGACAAGTTTGCGAAGGGGAAGGGGCCGTGGGTTGCGCCTGCTCATGCCATCGGGGCCTTAACAATAAGAGTAGGGTTTGGGGGTATATCATAACAGGAACCCCCCCCAAATAGTATTGGTAATTATGAATAATAGAGGCCCCTATATTATCCTTTAGGGTTTGGGGTTTTGTGCTTGTGAGGCTTGGGGTTTAGGGCGTTCAGGGTTTTGCGGGTCTACGGGCTTTGGGATTTTTGGGGGGTTTGGGGTTAGGGTTTGCTCTTTCGGTGATGTTAGGAGTTCAGGATAGTGGAGGGTTGCAGAGGTATTGAACTTTCATGGTGAAGAAGACCTAAACAATACTTTCCTACCCATAGGCCCCAAAGTAGTTCCTTTTTGGGATTACCTTATAGGATTCGAAATATGAACCCCAAACAGGAACTACTTTGGGGCCTTAGGTTAAACCCTACACCCCGTTCGGAGGGCTTCCTTCAACCAACTCGACTGCAAAGCTCAGGGACCTTCCGATGAAGACTCTCCAGGCACCTGCATCAACAGCTTCCGTGGGAGGACAAGGCCGACCTCGCATTGGGCCGATTTCCCTCAGAGTAACCCGGGCTCGGGGCTGCAACTACAAGAGGTAGAGGCATTTAATTAATGATTAGAATGAGGCTTTGGGGTGTGGTATACTATAAATGTAATTTAAAATAAGGAACCACCAAGATAGTAAAGGTAAAAGAGGGAATAGTGGTAACCCTTATGGCAAGCTGTTCGGAACCGGTTCCGGGTTTGAGGCCTAGGGGACACAGGGAGTACGGGGCTAAGATTAAAGGCTTTGGGATTTTTACGATAGACGTTATGATAGGCTTGAGGCTACAGGTCGAGAAGTGCTTCGCCGTGCAGGGGCTTCCTGGTTGTAGATCCTACAGGGGTTCCCTTGGATTCTGGCATGGTGCATGCTTTGGGTGTAGACTTTTCGGGATCTAGGTTTCATTTTTTTTGGGGATCATCAGGTTCAACTGCCTCTTCTGCGACTTCATTCCTAAACCCCTAAACCCCTGAACCCTAAACCCTAAACCCCTAGACCCTAAACCCCTAAACCCCTAAACCCCTAAACCCCTAAACCCCTAAACCCTAAACCCCTAACCCTGAACCCAGTTCAGCGCCGAGCTGAAAGGCGCGGCGATGGCGCGCCTCGCGACCTTTTCGGGACATCGGCTGAGCTTGGAGGGTTTAGGGTTTAGGGGTTTAGGGGTTTAGGGGCTTAGGGGTTTAGGGGTTTAGGGTTTAGGGTTTAGGGGTTTAGGGGTTTAGGGTTTAGGGGTTTAGGGTTTAGGGTTTAGGGGTTTAGGGTTTAGGGATAAGGGTGAAGGCGAAATAACCCAAAAAAGCAGGGGCCCCATGCCCATATACTATGAATCCCTGTATGGTATATGAACCTTAAACCCTTTTAGGCGAAATACAGTGAATTCCAGAAAGTTGGAACATGGATTTGGGATGATTGGTGCGGGGATTCCCTATACTTTACAGTACGGTTATGAGGACCTTTCTGGCTTCTACGGTAATGGCCCCAAACCTATAAAGGGCGATTATTCTGCATACTTTTGAGGTCCAGGTAGAGCTTTGTTCAGGACTTCACATGGGGGTTTCCGAAAATAGGGGACCCTGATATAGTACCCCAAATAGTAGGATCCTTATTATAAGGACCCCTAAATAAGGTATCCCTATTTTCGGAAACTCCCACATGCTGCGGTTAGCGTAGCGGATCTGGAACCCTGGGCGCTTCAAACGGGGTTTTGGGGGCTGTAAGGGGTCAGTACCCAGAGACTCCAGTATCCCTTCATTAAGGAATATTCCTTAAACTATGGTAGGATCCCGTATATGATTTAAAATGTATTCCCTAATTCAGGAATATATTGAAGTCTCTGGGTAAGCTTTGCATTCTTAGGGTGCTCGGTTCAGGGCAGGGAGGGGCCCGCAGGACTCCAGCCCTAAGGACTTTGCGGAGCAAGGAACGCACATTTCTCGGTGGCTCGATGCCTCCTCGCACAAAAGAAAACAACACTCAACAGAGAATAACCAGGCGTCTGGTAAACCCTAAACCCTAAGACCCCTAAACCCCATAACCTCTAAACCCTGAATAAACCCCCTCAAACCCTAAACCCTAACACCCCCAAACCCTAAAAATATCAAGGCATCTGGTAAACCCTGCAGGCCTCAATCCGAATTCCCAACCACACGGAACACGGACCTTTCGGGTCTGCGATGTCGTTGAGAGCGACAGCGATAAGCGTCGGCGCCTGAGTTGCCGACCGGAGTTTTGACGGTTCAGGGTATTAGTATCTGATACGGTGTTCGTCAAATTTAGGCTTGTGCATGGCTGGTTGGTGGCGGTTAAGATCAGCAGCAGGAAGGACATTGATGGTTGCAACATGTAATTTGCCAGTACCTGCTGAGACTACGATAGACGATAGCCCAAGGTTAGTTTCCTGTGTATGTCTCAAGAACTTTCCAATATGCTAGGTGATATATTCATACACGACGCGTGCATGAGCGTGCGGTCGGATTTTCTAGGGGCCGACTGTAGAAGGAAGGCAGGAAGGCATTTTTCGTGTCCTTTGGGTCCCAGGTCTTTGAGGGGATCCTCCTAACCCAGAGATTCGAAATTACCCTCAACCCTAAACCCTAAACCGGCTTAGATCATGAGGCCAAAGGGATGCTTTGATCTGATCTAAGGCATGTTATGTAATTAGAGGATTTTGGAGTCCCTGGGTGATCGAGATGTCGGATCCCTCTGATTTTGCGGCATCTCAGTTTTCCGCGCCCTATCAACTGAGAATTCAGGACACAGGGCACCCTAACATTAATGCCAAATAATGTAAGGGCCCGAAGGAGTTTAATAGGGTTGGGGGGTATATGATACTATATGGGTATATATATATATGTATATAATATAAAGAAGCCCCCAAAACCCTAGTCTAAGTACAAAGGCCCCTACATTTAGAGGATCTTGTCCTCGGCTTAAAGGACCCTTTCTTACAAGTAGAAAGGAAGGCCCTGCTTCAAGAGAGCCTAAACCGTCTAAACCGTAAACCCCAGACTTCCCAACGGTAAACCCTCAACCCCCAAACCCTCCCCCGATCTTGTGACATAAGGGGGCCCGTATATCACCGAAATAATGGGATCCTCACGACCGGCCGACCCCAAGACGACCTGGACCACCAGCACCAGGACGACGAGACGACAACGACCACAACCGCGGCGACAACCAGGACAACCAAGACGATTAGGACCATCAGCACAACCAGGACCGCAATGACCACCACGACACCAGCCACTGATTCGTCGCACGCCGGACACATGATGCAATACCTCCTGTACTTCTCAGGCAAGAACCCATAGTGTTGCCACACGCTTTGAGGCATAATGGACACAATGAAGAACCCGTTGGCACACTGGGAACCAATGCTGCAATGGACAAACTCAATATCGCTTGCCGGGGGCCCAGCTTTACGCCGCTTTTGGAAGGGCTGGAAGCCTTCTGCGCGCAGGCGTCCTGCGTGGCCAGCGCCGGGCCAACTGCCTGCTACAGTGGGGATTTGGGATTTTAGGGATGGTCAGAGTCTACCGCAAGGGCTTGGGCGGACTCCTGCGTTATCAAGGTTACAACACGTTTGGATCTGCTGAACATGCCTTTGTTTGCAGAACTCCCTCTGTGCAGGGCTTCTACTTCAATGGGAGGATCTTCGTACTTACCCTTGTGCTGGCTTTGTGACTTAATGTCTAAAATCGCAACTAAGTACAAGCCCAAAGCAGTGGACCTACATGAGCTTGACTCGCCAGGCCAACACACACTTCGGCCGGACATCAACAACAGGTGAGCAGCAGTAAGGCCCGCGCACTGGAGTTCGCCATTGCGTGATCTGGGCTCCCGTCAGTTGGTCACAAGTCGCACTTCCACTTCCGACAGGCAAAGAGCCTTCTTCTGAGCTCAGGACAGCACTGAATCCAACAGCTCCGAGTCACTGGACAGGGATAAGTTAGAGGCCGTTCAGAAAAGAGAGCCGCTTTGTTAAGACACAGTGCTTTGCCATGCAAGGTTTTGTTTTGTCATGAAACCTCCAGCTGCTTTGCTTGGCATGGACAGGTTGCTGCTTGCACCATGCCAGGCTGCGTGCAGCTGCACTTCAACTTTGAACTGACAAGCCATGGCTTTCTAGCTTGAGCCATGCATGGCCCATGGTTGGAAGAGCCAGTCGAACAGGCAGCGCCAACTCCCTGTGGCCCGTTCCTCACTTCAGGAAACCATGAGCACGGAAGTCACAGCTCAAATTCTTTGTTTTCGCAGTCTTTCCGCTCGGTCTGTACATGTTCTTTGTGCCCTGGGCCCGAGACTGTCTGCCACCAGGCAAGGTGCGCCGAGGAGAACTTAGCCAGAGCTTGGTCACTCAACTTCACCAAAGCTCCGCGAGTTGGTTTCAGGCCTTCCAGAGTGAGAAAGGCCGCGTATCTGAACTACGGGGCGGCGAGATCCACAAATACGAACCAAATCATAATTCATGAACCGGTATTAGGGTATGGAGTTAAGCCTCTCTAACCCCTGAACAAGACCCCTATTAGAACCACAATATAAGTTATAGTTTTAATATTTATTCTCTTGGTTTATATATGAACGAACATAAAACATGATTCCTGAGGAGACTATAGTGAACTCAGAATCCCCTAAACCCTAAACCCCTAAACCCTAACCCCTAAACCCCGAAACCCTAAACCCCGAAACCGCTAAACCCTAAAACCCTAAACCGGACTCTTAGAATGCCCACAGACATGGCCCAGCCTGGGGCTCTCAGCAAAGGCCGCGCAGGCCATGGGGCCACCCCGGCAAACCTCACGGGTTAGGTTTAGGATTTAGGGTTTGGGGTTTAGGGTTTAGAGTTTAGGGTTTAGGGCTTACCTTAACCCTGAAAAACCTACCTCTTTAGGGTTCCCTATGATGATTTCCTTTTGTAAGTCCTTGAAAAGGTAGGTTCTTTAGGGTTTAGAGTTTAGGGTTTGGGGTTCAGGGCCGGGGTACTCAAACTCAACCTGTTCGAGCCATTCTGTTGATCCTGTGCCTCAACAGACCTTAAAACTTTGGAAGCTGCATCCAAGCAGCCTGTCCAGCGCGACATCTCTTTGCATCAATCGCTGGATTTATAATCATATCGTTTTGCTGCATTCCAACTTTATCGGTCCGTCACGCAGCCCAGGCTAGCGGACGCAACAAGCCTTATTAACAAGGACAGGATGCTCAAGCCACCATCACAAAACGACAAGCATTACTGCAGCTAAGGAGCTTTGCATACTTGGCAAGATATCCTGTCTTCACCTGGGCCCATATGCACCAAGTCGACTAAAGCTGTCGACTAAAGCTTGCCCACTAAAGTTTTCCTGGCGAGGAGCATTTGGCGGCGGTGGTTTCCACGCGGCTTTTCGCTTTGCGAGCTCCTCATCGGACACATCCATGAAGAGCTGCAGCTTCGTTGCATCCACGGTAATCATATCACCTCAGGTGCACTGGCCCATACAAGCCTGTTCTACAAGTGGCAAATGAACATGCTGAAGGTGTATATATCTCTCTATCTATCTTTCTGTCTGTCTGTCGATCTAGCTGTCTATCTTATGTCTATCGATCTGTCGGCCGACCTACATGTCTGTCTATGTATCTATCTACCTATCTCTCTGTCTGTCTGTCTATCTATCTATCAGCCTGTCTACACTTCTACCTATGTATCTACCCACCTATGTATCCTTTCATGCATCCATCCATGCATCCGTCAATCTGTCTATCCATCCACCTACCTATCTATCTGTCTGTCTCTCCCTGTCTCTAACTATCCAACTATCCATCTTTCATCTATCTGACTATTTATGTGTTTATCTGTCTATCTAGTTTGTTCATTCGTTTGCTTCAGTCTCTTGTCTGACCGATTCAGCCACGTCCCTGCTCACTAATTATGTAAGCATGCTCATGCACCTGTGTGTCACCTGTGCCTGTGTATCTAACAATGTACCAGGATGCATTCTCTGGATGCAAATATACATGCAGGCGAACCGGCAGGCAGGCAGGCAGTACTTCTGTACGTATATATGTACGCCGATCTGGGTACACACACACACATGCACGACATACATGCATGCATACATACACACGTGCATAGATACGTGCATGCATACGTACATATACACACACACGCATACATAAGTACTGACATACATGCATGCAAGAATACATACATGCATGCATGCGTGGCATTGCATTGGAATGCATTAACAGCCTTGCATTACATTACAACTACCATTTTCCATGACCATGACGATTACTATTACTGTTACTATTGCTATTACTACATTACATTACATTACATTACATTACAACACACACGTACATACATGTATCATTAAAACCGGTAAGATGGCTCAATGATTGGGCGCCTCTTTGATTAAGCGTACATATCTAGCTTTCCACAGCTTTTCGCAGGAATCTGCAAGAAACTAAGCAAAACCTACGATAAGCTAAGAGAAGCTAAGAGAAGCTAAGGGAAACTAAGATAAGCTACGGGTTTCCTGTATTGAAGTATGTCCTGGGCTGGGAAGCTACGGATTTCCTGTGGTACAGTGTGCCCTTGAAGGGCCTGTAACAAGTGAAGACACAGCAGGAAACTACAGGTGGGTGTTATTTATTCCTAGCAGTCGGAGGCGGGCTTTGACTTCTGTTTGTGCCGGCAATCCACTGCCGATCCGTCGGCCATAGCGCCTAAATGCATTTGTTTCAGGAGGTTCTTTGGCTCAGACCCCGAACTGCTAATATTTTCGTACGATCGGAATCCGCTCTTCTAGGCAAGGCTACCAAAAGCTAGACAAAGCTAGAACAAGCTAGAAAAGGCTAGCGAAAGCTAGAAAAAGCTAGAAGAGGCTAGCGAAAGCTAGATAAAGCTAGAAAAAGCTAGATTTTTCCTAGGTTCCGGGCAAGCCCCAGGGCCAGAGTATCAGAGGAGACCGGGATTTCACTAAAGGAATATCACAGATCACCATGGAATATCACGGAATGCCGAGTTTTCGACAATGGAATGTCACAGAATACCGGGTTTTCAGCAAAGGAATGTCACAGAACACCAGGTCTTCAACAAAGGAATGTCACAGAATACCAGGTTTGCAGCGGAGGAGCTATCTAGCTCCCTTTACTCGTGCTCCGAGCCCAAAGAGGGACCCCATCATGGAGCCATCTTATTGGTATTCCAGAATGTACACATACACGTACACATACATGTGCACATGTATGTGCACACACATACATACATACATGCACGCATACACACACATACATACACACATACACCACGCGACATGCCATGCCATGTCACGACACGGCATGGCATGAAATGACATACAGACATGCGCAGCCTATGTACATAGACATACACATGTACACACATGCATACATCAACTCACACACATACAAACGACACGCACAGACATACATACCAGCGTACACATACATGCTTTGCAGACAGACAAGCAGACTGACAGACATGTTACATGTGGAAGGGTGTACTTATACGATCAGACGAACAGGTTATTCTTGTATGCCGGACTGGCTGCTTGCATGCATGTACATATGCATCCAGGTAGACATGCAACAACGTAGCGGAAGCAGCATCGGCCTAGCTCTCCCCATAACCAAAAGCACAAGCCACCGTTTTGAATCAGCGCAATCGCTCCGCCGATGAAGGCCTCAGGAAAAGTGGCAGTCTCATCCCAGAAAAGACACAAGTCGGCCTCGGCGATTCCCGGGGGGAAAGGACGGGTCCGAGCTGTTGCGCAACCGCGCCTCTGGAGACACGTGGCCGATGATGAAGCCATGCGATCCACCGGAGAAGCGGCCGTCTGTCATCAAAGCCACGTACTTCCCCAGTCCGGCGCCCATGATTGCACTCCTCAAAACCGCGTTGAAGAAGTCAAGCTGTAGCACTTCGCGAATTTCCGTTCTTTGCTGACGCAGCTGAAACGGCCTGCTGCTGTCCTATCCCTTGCTCCTTGCAGCCCAGGCACGTTGGTGTTAGCATCTCGCGCATACCAGGGCCACCCTTTGGGCCCTCATAGCGAATCACGATGAAATCTCCCTGCACCAAGTCGAGAGACATCTGGCTTTCTCTGACATGGTGGATCTCGACCGTCCCTGGATCCTCAAACCTTCCCAAAACCCTAAACCCTCTAGACCGTCAACCTAGGAAACCCCAACCCGAGGCTGCCTTGTTGATCTTGCCTTGCTCCAGGCCTTTCAGCATCAATTCCTCCAAGATTTGGTTTGGGAACACCTTGCCACTTTCGGCTATTGGCACCACCCACCCCAAAAAGATAAAGCACAATCTTAAGAAAAGTTTTTGTTCCCAATACCCGTATCTACCTAGGTGCCATAGCCCAAAAGAGGCCTGGGGGTCCTAGAGAATTTAGGGTTTAGGTTAGGGTTCAGGGCTGTAAGCTTTGATACAACCCTCAACCCTGAGGCACCTAGGTAGAGACGAGGATTGGGAATAAAACAATTTCATAAGATAGATATTTATCTTTTTGGGTGGGTGGTGCCAATAGCCGAAAATAGGCAAGGTGTTCCCTAACTGATTTCGGGCCTGTTTTTGAGAGCCCTTGTACTGGTCTGCAGCAGGGTGTAGAGTTCATGGCTGGAGTTACGTCTTGAAGGTAGTACACAGCGGGAAGGGCTTGACTTGAGCAGGAGCTGCAAAAGCCCCTGCAGTTTAACTCTTGCGGCAACATCCCCTGCGGTAGTTTCCGGCGGCGTTTTGAGAACTCTTCAATGGATGGAGGAGATTTAGCCCAGCTTTTTGAGTTTAGGATTTGGGGCTGGCACCGGGGTTGGGCATTGGGATTTCCAAAGAGAGACTCTCCAGGCGAGCTGTAGCCGGCGGACTGGAAACTCTAAGCCCAAATAAGTCGGCCTCATCATGCGGTGCAGTAGAGCTCTGGTGTATACATCATAACACATCTCTGTACATGTATATGTATAGATGCATATTATGTAGATGTTGGTGTTTGTGTACATGTATGTGCCTATGTACGCATGCATGCATGCCTGCATGCATGTAAGTATTTGTGTATGTGTACGCCTATGTGCATGTTTGTCTGTATATGCAAACATAATTACATGTATGCGCATGTACATCTACATGCACGTGTATATATGTGCATATATGTATAAACATATGTATGCATGTATGTTACGATGTAATACCTAGCATGGTTCACAGAGGCATACATAGGCAATACAAGAGCAAGTGCCAACTTCGAGGCTCCTGCAAGAGACCCAGACCCTCCGAGCTCTGAGCTCTGAAACATCCGAAGCCCAGAACTACACGTGCTTTTCTTGACACCTTCTACACTTACGTGAGTGCGAAACTCGTTCAATACCACGGTCGCCTCGCTGTCGAAGACGTTCGCCTTGCCTGTGAAGGAGGTGCCCTGACATGCCAATGCGATGGTGCTGAGAGCCAGCAAGCTGGGGTCCCGAGAAGCAGCGTGCATCTTAACCAGCCGAACAGGATGCTTCACCCCCGTGAACCCAGCCCAGGGACACACGCCTCAAACAAGTTTGCTACGAGAACCTGATCCATGCTTTACGGTAGCTAAGCTACCAGAGGCCGCTTGCGCAGTACACTGCAAAGCGAGCTCTTGCTGGGACAAGATTACCAACATCCCCACTCCACTCGTCCCATCATGACGAAATGACACAAGTCTGCCACCTGCCCGACGCTAAACCCTAAACCCCTTTGAAGCAGTCAACTCATCAGCCCATGCCTCCTTACCCGTGATCTTGGCCACAGCACCATCTACGCAAAGATTGCCTCGCCTGGGTTGGGTGAAGACGCTCAGAACTTTCTGTGAATAATGTTTAGGGTTTAGGGTACATTCGAAGATGATGGTACGTCGGCTTACTTGCTACTTCTTGCAGTGTGTTGGACCCCAGTTTGGAAATCATAAGGACCAAAGGTTTTGCACGGCGCCTTTTCGTTGGTGAGCCGCTGAGAAGTTGTCCCAGGAGGGTAGGGAGTCCATGCTTTGCCACTCCCATCTTGCAACGGCCAACTGGCGAGACTGTGTTCCCTTTGTTTGACTAGAGCTGGTACTCGTCGCCGGTCAGAGACTTCAGACGAAACGTGTGCATGGGGTGTATGGCTTCGTGAGTTCGACTTGGAAAATGATCCTTGCTAGCGAGAACAAGCCGCACGAGCTCGAACCCCTAGTAATATTCTTCGACTGCTACAGGGATCCTGCTTGCCAGGCCGCAAAATCTTGATGTTGCCCGTCTTCTGAATGCACCTGCGTCAAAAGAAGTCAAGCCGAAGCTTGAGCTTACCTGAAACCGGCCCACTCATTCTCTTTGTAAGAGCCCGGCTTCTCCAGTGGTAGCATCACGCTTTGCGCACCGAAATCCAGATCCGGAACACTGGCCAGATTCTGGGCCAGCGTCTGCCCAGTGCACTGAGACAGCGCAAGGAGAGAAGAAGGGTAGTACAGGGGCCTTATATACTTACCAATAATTACCATTTTAGGGGTTCCTTTATTATAGACAGTTATAGTATACAATACCATTTTAGGGGTTCCTTTATTATAGATAGTTATAGTATACAATACCATTTTAGGGGTTCCTTTATTATAGATAGTTATAGTATACAATACCATTTTAGGGGTTCCTTTATTATACTTATAGTATAATGGGCCAATCAACTTGACAGGACGTTCGCAAAACTCCGTTGCAGATCCATCACCAATGAAACAAGCTAAGATCCAGACTGTGAGGCAGTCTCCATGCAGCCAGCCAAGCTTGAGCAAATACTTCATGACAGCGGGGATACCACCGATGCGGTGCACATCCTGGACACCAGAGGCTTAAGATCTGGCTGGGGGGTTCATGATGTGTCTGGACACGAAGGAGGTTAGCTCAAGCCGTGCACCTCCATCCGGTACTTTCCGCTGGGCTTCAAATCGGCAACCAGCGAGGTCTTGTCGCTAATCCGTTGGAAATCATCTATGTTGAGCTCGATCTCAGTCAATCAAAAAGGCACCGAACTGCGGATCCAGTGCACTGCTTGCATTGTTGCCAAGGTGCACCAGCAGTTGCTGCAATCGCGAGCAGGTGAAGCACTGCATTCGTCGATCCGCCTAGCACTACGATGCATCCTACTTTTAGGTTCAAGCTGCTCACGGACCAGCAGCACTTCAGGTCCAGATGACATGCAGCGACAAACCCCCTTTCTCCGCCTAGCGCGTTGACGAGAACGATGGCATTCTCAAAAGACTTCTTTGTGACGATGTCCGAGGGCTTCAGGTTTCTTTCCAGCATGGCCTCCGGGGGAATAAGGAGTGGGTGGACCTGTGCAACGTGCTTCGGTGAGTTCCATGGGGCGCCTTGACACACTTGGCCGCTCGTTCGCATTCTGCCCGCCTTGGAAGCCGCGGTGCTGCAGACAATCGCATTGCTCCAAGCTGCAAGCTCCGTACTTCTTATATACATATTAGATATTATGTGTATATATATATATATATATCATATATACATATACAAAGAGACTTAGTCTTGAAGCCAGCCACACTAAGCCCCTTATAAACCCCAGGGCCCTAACACCCTGAGGCCGCCACTTCTCAGGTGACGTGGCTGGCGAGGAGCTCGAGTAAGGAAGTGAAAGCCCCAGGGCCTGGCGAACTACAATTTTTACCCATCGGCCCCAAAGTAGTTCCTTTTTGGGAGTACCTTATAGGATTGTAAATATGAACCGCAAACATGGACTAAACGAGGCTCTCCTATATGAAGGACCCTCCTTGTACCCTTAAATATGGCTGTACCCTTAAATAAGAGCCATATAGCCCCCTAGAAGCATGCCAGCATGTTAGAGGCTAGATCTAGAGCCATGTGGGGTCTACCGTCCACGCTTTCATGGGGCGTTTCGGGGCGGTCCTCCGTAGCCGTCGCCATGGTATTGGCAGTGTACATGCCACCACATGCCCCAGGCCCAGGACATGCATTCCGCACGATGTCTGCTCGGTCCTCGCAGCTGCAAACGAAACAAGGCCCCTATACGGCCCTAAACCCTAAACATCCCCAAACCCTAAAGAAGTGGCACGAATCCTCGTCGGAGATGGTCCCCGCAATGAACTTACCATACGCCTCTCCAGCTGGTGTCGATAACCACAATGCAGAAGAACGCAAGTGTACGGTGTATGTCCTACTTAGGTATTATATGCATACATACATACATACATACATACGAACACACATACATGCATGCATGCGTGCATAAATGCAGACGGTCCATCAATACATCCGTACATGCATACATACTGCGTACATACATGCGTACATACATACATACATACATACATACATACATACACCCACATACATACATACATACATACATACGTACGTACGTTCTTACTTACTTATATACCTACTACTCACCTACCAAAATACATACTTACATGCACATATACATGTACATTGGCATGTACATATGTACATATACTACATGCACCCAAAATGCACATGCATGTGCACGATGTGTGCGTGCATCTATGTATATGTATGTACATGTAGATGTATATGTACATGAAAACAAGCATGTGTGTACATATATATATATATATATACACACATGTATATGCACACCGACACACACATATGTATATATATATATATATATATGTATATACACACACATAAATACGAACATAGGCATGCACAGATAGCTCTTCAGACAGGCAGACAGATGGATAGGCCCTTGGAGCAAAACACAATCCCCCCATCAAAAAAAAATCAGCTTGCCACACCGTGCCATGTGAAGAAAGGGACAGCAAAGACCTTTTTGAAACACACCCAAATGCCTGCACAGGTAAACATGTATGTGTATGCTTATATGTATATACATATATATATATATACATATATCTACACACATACACATGCGCATACATATGTGCATGTCCATACTGCACATATGGAGTATGGATATGTATGTCTAGGCGTAGGTGTCGGTGTAGGTCTAAGAGCAGTAGGTATGCATGTATAGGTGCAAGCAGGTGCATGCACGTGCATGTATGTCGGTATATGTTGTGCGCTGCATGTGCATGCGACAGCCTCGAAGGTGGACACGATGTCAAGGTCTTCGCCCTTGCAGGAGCGCCCCGATGCAATGGTTCCGCCATAGAGCATCAAAGAGGGCCTCGGTGAGCTTATCATCGTTGAAATTTAGGGGTTGGGTATGCTGACGCGTGGAGTTTCGGGTTGAGGCAGATTTCGGAGAAAGAACCTTCGCATGCTGCATTTTGCAGCAATCAGGATGAAAAGCGAAGCTCTGGATTTTAGAGCTTATAAGCCTTAAGGCCCAAAGCTTTGGCGTCTCGTCTTTCGTCTGTAGCAGGGTGTTGATGCGGCTTCGGGACTGGCCTTGAGGCTCGTCAAAGCTTGTGAGCGTCGACCAGGCTGCGAACACCAGAAGCCCCAAACCCTACCTATAGTCTCCATTGTAACTCCTGTTTTTGGTTTAACCAAATATATAATTAAATTAGGATCCTATAAGGCAACCCCAACAAGGAACTACAAGGGAGACTATAGGTAAATCCGAAACCCTAAACCCACGCAATCTCAATAGTAGCATAAGCCGCCGATTCATCCGGATCATGGCCATGACGCAGCCTGCACCACATCGGTCGACACTATCGAAGCAGTTGCGGAGAACTTCGGTGGTGTTCTGGGTGTAGGGCTCTGTCTGTTCGTCGTTGCCTACGCCCCTTAACCCTTACACAATCCAAAGCCACGAACTCTTAACCTCAACCTACCAAAAACGCAAGCCCCAAACTCTTACACTCAAGTCCGGCCTGGCATGTTCTTGTCGCATCCAGGAATTGTCACAAGAGCGTCGTAAAATTGAGCTCCCATGACCTGGCATGTGCTTTTAGGGTCCAGGTTTGTAGGAGAATGAACAAGAGAGAATGCTAGTTACATAATATGTAGCAGCGCGTAGGCATCTCCTTCTTCGAGCCACGTCGACATCATGTGGGTGGTTGTCAAAATTAGGGTCCTTTTTTTGGGTAGCCTAAATCATAGATTCCGTATCATAATAGGGACCCAAAAAGGATCATAATTTTGACAACCACCCATGTATGTTATAGGGATTGGGGCATCGAGTCCAGGAATTCTGACAGGCAGCCTGGCACTGCAGTCGTAAGGGGGGACGTGCAAAGGCCATGCACTAAGCGGTTTAGGGTTTAGGGCTTAGCGTTTCGGGGTTTAGGGATTCTTGAGTTGGAGCCATTAGTAGTTTGGCGTTCCGTGCTAAGTTGTGCTTATACAAACAATGTTTTCGTTTCAGGGTCCCCTCTTTTCCGAAACCCCTGCTTGATCCGAGCAGCTGATTCGATACTGTCGGCGATGATCTCCTTGTCAGCGGTTTATTACATCATATTATATATTATATATTATATGTTATATAATGTATTATATATATAAGCCAGGGAGATCGGTAGAAAGCTTAGGTGGAGCCTGACCTAGAACGGCCTATCTGCAACCCTTCGAATCAAGACAAATAAACTCCAGTGCAAAGGCCAGCGACATGCTAAAAACGTAGAAACCTTTCTGGAAGCCGCAATCTGGCTTGGCTTTGTCGAGGCTTGTGGAGACAGTAGACCGAGACCTCACTTGCAGCCGAGCATCGCGGGACGGCAAGGAGTACATCATGCCTTTGGTACCCATGGACATACCGTCCGAAACTCCAATCGTGTTGAATTGGAAGCCGTACATCTTGGGATCCTGCGGCACGCGGACTACCCAGAGACTCCAATATCCCTTAATTAAGGAATATACCTTAAATCATACAAGGGATCCTACCATCGTTTGAGGAATATTCCTAAAATCAGGGATATTGGAGTCTCTGGGAAGGAACTCCAGGGAGGAATGCCTCCTAAACCCTAAACCCAAGAGTTCCGACTCCTTGTCAACTTCCTTCTTGACCTCGGCTTTGAAGTACCCAGGGAGAAAATAGTATACAGTATGAGTGGTTCTCTTTAAGTATATAACAGGTCCCCCAAAAAGAATTAGAGTATGGTACTCCAAAGCCCAGTGACATCATCTCCCAGAGAGAGCAGGTGCATGTTGCATGGGTTACCCTGATACCACACAGAGCAAATTCCAACCTGCAAGCACGAGATGCTGGTCAGTGCATGCACTGTAATGTGCTGGGAACCCGGTCATCTAGAGACGAATTCGAAGGGAATCTCTGCCTGCGCTTTGTTGAGATCTTCTTTCTTCATACCAACAGCATGCAGCATCGCTTGGGAGGCCCCCTGTCAAGTCGGAGATGCGGGTGCAGGTGGGAATGAAACATGCAATCATGCCAGCTCCAAGCATTGCTAGAATCAGAATGGAAAGCAGGTGCGACGAGCACGGGCCTGCGACTTCGGCTGTGTCAATGCCCTTGAAGTCCTGGTTCAGGGTGTTGGCGGTTTGGGGTTGGAGTCAAGGCTTGTGGGCTGGGGCTGTGGGCAACGAGGTCGAAATGTGAAGGGCAGAGCCGGATAAGCTGTGCCCGTGGCCTGTTGATGCCGCCGTCATCGTACTCAATGGTCGCCATGTCACTGGAACTCGAAACCTAGGCTTCGGTGAACTGCGGTTAGGAGATGTCAGCCAAGCACAACGTGGATATTGAGGGTCCGGCTGGGAGGAACTGTGCCCAGCAACTGCGAGTGACTATTCCGCGAAGCCAAATGCTGACCCGCAATCCCCCATGCGAAACTTGTTGCGGTGGCTCCCTTCTGTACGTACTTGTGTCAACAGCCCACTCGAAAGCCCTGCGTCTCACATATTTTCCTCAACCGATACTTGGCTCCTTTGGCGAAGCAAAGCCTCCACGCCTGGGCTGCGCAACTTGGGCCACATCGCTAACCATTGAAGCGCGACAAGCATCGGTAAGCTGCGGACCTGGGACTACAGTCCACTGCCCCGGCAGCAGGTTGCCCAAGCCTCTGAATTGCCGAGAGACCGAGAGATTCGAGTTGATGCCCCTCACACTCAAACACGGCCTTTTGCATATCTGAGGCTGCGTCGAACACTGCCGACTCTGACGCGAGATACTCGGAAAAGAAGGAGCCCGGCCTGTGCGCACCTGGCAACCGTCCAGAATCTCCAGAAGCTAAGTACTGCCACGGAACGACATCTCTGCCAAATGCAGGCTCGGCGCATCTGCCGTAGAGCAGATGAAGTCACGGTCCCACCTTGGCCAACTTGTCTCTTGTCGCACTATGTACATATTGACATCGAACGCAAGGGAAATGAGTACAACGGCCTGCTAAAGCCGCCATGTGAGGTTGAGAATCAAGCTGAAGACCACTTGAAGGCGCGATGATGTGCTGGGCTTCGCCTCCTCTCAATGCTGCTTGGTTCTGCAGAGAAAGAGCTGGCGTAGTTAAAGGGATTGCATAAGATGTTGGGCTATTGTGCAAACTGCTCGAAAACAAAAACTCCTGCAGTAACATCGCGACAAGATGCATCAACCAACCGCCAAACACCAGCCAAAAAACAGTTCGCCACAAGAAACAACTAAACCACAAATCCTGAACGCGCAGTGCTGCGACACAGCCTCAACGACAGCTGCAGGTTCCTCCTTCAGCATCCGAGCCTCAGGATAGGAGCATAACGGTTTTAAGGTTTGGCGTCCGGGGTGTGGGCTTTTGCGTCTGAATCTCAGTCTATTTTATGGATCATGGGTCTTAGTAACTAGGGTAACTAGGGCTATAGATCTATCAATACTTGTAGGTACGTCAAACCCACATAAGGCACTATGACGAATGACCATACTAACTAACTCCCATGATCCTCCGAGTAGGGTATTTGGGTTCAGGTTTCGGCGTATGGGAAGCTGAAACGAAGCTTAGGGGCTTAGCAAGGCAGGGAGCTTTACTTGCACAAACTGGAGAGCAGCACCTCTGGGTCTAGGGTTTAGGATTTGCTACGGCTTCTCTCAAAAGCCTGGCTTGATCAGAGGCACGAACGAACTGTTTCACAGTTTCTGTGCGTTTTGCTGTGTATCGATAGAGAACACGAGGCATTTCCCCCCTACCAGTAAGCCACGGACCTTCTCTGCACGGGGAATGTACCCCGGCACCACTCGGACCTTGCATCAGACTGCCAGAGTCAGTCTGCAGCCCCTCCCGAATCTTCGAAGTGATATCAGGACGGCTACATGAGAAAAGAAAGCACTCGGATGTAAACACCCCAGATTATCAGAAAACCCTGATCACCATACTAAGAAAACATTCAAGGTCAAGGCTTCCGACACACAAGGCGAAAGGACGCACCGAGTCCCTCACATGAGCCTCCTGCTCGCAGAAAGTGCTCAAGTTTAGCTGAAGAGCTGATAGTTGGCCAGACGTGACCTCGACAAGCAGGGACCATGTTTCAAAAGTATCGACACCTGTACCTGAAGCTTTATGTGTATGCGTATGTGTGCATGCATGCACATCTATAGTTATATACCTGTATCTATATCTGTATCTACACACACACACACCAACCTCTTAAAGCTGCCAAAGCTCAAACCATGCATATCTAAATACATATTCATATATACATATACATATACATATACATATACATATACATGTCTATATATATATATATATATATATGTGTATGTATGTATTCATGAATGTGTGAATGTGCGTATATGCACACATTTCTTGAACTGTTGCTTACAAATGAGTGTTAAGTTTATATGGCGCAAAACCTGCTCTACTTAGAGGGAACTCCAGAAAGTTGGAATATGGATTAATGGTAGGATCTCCTATAATTTCCCTTAAAGGGGTTACGAGAATGATATTCCAACTTTCTCTCTTCTACTGTACTGCTTTGTACAACAACAGCAAGCCCAAGCAGGGCAGCTTGAACCCTCCCTCGCCCGGCCTCCCCGGTTGTCACGATGTCATATTCCTCTGCTTGGAGGGTCGGTCTTTAGGGGACTTAGTAAGTAGGTAGTAAGTAGACTTATAAGTACCCTAAAAGGGAGCCTAATTGGGGTTATGGTACTTATCAGTCCCTAAAATAGCCAGTTACTAAGCTCCCCGAGCCTCCAAGTGAACGTAGGGTCCGGAGAGGGCTCAGCGCTTGCAGGGTTGAGAGGTGAAGTTGTAGAGCTGAGGGCAGGCAACCAACAAATTCCAATACTTTCGATTACCAGTCTTGCTGAGAAATGGGGCTCAGCATTTCTGGCTATCACAGTGTAACGATAGTCAAGTGCTTGGTGTTTTCTTTTTTGTTGCTACGAACAGCATGCTTGGTGAATATGCGCTCATGTCCGTTGCGGCCGTTGCTTCTTGCGACTTAATCATACGATGACCGCGACTGACCCATCACTCTAGAAATGGACGGACAGATCGTCGTGAGTGGCCGGGTCCTTCTCAACCAGCGGATCTCGCGCGACAGTCGTGGAAACCTTGTCAGAAAGAGCAAATTTGGCTTAGTGTCTCGGCTTTCAGGCTTCGGAATTTATGTCGTCTGGGTCAGAATGTCAACCCTAACCAGAAGCCGTCAGTCCCGTCTCTGTGGCCCCTGCTCGGCCGTCCTGCGAGAACAAGAGGGCTCCGCTCCTGGACAAGATCTACTTTGCGATGCTCCTGATGGTTTCTCGTTCCGGCGGCAATGACTATGCTTTATGACATGACCGGATGGTGCTGAGACTCCTCTTCAGATTATATTCTACCACTGCTACAGACAATAGAATTGAATTTGTTGCGTTGGCCTGTATGTGCCATCGGCACCACGCTATCACCATCATCACCACCATCTTGTGGGACCGCCGGAAGACGACGACTACTGTGCCATGCTGGCTATGACCACCGTGATGGCGGACACTGTTGTGGAGCGGCACTGAGGCCCCGGCGTAGCCTCATCCAGAACATCCGCTGCATCCAGCTTGCTTAACTGGCGCCTGAGTACTCACCCGTCCATGACATTGTTGCCCTGCGCTGGCCACTGAGGCCAAGGCGGGTCGTGTCGAGTTCGACAGCTCGGCGCCCGGTTTTCAGGCACCTTTCATGTTCGCATGACATACAACAGGTCATATATCATATTTCAGTATTATTCTCATTATGTATAATGTAGGTATCATACATATAGTTCGGGTACACACACACACACATATATATATATATATATATATATGTGCACAAATTAGTAATGTGTACATATGTATATGTGTGTGTGTAAACTCATACGCATAGAATCTACGGAGCCTCGAGAAGGCACCTGAGCCCTCGGCCAAGAGCTTTCGGGCCAAGGGGATGCCCTTCCCTGCCCTGCAGGAGGCATAGTGCGCCGGCTTGTGCAGCCTCGAATCCAGCAGCTTAGGGTCTAGGGTTTAGGGTTTAGGGTGTAGGGTTTAGGGTTTACACCCTTAAGTTCACCCTTATGTCTTGTTCGAATCCGGCTTAGAAGTCTTGAAAGCGCTGTGTTTACTCAAAGCCCGATCCACTCAGCAAACAAGCTGGGGGCATGGCAGGATGGTCACTTTGTCGTCCTGAAGCTGGTTGTCTTTTCTTAACATGGGTATATACCGTTACGATCTGCATATAGTTGAGAGCACTCGGTAAAAGAAGCACGACTCCTTTCAGGAACACTCTTCCGCTCAGAAGCTACAACATGCTTAACCACACCGCTAGTCCCACACAGACTGTCATCGCTTGAATGTCCGGGCTTGAGGTGTAGGGATTTGGGTTACGGAATCAGAGACTGTCGCACCCGATCCTGCATAGAGCTCATAGACCCCTATAACACGCCGTCCCACACTAGTCCCACCTTCACAGGCTTCAATGAAAAGTACGATGCAGGAAGCCTCGGCATAATGATGCGCAGACGATGGCAGGTTTCGGAGCACCTTGGACCCTCCAAACATCGCAAACCCGTAAATATCGCCAAACCAAATCACGTCGGCTCTTCTGGAGCCTCAGCAATATCATGTACCTATGTACCTCCTCCAAACCCCTCTCCGGGGCCTGCATGCGCTGTGCCCGAGGGGTCAGCTCAATGGTCGCGGTGCTAGACACGAGGGCCTGAGCATGCGAAGATCAGGGCTGCTCCATCCTCGGGGATTTGGGTTTGGGGCTTAGGGTTCAGGGCTTAGGGTTGGGTGTGGGGTTTAGGGTTTTGGGTTTAGGGGTGTAGGGGTTGAGGGTTTAGGCGGTTTAGGGGTTTGGGGTCTAGGAGGGCCAAGGGCTTAAGTCAGGCAGGGCTTCCGGAGTTTATGGGGTCGAAAGTTGGGTGTGGTGCGATGCGGGCTTTTGGAGCTAAACAACCGCAAGTCTGGGCAAAGGCTCTTCTCAAAATGCTCTGAAGTTGCATCTTGACGGCCTAGCATCGACCAATATGTACCAATCAAGACAAGATTCGTATACTACGACGTTACTTCAGTTTATGCACTTCCCCCTGTAGAAACTGAATAACCCTCCACGCAATCCTAGAAAGGTCCTGCACAGACCGGATGCAGACCATTTTGTACTTCATTCTTGTAATGCCGATCACATACGCAGATACATGCATACACATAATATAGGTACGCACATAGACACATGGACATGTACAAAGACATGCACACCTATGCTTCGTGTGGTTCAGGAATGTACCTGTTTGCATGACCATGGATGGGCTTCTCATCACTGTCTGGGGACTGCAAGAATTCGGACTTCTGCACAGGTTGGATAGATGTTGTCGTCTTCGGGTTTGAAAGTCGGAAAGTAAGCCTCCACGCACTGTGCCTAGCTCTGCAGAGCTTGCTGAGACTGCTGGCAGCCGCACTCTTCGCTGGCTGACCATCCACCAAGATTTGCCCGAGTCCTGCTCTTCGCTGCCAGAATTCATAATAATAATAATAAATAGCAATAATAGTAATACTAATAATAGTAATCTTAAATATTCACGCGCTCCTAAGCTGCACAGAACTCACGTCGATCTGAGTTCCGGTCTGGCATACTTCGCGGCCTCGTTCCTGCTGCAAAGGCCGATCCTGCACAACCAAGCTGCCTAAGCACTTTTTTGGGTCCCTCTTATAATACGGCACCTAATATTTAGGGTACCCAAAAAGGGACCGTAATTTGACAACTACCCAGCTGCCTAAGCACTCACTGCAGGGAAGATGCGGTATCTGTCCTGGCGCACAATACGCCCAGCCGCTCAGCCTCAGCAGCACAAACACCGTGAGGCTACAACAAAAATACTGTTACAATGATACCACTTCTATCGACGACCAACATTACCATCTCCACCACTATCTCAACTACGACCGCAGCAATACCACAACAACGACTACTCGGCTGCAGCTGCTCCGGCTCCTCCTCTTCCTCCTCACGACGACTACTACTACTAACTACTAGCTACTCCCGACTCGCTGTTGGCTACCAACAACTAACAACTACTGATAACTACTAAAAACTTCAAAAACGCTACTAATAGAAACTGCTGCTGCTGCTGCTGCTGCTTGGGCCTCTACTTCCATCCGCACGGCGACTGCTACTGACTGTTCCTGCTGCTTCCAGAATTTACAACTGTTCAGCCATTGCTCTCCCTCCAACGTGATGCCATCAGCGGTGTCGTTGCGGTAGTGTGGCTTTCAATAATGCCCGTATCTAACTGTGCCCACTACTAACTCGTATCGGCTACTAGTACTTGATAACCACTAGTACCTGATAACCATGCCGGTGATGCGAAACTTCGTGATCATGATCGCTTCAATGCTACTCGTACTGTATCTAATTATGCTTGTTGGCGCAGTCGCTCTGCAAGCGACATAGCTTTCTGCCTGCAAGAGCTTGCATGAAATGCTCAGTCTCAAACAGCCGCTGTCATCTTGCCAAAACGGGCGGCACATCGCAATGGTGGCGGAGCTTAAAGCTTCATTGCTGAGAGGTGCTATAGGCCTGTATGCAAGTGAAGGCGTAGGCTTCGTCTGAGTTGGTCAGATTGCGTTTTCAGCTCAGTGGACGGGCTCATCATTCTCGGCTGCTTTCTTTCACATGTACCACCATGAAGGTGTAGATGAGGTCTCTTGACAGAGCTGTCAATGCAATATTGCTCTAGCGAAGCGAGCAGCAAACAGCCTTGGCACAGTGAGTCTGAGTCTTTTTGACAGGCATCCTGCTTCAGTCTCCAGCCTCGCGCACTGATGGGAAAAGTTGAAACGCTCAGGGGAGAATGAAGCTCAGAATGAAGCCCCGTGCCGGAACAAACAAACAAGCTCGTTTCAGCTACAGAAATTTTCAAAAAAATCGAAACACAGCAAGAGGGAGCATGCAGCAACGCACCAATCGAGGCGCCAGCGTGCGCAAAGCTCCGTTGCAATACTATCTCTCTCATCTCACTCGTATCCCCGCGCCATCTGTTGGAGCCATGCCGGAAACTCATCCCAAGCCAACTCATTCTCGCGGAAAGGCTCTGGGAAGCCTCTACGAGTGACAACCACTTCTCTGCCATCGCTCTCCGTCACCGTGAACGAAGCTCCGATCGACCCTGGCAGATCCTGCCGTGGTCCCTGGCCATCCACAGGAACCTTGTCCTTGAGGGAACATGGCCCATCATCGCTAACGGGGAAGATGCTTCCAGTTGCTAGCATCTAGTAGTAACACTGGTAGTCAAGCCAGCAGTGAGGTAGTCGGATATTGTTTTTCCTGAAGGCATATGTATGCATCGGCATGTGCTACGGTCATCTCAGTAGCACCGTCCTCATCGCCATCATCATGACCATGATCATGATCACCATCATCGGCATCTTCTTAGTCATCATCCTCGTCATCATCATCATCACCATCATCACCATTATCATAATCACCATCATCGTCATGGCCATCATGGCCAACATCGTCATCAGCACCATCATCATCAACAACACCACGGCCATCATCATGAACCGTTCATTCTGGGCAAATCAGCGACATACCATCCTTAACAGCATCATCCTTGCCCATCCGTCATTACCAGCAATGTTACTCGTCCTGGAGCCAGCGGAGCAGAGATTCGTTGACGGCGCCGGGCGTCTCGTAGTGGGGGCAATGCCCACTGGGGGATAGTTGCACATAGTCTGCATCTGGTGCCGTCGCGTAGGCGCGTGCTGCCCAATAGGGGATTATCCACGGGTCCTCCCGTCCATATAGGAGGAACACAGGGATGTTGCACGTAACCACCTCGTCCAGTGCTTCCTCAAACGTCAAGTCAGCTTGTGGCGTAAACAAGATCTGCGCAAAGGCCGCAGCACCTGCTGGGTGGTCCGCCATGGTGGCAATGCGCTCCGCCAACTCATGGCCAACTCCAGCAGGGTTCGAAGTGACGAAATTCAAGAGCCATTCAATGGAATCTGGATTTCTGAGGGTGTTGTACCATGCAAGGGTTAGGGGTCTGACAGACTCGGGCACGGGAAACTGGCCCTTCCATGGAAAAGCATCATGCAGGTCCGGATTCTTGGAGCGGTTGGGAATCCAACCCCAGAATGGCGTGGCATTCAGCAGGAAAGCGCCCTTGATCCGACCGATGAGGCTTGTGTTCATGGTTGCTGTGGCCAGAACCGTGAGGTATCCTCCCAGCGAGTTTCCGCCAATGATGACATTAGTTTCCTCCACACACTCTTCGATGAAATCTTTCACCTGCTCCACCCACAAGGCCTCCCCAATGACCATATCCTCAAAAGGAGGGCACGGCTGTCCGAAACCCCACTCCGTCCCTGGGCTTCGGATCTTCTCCGGGGTGCCGGGAGCAGGATCGCAGTCCTCGGCTTTGAATTAATTAGGGAGAATTTTTTTTAGACTTTATCTCATAATGGCTCCCTTTAAGTAATAGGTCCCCAACAAAGTCTTTAAGTATGGTACTCCAAAGCCCAGTTTCAGAATGGTTCCCTTGAAGTAACAGATCCCCCCAACAAGTCTTAACTATACTGAACTTAGAACCCTAGCAAAAATTACAATTTTAGCTGTTTCTTAGGGATTATAATAACCAAACATTAAAAATTATTTCTAAGTACCCCTAAGTTAAAGTATGGTACTCCAGAGCCCAGAGTCTGGCCAGGACAGGCCGGCTCCTACGTTGTCGGCCGCATACACAGTATACCTTGGCTGACTTCTGATCCCCTCCTAAAGGTGAAATTGGGTTTAGGGTTTAAACTTTTAGCCTCCTTATTCTAGTTATATATATATATATACAGTATAGTATAGAATACCAAAAAGTTAAAATCCTAAGAGGCAACCAGAAGAACGCCAAGATGCCCCGCCTCACTTAGAGGACCAAATTGTGCCTCGTAGTGGAATGAGGCAACCCCAAAGCCATGCATCAAGACGACAGCAGTGTCAGTTCCAGGAATCTTCGAGTCAGCCTTCGCATAGTGGACGGTAATTCTCTCCTTCCAGTGCCACTTCTTGCTGGTGGCTGTTTTGGGCTTCATGAGCTCTTCCCTTCGTGCGGTGCGCTCAGCAGTGACAGTTCGCCTCACGCGAAAGTTAACCGACTCTCTGCCTTTCCGACCCGTCCAACAGGATGCCACTGCCGAGCACAGCACGGCACTGAGTCGTGCTGCCTGAGGTTCTCCGTGGCTTGCTGGGCTTCTGGACGATCGAGCTGGATGCCGCACCAGCCCAGCAGGACTTGTGTGCAACGAGTTGGCCAAAGTGCTTGACACTGCACTGCCAAGGGAAGCCATGGCAGCTGCCCAGCACGGCTCTCAGTCTCCTCTTCTGACCAATTCGATCTGATTGCATCATCCTTTTGGGCAGATCGCCCCGTCATGCTGCTGAAAAGCTCGGTTCTTGCTGTTCCACTTAGCTAACCTGGACACTTGCAACAAATGGAATGTAACCTTGACGGCTGTGACGATTGCTCTCGGACTAGCTGCCTCCCCTCAAAGCCTTCAAAACAGAGGCTGAACCGTCAGTATGGTACGCACTTCAACCCATGCACTTGCAAACCTAGAGCCGCACGACGATTTCGACTCAAGCCATGCAGGAAGCCTCTTTTCCCGCGCTCCCACACGTCGCCAACCCCAGAAGTACTTCGCCTTCTGGTCTGGGCTGGCAAAAGTTCTCACCTCCCAGGCACCAGCACACACTCGTTCCAGTCGGACTGTACCTTAACCGCCTTTAACAACAGGATTGGGAAATTACGGTTGGGATTTCCGTCCATGCCAAGAAATTGAAGCCACTCAGTCAGCCCCTGCCTGGCCGCGACTAGGATTCTGGGGAACCTTCGCCGCAGTTTTTGATGACTACCTGCAGCGACAACACAAGTAGCAGTACGTTTGACGGTAGTAGTGGCAGTGGCAGTGGCAGTGACAGCAGCAGGGGCAGTGGCAGTGGCATAGTCTTCGTCGTTATACCAATAGTCGTCGTCCTCCTCCTCGCCGTCGTCGCAGTCGCAGTCGTAGCGCAGTCCTGGTCGTCGTCGTCGTACCAGCAGGTGGTCGTCGGGGTCGTCGTCGGCATAGTAGTAGTAGTAGTAGTAGTAGTAGTAGTAGTAGTAGTAGTAGTAGTAGTAGCAGCAATAGTAGTAGTAGGAGGAGTAGTAGTACTAGCAGCAGTAGCAGCAGCAATAGCAGCAGCAGCAGCAGCAGCAGCAGCAGCAGCAGCAGCAGCAGCAGCAGCAGCAGCAGCAGCAGCAGCAGCAGCAGGAGGAGGGAGGAGGAGGAGGAGGAGGAGGAGGAGGAGGAGGAGGAGGAGGAGGAGGAGGAGGAGGAGTAGTAGTAGTAGTAGGAGCAGGAGGAGGAGGAGGAGCAGTTGCAGCAGCAGCAGGATGCTCCTCAAACAAAGCCAAGTCACCCGCAGCGACGGAGCTCCACTCTCACTGCCGACCTTCTCTATGGCCTCTGCAGGTAAGCCCAGACCGCGAGTTTATTGCTCAACATGAACTGTTATGTTTGTGTGCAGCTACATACCGAGAGCGGCGTCCTTGTTTTATCTTTGAGGTCCTTTACATTCAGGGACCTCGTTCTGGCGGAAATCCTAGACTGGCAAAGAAATGACTGGCCTGGCAAGACATGCTGTGCAGTTGGTTGGCACACCTTGCCTTTACCACAGAGTAGCCCTTGATCACCTGGCCGAAGACCACGTGGGCACCATCCAGGTGGCTCGTTGTGACCGTGCATAGGAAGAACTGGCTTCCGTTGGTATTCTTGCCTCAAGGGTGGAGCAATCGCATTTGATGGTTAGAACACAGAGAAAACCTGGTGCGCGAAAAATATGCAGGACCTGCATCACTCGTCACAAGCACTAAATACGAACAAGTCTGAACAACCCTAAACCCTACGAGCCATTGGCACCTGTCTGTTCCCGCACAGCTTGCCTGCATTTGCCATTGATAAGATGCCTGGCCCGGTGTGCTTCAAGGTGAAGTTCTCGTCCTCTGGACTCGGGTTTAGGCTTTAGGGTTTAAGGAGTTTAGGGTTTAGGGTTTAAGGAGTTTAGGGTTTAGGGCTTAAGGAGACTACGGTTTACGGTGTTAGGTTTTAGGGGCTTCAGGCGGGTGACAAGGGCTGTCCTCGAAGCTCTCTCCGTAGATGGACTTTCCACCGGTTCCATTGCCTGGCAACGCACCTAAAGTCCCCCACTACGCACAATAAAACTTCAAAGGCGGCAACCATCCTTCTCAGAAACGAAAGCAGGCGCATGAAGCGGCCGGGATGCCTTTGGTGAAGTCTCCGCCCTGCAGTCACCGAATGCATTCACAAGCTACCTGCCACTGACATGTCTGGTTGTCGGGTTCTCAAATTAGGACAACCTTTCGGGTCCGGAATATAAGCAAATACAACAACAGCACTACTTAAGAAAACATTGGATTAAGAAAATGAGACTCTGGATTTTGCGATTGATAGGGTTCTACATAAAATACCAAGCACTGTTAAAATAAGAAAACCAGGGTACCCTCGTCCGCAAGTCTCATTTTCTTATTTCGTTCTGTCATGCTAGTGCGCGTAAACTTGGCCTGTGCTGTATGAGGGGTTCCATACATCAGGGGCTCTTGCCTAACATCCTAGCCCTAGTACTTGGGGTGTCCTAGGCACTTCGTGCCTTGACTCTGCTGAAGTTTCCCCTCCAAGGCTTCCAAGCACGGCTTTCAGGGATCGTAGGCATCGTGGTCTTTAGCTGGGTTCTGGAACGAAGGAGAATAAGAACATGCGAGAGTCTCGTTTTCTTATTTAGGTGGGTTCTGGAACGAAGGAGAATAAGAAAATGCCAGAGTCTCGTTTTCTTATTTAGGTGGGTTCTGGAACGAAGGAGAATAAGAAAATGCCATAGTCTCGTTTTCTTATTTAGGTGGGTTCTGGAACGAAGGAGAATAAGAAAATGCCAGAGTCTCGTTTTCTTGTTTAGGTGGGTTCTGGAATGGGCCCTGGACACAGCTATATAAGAAAACGGCCACAAGAAAACGCCATCAAAATAAGAAAACCAGACCACCCTCGTCCCAGAAAGTATTTTCTTACACAGCGCTCCCGCTGTAGATCATCTATATATAGAGCCCTTATGGACCCTGTATAGATCCCTTGTACTGTTTGGGGGATAAGAAACACACCCCAGCTTCGACAACTAGCCATCTGCCTGGCACATGAAGTCCGGAATGATGCGATGGAACTTGCAGCCTTCACCAGAGGTACTGACATCAGGCTCCATCTTTAGGTGGCCGGGTTCAGGGTTTGGGGTCCAAACTTAGGGTTTGATGTTGAGAGTTTTGGGTCCAACAAAAGTGCATCTCGAGTGTGCAGAAGTTCGAGATGACTCTGTGAAAGTCTGGAAGTCGATCGAAGTACTCACAATGCTTCCAGGCTCATGCTTCATCTCACAAACGGACAGGTCCGAATTATGAGCCCAAACCGGTGATGCTATCTATGCGGAAGCTATCCTCTGTTCCCCATCGCTTTACGAATCAAACCCGGTGCCGAATGTGCGTCGCTGTCTCAAAATTCCATAGTACGGTGCTGTACCCGAACCAAAGTTCTCAGGATACAGCTTCGAATTCTAGGATGCAGGGGCCCTGCACCGAGGTGGAGATTGTGATGGAGCTCAAACAAGGCCAGAACCCTAACAGCAAGACCATGAACCCTGAGCCCTAAAGCCGAAACCCTGAACCCGAAAAAACATCGAAATCCGAAGGTCGAGCATCCGGAGGCGGAAAATCCCAAAACTCGACGCCAAAAAGCAGCGGCCTTTAAAGCCGAATCCCTTCTCCATGGTGCACAGTGCACGGAAGTTTTCGGCCTAGGAAATTTTTCAAACGGATTAGGTTCGTTCAAGGTTGTGGGATTAGGGCTAAGTTCAGGTTCAGGGCTTGGGGTTCGGGTTTTCGGTCATGGTTTAAGCGTAGTCTTTGGGGGGTTGAGGGTGCTCTTGCAGCTTCTACAGCCGTTTCTGCACACACACACACACACACACATGCATACCTCCAGCAGCCACGTCCCTGGCGCTCGCTCGTCACCCCCGACACACACACACACACACATTCCCTGTTCTGAAGCCGTGCCATCGCTGCTGATTTTTATGTGAGTTTCATCATAGTGTTGTGTCTTTGCCAGTGCCGGAAAATTGCAGCTGCATTTTTTCGTTGATGGTGACACATATGCTGATGGCTCCAAAGTGCCTGTGGGCTTCTATATGAAGGATTGGCTCCTAATCACTAAGCTTGTAGTAGCTACTGATAGATTCCGTTAAAGGAACCCCGTCAGCAACCCTTCTGCCCTAAACCCTAAAACCACTCCAAACCGTAGACCCCAAACAGGAGTCATGAGAAGCCCTGATCTTAACCAGCACCCCAAACTCCCAACAACGAGAGTTGCCAAAGCTCACCAGGCCCCAGAGAAAATCGTAGTGTGCGGGCCCCATATTTTCCGACTTCTAGTATAAGAAACCCCTAAACCCTATTCAAAATATGAAGGCCCCTGCAGTCCTTATGCCTGTCCTCCGAACTCAAGAGTTTCCACCCGGAGCCGCCCCATCTGAGCACATAAACCTTCAACCCTGGACCGTTTAGTTTCCAAGGCTTTAGGGGTTTGGCGTTCAGGGGATGAGGGGTTTAGGGTTCAGGAGACCCACGCTACCCCTATCGAAACCAGAGACATCCTTGACTTGCACGTGCCGATGATGTTTGTCTGGCTGTCCCCAGCTTTGGCCTGCCTCTCTCCGTCATTGGTCATTGGGCGGTCTGCCTTTCATGTCCTTTCTCCTCCTCGGTGCCTGCATGTGTGCTCGTGTCGTTCCTCTTCCCTGTCGGTCGCTCGATCCATCCTACTACTATAGTAGGTCAAGCCACCAATCTGTCTGTCAAACATCTATCTGCCTCTTTCTCTTTAAGGACAGCCCTTTCTGCGATATTTACTGTCTGTTGTCAGTTGTGTGTGTGTGTGTTTCTCTCCGGCTTCTCTCCGGCTGTCCCTCTGACAGACCGTCTGTCAGTTCATCTACTATGTCTCTGCCGGCTTTCTGTCTCTGTCTTCAGGTCTCCCTTCTCCCTGTCTCTGCCAGCTGTGTGCCGAACTGCAAATCCAGACGCAAACGCAGGCTCATGCATACGTCGGTACATCATCTCACTGAGTCTGTCGAGCGCGGAACTCGGAGAATGCAAGCAGATTTCATAGGGACCCATAGGGGCGTAGGGGGGAGGCGGGTAGGGGACTTCCATAAATAGCCCTTACTAAGTCCTTATTCTAGGTACTAAGGCCCCCTACCCCCCTAAGGGTCCTTATGAAGATTGCTTCTGAAGAACGAGGCCCAAGCTGTTTTCGGGACTGTGTCTGCCTCAGCTGGAATGTCGTTATCGTGTTAGTCTCTTCAGAACGGTCCAGGGTTTAGGGTTTTAGGGTGTAGGGCTTAGGGTTTAGGGTGCCATGATGCGCGAATGATCCGTTTCAGATGCAAGTAGCCGAGAGAATGAAACTGTAGCAACCCGAAAAAGATGCTAATTTGATTTTGCGCTGTGTTATGCGCTTCCTTCATACAAATAACGAACACTCAGGGGCATGTGCTAAAAAGTATGGACCCCCTTTCGGCCACCGTGCAACTTGTCTTTTCTCAATACACACAGCGCTGGTCAATGCTACATCGCTGTTTGCTCTTGATCCCTGCAACCTGTAGCCAGGTTCCCTGAATACTACGCTTACCTCTTTTCCTAACACTCAGCTTTAATAAGGAGACTCCAAACTACAAAGGGCAAAAGGGTACTACTCAGGAACCTATGTTATCAGCCCCGGACTCCCTTGACAAAACAGGACTTGACACTACCAGAGGCTATGTCGAATTTTTCAGGCACTGGCTCATCCTCCGGACTCCGTGCAGCCGCGGTGCTTTAAGCTCGATCACAACCTTGCCTAGAACCTTGCCATCGCACTCGATCTCAAGCCAGCAGGTAGGATTTGCCGGATTTGGAGCACCTGGCAGAATCCATGCTCATGAGGCTTCGGGTCTACCCGACCCCCGTCTTCGTCGAAGCAAAGCACCGACACACGCCACAGTACCACGTAGCGATCTTTAGATGCTCTTGTTGATGCTGCAGATGGTGGCGAAGGAGGCAGAGGTGAGAATGACAAAGGTGCGAACGAGGACCACAACAACGGACGAGGATTAGGGATACCAGTTCCATTGGCAGACGTCGCCACAGCAGTAGTGGCAGCAGCAGTAGTAGTGATGCGACCTAAACCCTAAACCCTAAACCCCAAACCCCTAAACCCTAAACCGCAATTTCCAGCAACGGCCGCAGCGACCACGTCCTGAGGGCAGGGCCGAGAGGAGGCTCAAACTTTGCATCGACTGCTGGATCCACAACTGGTCCACTATTGACACAGCCCATGGCCTGTACACAAGAGTTAAAAAGTGTGAAGCTTTAGCTATCTGGCTTGGGCCGAAGCAACTGAGGATATCCGATCACATGCGGCACTGCGCAGGAGAAACGCACCAATGCGACAAACAAACATGCAGAACAGTCATTTCTCGCCGCTCACGCCTGTGCTTGTGCTAAGCAGCGTCCCGGAAAATCCTTCGCCTCCGCAGCTACCACGAGGCTGGCGCTAATCGCTTTGCGACTGCCGCACAGTTCCCACGAAGTGCCCGGAGCCCTAAACCCTAAACCCCTCTCAAACTTTCGACTCTTAACGTCCCCAAACCCGTAACCCTACCTCACAGGAATCACATCAGCCCATTGGGCCGCGGGAGTCGCAGAGCATCTGCGACTCTGCCCTGCGACGAGTTTAGGGCTTAAAGGGTTTAGGGTTTAGGGCAAACTGGTGGAACGGAGGTAGGTTTTGGGGCTTTTGGGGCTTGGGGTTTCGGGTCGAAAGGGTTGAGATTTGGGGGTTTAGGGGTTGGGTTTCGGGGCCAGGGGTCAGGATTCAGGGTTTGGGACGTGGCGTTCTATGAGAACTTGCCCCTAGGCTTTGTGGTTTGGGGTTTAGAACTCCCTTACGGAGCTGGATGTACAGCAAGGAGGAACATACCCAGTACATGCGCTCGTACACGCACGCATACATGCATCATGAAACCGATGCTATTGTAACATCATGCATGCATCGCATCAGACCAGGGGTTAAAGTATATTAACTATGAATCTAGAGCAGTATGAACTCTCGCTATCTAATGCTGAGCTGGACTGCTTATCCGGACGTTCCGCTGCAGCTTGGGGTGCTTGTCTGGGGCCCTGACGAGAATTTGCGAGGGCACGGCAGCCATGCTCAGCTCATTGCAGAGCACCACAGCAGTCACTGGCTTAGCAGCCTTGGGTTCGAAATAGGGGTCAGCAAAAATGAGAATGGGGTTGTGGAGTATGCTGTATAGTCTTATGTATATAGGGACCCAAACAAAATACGACTTCCAATTATTCAGAGCCGGGCTTGAGGCAGGAGAGCTGATGTCTCGGGTTACCCACTCGGCTTAGAAGGCAAGGGGCAGCAGCGCCGCCGCCAGTGAGTGCCTCGGTGCACCACAGCAAACACAAATCCAAGAAGATTATGCAAGCGTGATACACGCGACTGCCTTCGCAGTCCGAGAATGAATATGGATGTGTGTGTGTGTGTGTGTGTGTGTGCGTGTGTATGTATATATCTGTACATACATGTACATATATATATATATATATATGTATACAGATAGGTAGGTAGATAGCTGGATGGATGGATGGATGGATGGATGGATGGATGGATTGATAGACAGATAGATACAGAGAGCGAAAGAGAGAGAGAGAGAGAGAGGAAACAAAAAACAATCACCAACACAGAGAGAGAAAGAGAGAGCGAGGCATACACATTCTGCTTATATGAGAAACACATATACATAAATACACACACATACACACACACACACACGCATGTGTATATGTATATCTATATATATATATCTATATATATATATGTATACACACATACATATAGACAAAGCACATTTTCGTTTAGTTGTTTGTATGTACAGTCCTCGTTTGATATATATATATATATATATACACATATGTATATGTAAACACAAAAAACAAACATACATGCATACATACATAAATACAGTTACGTACATGCATACGTAGAGTTACATACATGCACACATACCTACAAAGCATACAGAGTATACATAACATACATATACATATTCCTACAAATATATATATATATATATATATATATATATATATAAGCACACAGCGCATGCAAACACGCATACATCTGTGAAAATTTGGTTGTTGGTCTGTTTCTGCCGAGGTGCCTCTCCTGGCCATTGCAAAGCCAGGCCGAGCAGTCCGCCACAGCTGGAGAGACCTCGAACAGTATAGTGCAGTAGAGTATAGTATAGTACGATATAATACATGTCAGGGCCATGATAGGCACGGGAATCAACTGACTAGTACCTACCATGACACGTGGTAATGCTGAAAAAAGCATTATAATTACAACAATGACTGCCATAGCGACAACAATCGTCAACATCTTACAGTCGTAACGCCGCTCGTAGTAGTACGGGCGGCAAGAAGCATCATTCGAGGGCTCTAACATGGCCCCGGGGGTTTCCCTACCCGATTGAAGCCGAAGCCTGCGATTCGTGTCCGGCCGTGAGCCCTGCAAGCCAGAACTCTGATCCCGCCTAGGGCTCTTTTGCCACAGCCCTCCAGCTCCACCACCTGGCTATGGATGGAAACTGCACAGCTTGCAAACATGTGGATACGATTTTTTCGGCCGTGTCGAGTGGCGTTGTTGTAAGATCATGATTTGCTAGATGAGATGCCGAGAGTATATACCTGCGGCATATTCTCGCTACAACTGTACAGCTGTACAAAGGGCTCGTGATACTGGTAACCAGCAATACAATTATGTGTAGCTGAATCGCAATTTGATACTCTCCTTCTCCGAAAGACCCCAAACCCTAATCCCTATAAACCCTAAAAAAGAGCCATGTGCGGCTTTTGGCATGAGGACGGTACGGAATGAAGAAACGCGGTACATGTCTCCGCTCTCAAAGCTATACGTGACGCCTCTATCGGTGGATAGGGCGAAAAGACCCAAACGAGAACCTTGTGTCCTTGAGAATATCCCTCACCCCTGAACCCCAAATCCCTGAACCCTAATCCCTACACCCTCATGTAATCCTTCAGCCCTCATCCCTAAACCCTCATCCCTCAACCCTAATCCCTAGTCCCTACACCCTCAACCCTGAACCCTCAACCCCCTAAACCCTTAACCCTCAACCCCAGAATCCGCAAACCCTCTAGAGCCCCATTGCTGCACCGTGCCTGCAGCCCTCGGTCGTCCCAGCTGCGTGGTGCGGGCGCCAGCTGGGACAAAAGCATCCCCATGGGGTGGCCTGGGTTTGGGGGTTTGGGGTTCAGGGGTTTAGGAGTTTAGGGTTTAGGAGTTTAGGGGTTTAGGGGTTTAGGGGTTTAGGGGTTTAGGAGTTTAGGGTTTGTTGTCCTAGAGTCTACGCTCGTAGGATTTACGGTTAAGGGGGCACTTTCCGGAATTCTGTCTCAAGGCTTGGGATATCGGACTTCCAGCTTCGGGCATCAATGGCAGCTCTGTTGTCCGGGACACTCGATCCTCCTTGTGTCAACACAAGAAAGAAACATCTAGAGGAGACCGAAATGCCAGAGGCAGTTTGCCAGGGTCTACGATACGTGTACAAGGAGAAGAAAAAATCCATGGTTAAGCATGACCAGAAGTAAACTTATCTGTCTATAAAGAGGTGCGCTTAAACTGTGTCTGTACATATATGTATTACATTTTTCTGCGTTGTATATCAAATTATACCATACTATACTATGCTATGCTATACTATACTATGCTACACTATACTGTGCTACAGTATTTAGCATTACATAGTATGATGCTATGTGCTATGTTGTAGTATGTTCCATTCTAGCCTCTTGTGTTGTTATATCATATACAGGCATGTATGCATACATATAGGTACACGTATAGGAATATGCTTGCTTACTTATACACTCAAGTGCATATGCAAACCGATAGGTTAGACTAAACCAGGTTAGATTAGAGGTCACATCAGTGCACAGTACATACATGTATATAATGTGTATATATATATATGTCTATATATAAATATGTATACATACGCATCTATACATACATACATACATACCTACATATAAGTACAAGGAGAGAGAGAGAGAGAGAGAGAGAGAGAGAGAGAGAGAGAGAGAGATAATACGTGTATAAAACTGTATCTGCACATACATACAGCTCTATACATATGTGCAATAGTCAAAAAGACAGGTAAACCTACTACAGATGTACACACACACATATATATATATATATATATATATGTACACATAGCATCCACGGCTGCATACCTGCAAGAATGACTCTGCCATGGCAACAGAGCGCACAGTTGCCCAAAGGTCCGAAGACCAAAGATGAAACAGTAATAATGAGCCGTTGAGCCCCAAATACACCCAAAGCTGAAACCAGAAACCTCTTTACCGGGGCTGCAGCTGTGCGATATCTCGACCTCGCGCGCGCACACTGGCCTCCGAGGATTGTCGCCACAGGGTCTTACTAAGTAGAATGGGGTTTGGGATGTACAATATATTAACGTAGCTGTAATATATACTTGGACCTCTGTCTTATCGAACTCGCCACCATGCGCTGGAAGATGCTGCCGCCTTGCATCTTTCGTAGGGCATGCGGAAGCAAGCACCTCGGCAAGAGATCCTAGCACTGTCAGAGCATAAACCCTTAACCCTCATACTAGCCCTCATTCACAGTACCTTACCGGAACCCTTATGATTTCTTGCCGAAATAAACCCCACATAGTATGCATCACCGCGCCCCCTTCTTAGAAGGACCCTTATATAGTACGAACTCTGAAGTCGAAACATGGGCTTCTGCTCAGAGTCGTGTTCCAGCTGGGTGCACCACCCATGCCAGACCTCAGCAACATGGGTAGTTGTCAAAGTTAGGGTCCCTTCTTGGGTACCCTAATAGGTGCCGTACTATAATAAGGACCCAAAAAGGGACCATAATTTTGACAACCACCCACATGAAATCGCGCATGCTGCGGTAAACTGCACCAGCGCCGAGGGAGATTTAACGCATCGGAAGCTGTGGCGCACACTGCGTGCAGAAGAAGCGCACGCCAAATCGGGGCAAACCTGGAAAGCCGGGTTTTCCTATCGCAGCGGTGGTCTTGTGGGGCTAATCCCTTCAGCTGCGGCAGCAGCCACGTTCAACCATTCGAATACAGGAACCTTATTCACTCGAATGGCTTTGGGCTACAACATATCGAAATTTTATTTGCAGAGTTGCTAATTTTGCAGCACTCTACAACGGAAAATATCAACAATCCGGCAACTTCGAACGAGGTGGCTTGAAGTGATCAGTTCGAGCCCCAATCCTGAAAACTCAAAACCCAAAGGCTCTACTGCAAACTCTCTAGCCGACTCTTACCCGAAGGGTTCAAAGGACCCAATAACAAGGTACTTCGGTTTTAGGATAGTAGTTATGTAGGTTCATATTTGGGAGAATATATGGGACTTTTCGAAAATTAGGGGTACCTTACTTTGGGTTCCTTGTAATAAGGATCCTACTGTTTAGGGTACTGTAGGTCCCCTATGTTCCGAAACCCCCATATGAGTAGTTGTCAACCTAAATATTAGGTGCCGTATTTTTTTTGGGTTTAGGGTTTAGCATAATTTTGACAACCACGCAAATGATTATCAGGTACTTGGACCCTTGGGGCACCCCTGAAGTGCAGGTGCCTCGGAAGCCCACAACGCAGCTTGGTTCGCAAGTCCGACATCGGCCAAGAGACCGCCAGCATCCTTCTTCGAAGCGGTTAGGGATTTAGGGTTACAGGGTTTAGAGTTTAGGATTTCGGGATTTAGGGTTAGAGGGTTTAGGGTAATGTGGGGCTTAAGGTGTAGGGTTATAGGGCTTAGGGTGAGGTTTGGTATGATCGGGTTTAGGGCTATTGGGGTTAGGCTTTGGGGTTTTAGGGTTATCGGATTCCGAGCTAATGCTCCGGGTTCGGGATATGGGAGTTTCCGAAAATTAGGGGTACCTTACCTTGGGGCCCTTATAATAGGGATCCTACTATTTAGGGAATCATATTAGGGTTCCCTATTTTCGGAAACTCCCATATGGGAATTGGGATTGAGGACTCAGGGCTGACGATTTATGACGGCGAGTACCCACTCTCCCGGCCTCGAAGACACTTCGCGCCAGGGTCTTGCGCTGCGTGTCTGCGCAGCAGAGGGAGTGGGATTCAGCGTATCAGGTTTCTGTAGACACTGTAGAGATTTGAATAACATCACCATGTTCATACAGTAGTGACGAGTCGAAGGCCCGGTGCGGGACCATGGCCTAACACAGACAACCAGAGACACAGCCTGGCTGCTTCTTTGGGCTGTCATCCGTCTGCTTGTCTGCCTTGCCGTTGCCTTCATGCATTGGGCATGGCGAAGCTTATCAGATGTATACAGCAGATGAAGTATGTCACTTGTCGTCTCCCAGAGTCCAAATTGGCATGTTTAGAGCTCTGTTGCTGAGATCTGACTCTTTAATCCCTTCCCCCTAACATTAAACCCCCCTAATATGAAAACTACCGCCCCCGGAATTTTGTGGTTTCGGGCCCACAATTGAAAGTCAATTAAAAACATTAGGGGGGTGGGGGCTAAGATTGTATAAGTTTTAATAGAGCCAAAGATTACAGCTGTACGAAAGACAGCAGAGCTTTAGGGTTTAAGGGTTTAGGGCTCAGGGCTAAAGCTTTAGGGCTTAAAGTTTAGGGCTCAGGGCTTTAGAGAGCCAAAGATTACAGCAGTACAAAAGACACCAGAGCTTTAGGGTTTAAGGGTTTAGGGCTCAGGGCTAAAGCTTTAGGGCTTGGGGCTTTGGGGCTGAAAGTTTAGGGTTCGAGGTCAACCCCACTAATACGCGGATGCACCGAACCGAAACCCCCCTCATACAAAAACTAAACCTCCAAAATCCAGTTTTAATATTAGGGGGGGGGAGGTTGGGGGCGTTTAATATTAGGGGGAAACGATTGTAGTAGCAGGTCATGACAGAATCCTGGATACACCTTCACTCATCTGAGGGGCAGACCAGCAGTCTTTGCTGCTACCGGCTCCTTGGACGCAAGAGCAGTGACTGCAGCACGAAGCTCTGTCTTCCACGGCTTCAGTGCTGTTCTTCCTACTGTTGCTCGCAACTGCATCCTCTTAACTTCTGGCTCAGGTCATTGCCGTCATCTGCACAAACGCCAGCATAATTTCACAACTTACATTTGGTTAGTAGGGAATGGAAGAATGGTAGTAATAGTAGTTATAATTGTACCCCATTCCTCCATTCCCTACTAACCAAAGGTAAGACAATGGAGGACCATCACCAACGGCCAATCTCACAAGCACGGCTACCGCCACCGCCGCCGCAAGCACTCCTCCACCACAATCACCAGCATCTTCATCACCACCATCCTGAGAATCACCGTATACTAGTCCTATACTATTCTGGTGGTTCCTTATTATACTTATAGTATAATCTATACTATTTTGGTGGTTCCTGATTATACTTATATAGTATAATGGGCCCCAACACCGTATTACTATTCTGGTGGTTCCCTATTATATAGTTTTAGTATAATGGGCCCCGAAACCCAATTCATCCCAATTCTAGTTATCATCGTCGTTTAGACCCCGCGCCTCCTTCGCCTTCCCGGGTGCACTGGCTTTCGGCTGGGCGGCAGGGCCAGTGAAGATGCCACCTGCGGGTTTAGGATTTAGGGGTTCAGGGCTTAGGGTTTAGAGGGCTCGAGGCAGGCCGAAATACTTCGACTTCGGGCCATCGTGCTTCAACTGGGTCTCAAAAATTGCATCTCCTATAGCAGGGGCTTCGATAGCGGCTCTTATCCCAGTAGGGAGCCGAAGATGCCCTCGACGGAGGTAGAAAAATGCTCATCGGCGTTGGCTTTCTGATGTTGCACCAGAATCGGAAGCTTGAAACAGCATGTGACTTCCACTTCCGAGGCCACTATCAAACCGAAACCCTGAACTCTAATCCTCTAACCCCGCAGCCCTGAACCCTCATCCCTTCATCAGAATTTTCTTTACCGCCTGTGGAAGCTTACGTAGTTTCAGGGGCAGCCCTTCTACATGCGCTCCTCGAGGATTCCCGAGGGCCAACTGAACTCGGAACCTTTAGATCGCCAAGCCAAACCCTGAAACCCATAGAACCCTAAACCGCTAAGCTCAGCCCCTAGACCCACAGATCCTGAACTCCTAAACCCTAAACCCCCAAACCCCTAAACCCCTAAACCCCTAAACCCCTAAACCCTAAGCCCCTAAACCCCCACAGATCTTACCTCCAGGCTGAAAGCTCAGAAATCAGAAACAGGGTGGTCCCTGCCTGAGCTGCCGATGGCGCCTTGAGACCCCGAGCTCGTAAGCTTAGGGTTATAGGGGTTTAGGGTTGTAGGGTGTATGGTTTCAGGGGTTTAGGTTTTTTTTGTTTTTAAGCTCTTTTTTCCCAGACGCAGATCCAGCTTCCAAGAAGGCCCTGGGGGCCAGGAGGCCCAGACAACTGTACAGCCGGGGGGTTTTAGGGTGTAGGGTCGTAGGGCTTTAGGGCTTCAGGGTTTTAGGGTTTAGGGATTCAGGTTAGGAGGCCTTTGTCTGTCTTTTAGGGAGCTGACAAACGGTTCCAAGACTTCAAAGCAATCCACCATGTAGGAGCACACTACAGGGGCCGAATAGGGCTTCGGGATATATACCATAACTGCAATAAGGAAACGCAAAAATGGTATTATTACTAATTCTTTAGCCTCTCTGCTATAGGCTTCGTCTTTGTGGGTCCTACTTTTAAACCCTCGAAACCTAAAACCCTAAACCCTAAACCTGAAAGCACTTTTTAGGCTTCTGCACTTGGCCTTGAGCCAAAACGTCAGTAACATGCAAACTGTACAGGAACTAACTACCCTATAGCCCTCACTTCCAGTCACGCCTCCCGAGTGAGATGCTGGCACAGCTCTCACGAGTGGTGAGGCATGGGTTGTTAGCTTCACGTCTTCAGGGCCAAAGGATGTCGTCCCGCTCTGCTGTTGTAGCCCATTCCTTGCAGGAACTTCTGGATGAGCTTCGCATCCAGAGGCTTTGTCATCAGGTCAGCCTGGCGGATGTAGGTACGTCTGAAGGGTGCTACCTCGGGCTTAACCAGTTCGCGAGCAGGTGGAGGCAGTCCCTCCTCAACTTGAGCTCGAACGGTCAGTGGCTCGGGTAATCGAGCACCATCTCCAGTCTCGTCCGGTGAGGTCTTCCAGGGCAATCCACGAACTGCCTTGACCAAGTCGGAATCCCATTGTTGGCCCTCGGGTTTCCGCTTGATGCTCTGGACCACAAAGATCCCTTGGTTGGTCCCCACGATCTTCTCCGTGCTTTGCAGACGTAGGCCCAGATAAACTCCAGATTGCCATCGCGAATCCAGCTTTGAGCGCGTATTGCGGCGGTAGTCCACAGCTTCACCGAAGCATGGCAAAGCCACTTGCCACTTGCGCCCCTTTATTCGCTGAAAAGGCGTCAACCCTTCATGGAGCTCTTGACTGAACAGGGTGTGCAGCACACCAGCATATTCAATCATCCAGGCAAACACGGCTGAGGTGGGTTCAAGGGTAATGCCCTTCTCGGTCAAACTGGCCTTCAGGGTCCGCACTAAACCCTGCACTGTCTGAACGGACCTCTCAGCTTCCCCGTTGCTCTGCCCGTGGTGGTCCCCCTTAGGTGACTCTTCCGGAACAATCTCCCCACTGAAGCCATTGCGAACAGCGAGAGATAGAGCTTTGATAGAAGCTTCTTGGTCGTTCTTTAGGACCAGTTTCTTGTACCCTAGGAATTCAAGGTCCTTCAAGATAGCTCGCTCAGGGTGCGTAGATCCGGTCGTTCCCTTGCACGGGAGGAGGTGCGAGAAGATAGCCTTCGAGTGGCGATCGCGAAGGACTATGGTGGGCAGTCCAGCGCCATCGGTCCTCTCATTGAAGTAGAGGTAGTCCATGCTGATGACAGGCACTGTGGACTCCTGACCCGAGGCTTTGTGCTGGTAGGCTCGACCACGACCTGCAACGCAGGCTCTGCACCAACTCCTGTATGGAACGTGGGAAACCTCATGAGCTGCTATCATCTCGGGCGTTGGTCGGTCTGGCCGGGCCAACGGCTGAGCAGACTGACCCTCATCGACCTGTGGCTGGGAGGACGCTGAAGCAGCTTCCTCCCTTGGTGGATCAGCACCGCCGGCTTCACCCACATAAAGGGATCCAGATCGATTCTTGCCCGAGTTAGACCTAGGCTTTTCCTCTGCTTTGCGTGTTGGGCTTCTTGGCTTTTCCTTTGCTTTGCGCGTTGGGCTTCTTGGTTCTTCCTTTGCCTTCTCCTTTGCTTTGCTTCCTTCCTCCTCGGCTTTGTCCTCTTCTCCTTCCGATCCTATGAAAAAGTGGTCGGGAGAACTAGCTACCGGAGGGGGCCTAGGAAGATGAAAAACGCTACCTTTTCCTACCGCGCCAAAATGGCTGTCAGGTGAAACTTTCGAATTTTTCTGTACATCTACAGCACCTACTCCCTGAGCTACCGCAAGGTGGGTGAAAACGCTTTCGGGCTTCCGGCCTCCCTTTGGGCTTACCTGCACTCCTCCGGGCAGTGCCGCGGGAAACCCTTGAAAGCAAACGTCGCCTTAGGCGACCCAAGGATCTTGAACACCAAAGTTTTCTCCTCGCTTCCTTTCACACGGATCACCGCTCTCGATCCTTTCAGGACGATCGTGTGCCCAAGCTTCAGCACTTGGGTCGCGCTGAGAAGCGCACGCTGCACCGAGGCCACGCAAAACCGGACCTTAAAGGAAAACCCTTCGGTCGACCTCAAAGACACCACGGCCGTACCGAGGTTTGGCAGCCAGCTTCCGTCTGCGGTGCGGAAGCCTGCCGGTCCTTCGGCGGGTCCCCATTCCAGGTGCTTCACCCACTCTTGTGGGATCACATTGTGGCTCGCCCCACTATCCAGGATCACTTTGATGGTGGTAGCCGAAGCGGCCCCACCAAACCCTGGCTCAAAGGAGTACACCACGGCCTCCTTGGCTCCTTCCCCACCGCCTGGTGGGCTCCTTGGCCCACGGCCCAAAGGTCGGTGGCCGGGGTCTGAGTCTGTGTCGGGGTCATCGTAACCCCTTTGGTCTTCTTCCTCGTCTTCGCTCAGGAGCTCTTTGGCCTTTTGCTTGGCCCTTGCTGCCCGCCGCTTCTTGTAAAAGCGGTCTGCAGGCTCGGTCGTCTTCACACGCCTGCTGTGGCACGAGTGGCAGTCGCTGTCATCATCCAGGTCCCGGTTGGCGATCGTTTCGCCCACCGTGCCCCTTGGGGCCAGGGCCCGGAGTTTCCTCCGGATTCCAACCCTTGCGCGAAACCGGGTTGCAGCCTGGTACTGCTTCGCAAGGCCCCTGCGGCGGATCTGCTTCTCCGGCAGGGCTGGTCGGTAGCCCTTGAGGTAGTTCACAAACCTCGAGTACATCTGGCTGTACTTGTTCAGCTGGGGCCTGCCTCGGGACTTGGGCTCGGCCCTCCAAGGTGCAGAGGCGATTGCCTCCTCCACCTTTCTTTTCTGGCTGAGGGTGAGCTCGGAGATGCCCTTTCTTCGCACCACAACCCCCGAGCCGTCGATGAAGGTGAAGACCATCTCCACCAGGTCCTCTTCTTCCTCTTCCTTCTTCTTCCTTCTCGACTCATGGCCCGGTGGCGGAGTACTCGGCTCTTTGGGCGTCGCCCGAACCTTAGGGGTCGGCCGCAGCTTAGGCGGTGGCCCCTTCGGCTCACTGGGCCGGTCGGTTCCGCGAACCCCCGCTGGTGGGGACCGAGGCGGTCCACCACCCGCTTCTTCCTTCATCTCCTGAGCCCTTCTTTTCTTCCTCTTCTGCTCTCGCAGCCTCTTGCCTTCGCGGCCCTCTGGCGTTAGCCGCCGAGGCTTGGCACTCCAGTCCCTTTCCTTGGGCTCGTCGAGCTCATCCCCAGAGTGCTCGCGGTCCTCGCCTTCGCCCCTCATCATAGCCTTTTCCCGGCGAGAGGGTGGTGCAGCCACCTTGGACCCAGCACTGGGCAGCAACGGATATTCATCCTGCTTGCGTGCCCTCTCGGGTATGTTGAACCTCCTCTCCAGGGCTTCCTCCCTTCTAACTCGTGCCTTGGCTTGCCCTAGCCTGAGGCTTTGTCGGTGCTTGGCCGCTCTCTGGCGGCTCTTTTCTTTCCGCTTTGCCAGCCGCGGGTTGTGACCCGCATTCAGGTCGGCCTGAAGCCTAGCCGAGATCCTTTCTTCTCGGTTCCTTTTGAGCTCCTGGGCCCTCTTGATCTGACCCTTAACCATATCCAGCATCAGCCGGTGCATGGTGAGCTCCCCTTGGTCACCTTCACTGCCCTTGGCTTCCACCTCGGCGATCTGAGCTTCAAGCTCCCTTCGCCTTTCCTGAAGCTTGTTCAGCACACTCATATCGGCCATCCTTAGGCCCACTGGGGTGGAACTGGCTGATCCCGCCTTGGCTTTAGCCTTGGGTGCCGGGGGATCCGTGGAGCTCCCGGCCCCAGAGGTGTCGGCACCAGGTGAGGAACGAAGCGCTCCATCACCTCCGCTTCCATCTTCCCTGCCATCGGCAGGGTCCCCATCAGGGTCAGCTTCGCCCTCGCCATCCAGAGCCCCTATAAAGCCCAACTCGGCTTCCTCATCAGGCTCTTCGGCTTCATATTCGGCATCGCCGGCCCCATCCATGGCGCCGCCCTCCGTGCCGTCAAGCTCGTTGGCTCGGCCCTTTGGCCGGTTCTTGTTACCCTTGCCCGCTTGAGCCTTAGGGTCCTTCGGGTTTCCTTTACCTTTACCCTTACTATCCTTATACCAACAGTCCCTAGCTAGGTGACCTACGCGTTGGCATATGTGACAGGTCCTGGTTTCTTTGGCCTTGTCCTTTCCTTTGTCTCCTTTCTTTCCTTTTCCCTTCGGTCCTTTGGCACCCTTCAAAGCATCCACCTCCATTGGCACAGCACCGTCCGTGGCCGTAAAGGCCCGCTTGGTATCCGCAAAGGACACCATTTCTCTCCTCAGCAACTCATAGCTGCTGAGCCTTCCCAGGTTTAGCTCCAAGTGGCCCTGAAGCTCAGACGGCGCGAGGCCGATCAAAGAAACCATCTTCTGCTGCTCCGTCAAAGGTGCGCAGTCCTTCCGCTGGCTGTACCGCCGGTGAGCATCCTCCCATTTTTCAATGGCTGGCACCAGGTCGGTGACGGAGTCCACCGCCGATGTGCTCATAAGTGACCTTAGCCACCTCATGCTGGTGACCATATCCGATGGATCCAGGCGGGCGTGCAGCCTCCGGAACATGTCCAAACCTGACCCAGTCGAACTATTCATCGTGATGTCCCCAGGCGCATCGCTGGTAAGCGTCCCAAGCACCACCTCAAGCTGGCGATTAAATTCCAGCACCGCTTCCTTGGCAACGCCCGTAATCGAAGTCGACTCCAGGCTTGCCAAAGGAATCTCGGTATCACCCTTTTCCTTGACCCAAGCAAGGATCTTCCTAGCATCCGGAAATTGCGAGGCTAGCCAAAGCTCAAGACGATACGACCATTGGCGCCAATTTCGCGACGCTTCTTCCAATGTACCGCCCAGCTGGCTCGGTCGCCCCACAGCTTTCACATCAATCAAGCCACGTCCCTTTGTGGCCGAGCTAGCCGAAGCAAAGCTCTGCGTTGCAGCTGCAAGCTGCTGTTGCCCATGAACCTGGGCTCACATTTCCTCTCCTTGGGTAGCCCCCACTCCTGTGGGACTTCCCGGCTGAGACATCAGTCTTTCTTAAAATGCCTCGAAAGGCGATCAAGCAACCTTCTTGGAAAATCCTGGAGCCGCACTCCAGTGTTGTGGAAAAGACGCTGAAGCTTTCGCAGCTTCCTTACCTTTTGAATCAATCGGACCCAATTGGCCCTGGCTCTCTCGCGCTGCGCTCTCCTTCTTCTACAAGCACAGCAGCAACCCATCCAGGATTGCTCCGCTACCATGAAAGCACTTTTTAGGCTTCTGCAATTGGCCTTGAGCCAAAACGTCAGTAACATGCAAACTGTACAGGAACTAACTACCCTATAGCCCTCACTTCCAGTCAAAACCCTCAAAACCTAAAACCCTAAACCCTCAAAACCTGAAACCCTAAACCCTCAAAACCCCAAACCCTAAACCGGGTCCTTCAAAGCCCAGATCCCGTCCTCCCGCCATGCCCCGTAAGTCGGCGAAGAGGGCGCTGGAGAGCGTCGCCATGTCCCTGCAGAGACTTTCGGGTTTCGGGTTTTTTTTTTTAAAGTGCAATGACGCCCCTTTCTCCAAAGCGCGCCTACCCTCATACGGGCATACACTAAATCAGCACGCCCCGCTTTTCTACAGGGAAAAATGCTGATGAAAACCTGCCACCTACAGGGTTTAGGGCTTACTTCCCAAAATCTGTAGCGGGAAATAGCCTCCAGAAGTACATCAACTTCTTTAAGGGTTCAGGGAAAGCACATCCGTTTCTTGTCGTGCTTTCAGTACTTGCTGCTGATACTGTTGATGATACAAATCCTGCATTACCTTAAGGACCCTAAACTATGGGAATTATGGTATATTCCTTATTATGGGTAATGCAGGATTTATATCATCAACAGTATGTTTCGGAGTTCAAGTGCAAGGATTTCAATCCGCTTCGGTAAACCCGGGCTGACACCTGGCGAGTCTTCGTCGGGCTTTAGGGGTTCGGCCTATTAACGACCCCTTTTTTACGAATCTAGAACCTTCTCGGGGAAATCAGAACCCTTTTTTTCAAATTAACAACTTTTCATTATCTCCTGAGTGGCGGCTTCATAATACGGGTACCCTTTGTACTACTATTTGGCTTTAATAAGGGAATCCAAAAGGAGAAAGGGCAAAAGGGTACTAATCAGGAACCTAGTTATGAATTACGACATTAATTGCGAAGCTTTAAAAACATTCACCAACATCAGGCCGACAACGCCTCAAAAAGGACTACATTTTCATTACTTATTGGGTTCAAGTACCCATAACAATGTTAAATGTTACCCAACTATGACAAAGAGGACCAGATCTAGAGCCCCCCGCCTGCTTGAAAGCCACAAGGCTAGGAGGACGCGGGCTTCGAAAGATCTCAAAACGGCGAAGCCATAAAACTCTACGTGTCCGAAATCCATAAGCCCCCGAATCCTAAACCCCAAGAGCCCATAGAACCCAAAAGCCCTGAACCCGATTTCAAAACCCATAAACTTCAAAACCCAGAAACTCTAAATCTCAAACCCAAATCCCGAAACCCAAAAGACCTGATCCTAAAAAAAACAAGCCCCTACAACACCTAAGGCCCACGACGCCACCTCCCAAACTGAGGGCCCCTGCTCCGTCGTCGAAGCCCTGAGAGCCAGCTCATCCTCGCTGTGCTCAAGGTGAAGGGCTTGGGGTTCAGGGTTTAGGGTTTAAGGGTTCAGGGTTTAAGGGTTCGGGGTTTAGGGTTTAGGGTTTAGGGGTTCAGGGTTTAGGGTTCAGGGTTTAGGGTTTAGGGTTTACCGTTTAGGGTTCAGGGTTTAGTGCTTAGGGCTTAATGTTATAGGGTTTAAGGGTTCAGGGTTATAGGGTGTGGGTATTGTGGGTACATATGTAGGATCTAGGGTAGTGGCGGTTAGGTTTACGTGGTTTCGGGTTTCAGGGCTTATTGAATTGAAGGTTTGCGGCTTCTAATTTGAGGGTGTGGGGTGCAACCAAGGATCTTCTAAGCTTCTTCGGACCTTAGGAGACAAGTTTCCGGGCCAAACAGGACTCCTAGCTTTATAAAGGGAACCCCAGAAAGTTGGAATATGGATGAATGGTAGGATTCCCTATAATTTACCTTAAAGGGGTTACGATAGTGATATTCCAACTTTCTGGCTTCTACTGTACGGCTTTAAGTAAGAAACCGTACTGCTCCAGCACCAAACCATGGGCAGCCTCGCATAGGCACGGTCTTAGAATCGATGCCTGTTAGCACCCGTCGTGTTTTGACTACACAGTCCTTCACAGACTGTGTAGTAGCGCAGATGCAACTGATACATACCAAGCGGGAAGGCTGCTGAATAACTAATAATGTTCATTCTTTCTTCCAAGAGAATAAAACAACCCGTTACGGGGATTGAGATTTTTGAGATACCCTGCCTGCCCCACCATGCTCGTTCTCGGCTCTAACTGCAATTCATTACTCCGTCTGTCATCCTACTCTATGACTATCCATTAACTATCGGCAGCCAGTACGCTACCATTCCCAGAACGTAGCCCATACCATTTTTCTGAACTGTGATGCAACTCCGGGTCTCCAGCGAAAAAAACATGATTGTGGCCCCACAGCACCCCTTTGGAAAGCCAAAAGGTGCTAAACCCTAAACCCCACACCAAACTAATTAAGCCAGCAAGCAGGAAACCGACCGAGCCCACCTTACCACTGTAACAACAGCCAAGCTCTGTTCGTCGTGCTGGTTAGCAGCTAGCTTGCATGTCCTCCTCTTCGTGGTCCTCATCCTCTTCATCCTCATCCTCATCCTCCGCATCCTCATGCCCATCCTCGACAACAACAACAACCAGAAGACTACCCACGGGCAAGCTCAAAATCTAGACCCTAAAGTCAACGGACGTCAGCGAATGCTGAGGGCGCTCGGACCGGTCCTTTGCGACTTTGAACCCCGGCCTCGCAGGACTTCAGCAAACCCATGGTCATCACATGCCGCTTTAGGGTTCAGGGCTTCAGGGGCTTAGGGTTCAGGGGTTTAGGGGTTTAGGGTTAAGGGTTTTGGGGGTTTAGGGGTTTAGGATTTTAGGGCTTAGGGGTTTTCAGGCTTGTAGGGTTGAGGGTTCTTGGGGGTTTGTAGGGTTTAGAGCTCAGTTTACAGTTTGCGATCATGACTTGCGCATGGCATCTATCAGCATCAACCACCAGTACTGCCGCCATTGCCATCACTGTCGCTCCTGCAGCCGCGACCGCATATTCACAGCTACCGCACCGACCCCCAAGCCTGAACCCTAAGCCGATAACCCCATATCCTTGCTTTCAGTCAAACGCTAAACCCTGAACTCCCCAAACTCAGCTCGCAGCAGCAGACGCTCGAGTGCTGCCACCTCGTCACACAGGACGGAAGGAAAAAGACCTTTAAGCCCCACCCATGACTTCGGGGTTTCAGGGTTCGCGTTTAGGGCTTCTGGAGCCAAATGACTCGGGGATCTCATGCTTTGGGGTTTCGGGTCTACGGCCAACGGTTCGGGTGAAGAAGCCTCGATTCAGGGTCTATCCTGCACCTTCAGTTTGGGGCATCTGGATTTCCGGTTCAGGGCCTCAGAGCTTGAAACCTACGAGCTGTCGGGCTGAGCCGTAACCCCCAAAATGCCCCCCCCCTGCGTCGAGCATCCATCAGCCTGGTATGTGGAACTCTCTGAGGTGTTGTCACATCTTCTACAGGCTGTACTCCGCAGCAAGAGCAACAACAACGACTCACAGTAAGGAGACTTACAACAAATGTCACGAGATAGGAGCGATGGGAATAGTTACGAACCTCATCGTCGTAAGGACAAGACTGAAGGCAGTGTTCGTAGCAGGAATGAAGACGAGAACAGTAGTACTCAGTTATGAGAATGACAAGAACAATTACAATCCTTACCAGCGGCAATAACACTCATGATACTTACGACTATACTAATCCGCAATAGCAATTACATGCACTACCCATAGTAGTGTGAAGTCGGAGCCCTCTCCCCCCTTTTCCCCCGTCACTCAACAACAGTGGGCCTCATCGTCGTGTCCCAGCTGCCGCAGCGCCGCAGCAGCTACATATCCACTGCCTGCGCCGAGCAGAGTCGTCATATGAAGATTTCACCAAGAAGTTTTGTTAGTATAAGACAGGTTGACAATTGCCAAGAGTGATGTGCCAGAACTTCTTGCATTGTGCTCGCCACCAAGCGTGGAGGTCTATCCGGACGGCCTCCGCCAGTCCATCGCAGGGAGTTGTCTGCTTCTTTCCAAAAACTGCTTGGAAAAGCGAACTCAAGAAATCTGCTGCTGTGCCGAAGAGAGCACGAAATCCACCACAACTTGCCAGATCGTCCTGGTCGCCTGAACGCCGAACTCGGCGCCTGTTAATTACCAAGGCCCTTCTCTTAAGGTAAGACGCAGTCGCCATGCAAACGTTCCGCACTCCTGATGAAGGTTTAGACCTACACAAAATTCGCTACAGTCGTCCAACCCTTGAGAGACTGCTTCCGAAGTAGCCGTCCCGACCAGAAAAAGCAGAGCAAACTACCTCAAATGGAAACGCTAGTATCCTTCACATGAGGAACCCTACAAACACTGTCAAACACCATAAAACCCTGGCAATCAGAACCACAAAATATAGGAGCCCTAATAATTTCAGCCGGTTTTTGGGTGTATTGTACTATAAATATAACAAGAACCCCTCCCCCTCCAAAAATACAAGTGTTGGTAATTATTCAAGCCCCCCATATTACAACCCCCCCGAGTCTGAACCCCATGAACACTTGCCAGGCGCACCCCAAGGCAGGTAGCAGACTTGCCCGGCCCCGGGAGCGATTGCAGCGGCCATCCTGGATGAAGAGCAGCGGCTGATTGGGGGGTTTGGGGGTGTTTTTAGGGGTTTCTGTAGGGATGCTACAATACAAGGCTCCCAGAGCGTTTCATAAGGTTCTACAGGTTTTGTGATGCTGTATAAGTTCAGGCTGTATTAAGTTTCAGAAGGTTTGGGGCTCCGATAAGGCTTGCTGTACGGGTTGCTACAAGGGTGTCCAAAGGGGTTTCCATATCAGGGTTACTTATACGGGGGACTACAAAGGTTCGTGCACCCCCGAACCCTAATTATAGCGCTGTCAGTACGATTTGAGGCTTCGTGTTGAGGTAGGACTTACGGTTCACTTCGGGAAAGAACGATTAACGATATCATTTCCATAATCTACAGCAGGGTCTTATGGTTGGGATGATGGTTCTCTTATGAGACCCACAGAATAGAAAACCCAATGGACAATTAGGCTCTGAGTTTGTGGGGTTGGCTTCGGGTTTCGAGTTTGGGAGCTATGGAGACTGCGGTTTAGCTCTCGGGTCTGACGATGCTGCTTGTCATTGGGGTTTGTCTCGTCATGTTCATCGATGCTCAAGAGATTTCGGATAGGTTCTCGCACAGCATGAGGTCCCTGCTGGACTGGTTTTTGCCTACTATCCCACGTGCGAGTCCTTTTCTGCATGTGCTGCAACTTTGCCAGCTCTGTGACGGTGCTTCCCGTCAAGGCATCCCCTCAGCTTGCATTTGCTGGCGCTTGCCGATCCGTTCAAAGCTTTTCCAACCCTGGTGATTTTGCCTATTACCCCCCTCAGACCCATAATAAACATAATATGCTCAATATTCTCTTGGGTTTCATTTGAGCAAAAGGGAACATGATTCCTAAGGAGAGATTTTTGCTACAGTAGGGAGCTACGAACCTCTCAAGCGGGAGCTTCTTTGCGGTAGCACTTCGTTGCTCGTCGCATGGACTACACTGTGCAAATTATTCTTCGAAACACATTTCTCAAGGCAGGGCCGTTTCTGTGTCTGCGTGCAAATTATGTGTGTATATATATATATATGTACATATACATATATATGTATATATATGTGATCTTAATGGGTTTACATTACCACGAGCCCGTTGTTCAACACCCACAGGCTTAGCCGCCGACGAGGATCTCCGTCTTGAAACGCCTGCAAGCACAAGAGAAACCGGGAAAGAAGGATCCACCGAAGCCCAGTACAAGTCTTGCTGGGGTTGCTGCTTCGTCCTCTGAACATGGGTACGATGATCGTGATGACAAGCACGACGGTGATACTAGTGCTGCAGACAGGCTTTGAACGAACATAATCCCGAAGAAGAAGAAGAAAACAGGACAAGCCATCTTCAGTCGCAGTGGTACTCTCTTCATCCGCACTCCAGCCCTAATCCAGTTCATAACGCTGCCAGCGTCTCCTCAAAACTTTAAACTCACGGCATGTGCACGTACCAGCACCGTATGGATTGACGGATGGCGCATATCTGTACTGAAATCACTCGCGTCTACATGTACCTACATGTACAAGACTATATACGTACAATAAATATACACTACTCTCATTTATGTAGGTAGTTCTCTAAATTAAGGTCCTTTTTGGGTACCCTAGATAATACGTGCCGTATTATGGTAGGGACCCAAAAAGGGACTATAATTTGGACAACCACGCACTAAACCCTAAAACCCCAAACCCTAAAGCCTAAACCCTAAAACCCCAAACCCTAAAGCCTAAACCCTAAAACCCCAAACCCTAAAGCCTAAACCCTCAAACCCCAAACCCTAAAGCCTAAACCCTAAAACCCTAAACCCTAAAGACTAAACCCTAAACCCCTAAACCCTAAAGAGAGCGCACAAAGGACGACCCGGGGCCGAAGCTCGGTGGGAGAGGACATCCGCGATGGTGGCTTCGGTGTTGCAGCGCGAGCCCTGTGCTTTAGGGGCTTTATAGGGGGGCTTATAGGGGGTGTATAAGCGGTTTATAGGGGTTTATAGGGGGTTTAGGGGTTTTAGGGGTTCAGGATTTCAGGGTTTTAGGGCTCTAGGGGTTTAAGGTTTGGGGTTTAGGGTTTAAGGTTCAGGGGTTTAGCTCTCAGGACCCTCAGGGCTGAGGGTTGTGAAGTTCGTGGGTTTTTGGAGTCTAGCGTCCTAGAGTTTTAGGCTCTGGGGTTCGTGGTTTCGGGGTTAGGGTCTAGGGTTTGATTAGGTCTGATAGGGTATCGGAGGATCTCAAAACTCGCGGTCTCCGATTAGCTGCTACTTCAGGCCCATACTGCGGTGCCTCCTTCTGCATTCCTCAACTCAAGCTGAGGGAGAACGGAGAGTCTTCGGGTTGTTCTATATTGCTCCATAAGCCTCTGTAGGTGTTTACGGAGAGGAAGCGATGGAGAGGAAGGTTGGGGATTGGAGACCGATACATCAGCTGCATTCTCAGCCACTCAAAGAGTGGATGGGCACACCCTTCGGAAAAGCAGTGCAGTGGAAAACCCTCCGCTCAGTGCTTCTTTGAAGATCCCCCCTAAGCCCGAAGCCCTTAAACCCTAAACCTTAACGACGCAAACCCTAAACTCTGCAAAACCCTAAACCAAGCCCTGAATCCTATAAATGCGAAACCCTTAAACCCTTAGGCCCTAAACCCTAAGTCACTCTGCGCTGCACTTGGGCCGCCGACCACGGGCATGGACATCAGGCGCTCGGAGTACTGGATCATGCCTCGCGGCAGGCAGGATAAACCTCCGAAGCCCACAGTTTAGGCTTTAGGAACTTTAGGGCTTGGATATCTACGGGGCTTATTAGTCTTTAGGATTTACAACTTAGCGTGTGAGGCTTGGGGTTTGGGGCTTGCATCTGGCTTTTCAGCGGCAAAAACGCACCAACGCCAAAAACAAAAAAAGACATCCGTTCCCTGACGAACCCTGACTGGTAGAACCGTTGTTGTACTGGGATCCCTATATAGTGCATCCATGCTCCGGCAAGCCCGCCAAAATCACAGCAACTTCAGGGTTTCAATGAGCCGGAGTCGGTTCCGCGATACGGAGGCAGCCATATAACACCGAAACGCCCAACAAAAACTAAGCCTCAACCCTAAACCCTATAAAGCCCGTGAACCCGCTCCGAAACCCTCGGGCCCAGTCTGGACAGTCTCAGTAAGTCCGAGAAACCCGCTGTTTCAAGCAAACCCTAAACCCTAAACCTCTAAAGCCCTAAACCGTAAGCCCCGAAATCCCTGAACCGCTACACATCGCTAAACCCTAAACCCCTAAGCCCCCAAACCTCTAAGCCCTAAACCCCTAAATCTAAACCCCTAAACCCGAAAAAAACGAAAGAACCTGGGAGGTTCGAAGGGCGAGCCTTGTTTCACCGCGCTGTGGAGGGCCAAGAGCCAGGGAAGACCTGAGAGGTGCTGACTGTGTTGCCGACGTCCTAGTCGTGGTGCAAAACCCTAAGGCTCCAGGTACCCATATAGTAGGTACTTAGGCCTGAAAGGGGTCCCTATATGGATACTTTAAGGCCTAAGTAGCTACTATATGGGTACATGGAGCCTTTGGGAAAGCACGGGGCAAATGCGCGTTCCCTTCTCGCAGCCGGGCAATGCAACGCCAGGGATCCGAGCGTGCGAGGTCGGCGAGCGGGATCCGCGTGGATCGGGTCATGGGCCGTGGGTCCACAGTGCCCAAGACCCCTCCACACCTTGGAAAGCGAGGGATCGGAAGCTAGATGGAAGCCCTTGTGAGTTCTCTGTCCTTCTAAGGCACCGTGGGGCGTTGACAGGGGTGTCAGTTCAGACTGGGTCCAGAGGGCAGGGTCTGGGCTCTGTGGTTTTGCATTTTGCAGTGCACTTCGTGGTTACTGCTGATCTCATATGCCATATCCGATGCCATATCATGAAGCATAATAAAGACAAGAAGCATCTCCTAATAACCAGAGCATCGTGACCTGAATCTAAGACAGGTGCTCGTCGACGGCGCAGTTCTCACCGATGTAGACGCAGACCTTGGCACAGCGAAACACAAGAAAGCGTAGCATCACAGTGCCAAACAACGTGCCCAGACACAGCAAACAGGCCCGAATTCTAAGGTGGTCGCCTGCACACCCAGGCCCGGTCGCTCCACGCAGCACCCAGCAATGGCCTCCCTGATCAGCGTTATCATTGCCTCGAAGGGGCATGACCGAGGAACCCGGGATGAGCATTATGATGGTCACGATGATGCTGACTTCGCGAGAGCTTGCCTGCTGCGACCACGACGACGACGAAGACGACGCCGGCTGCTACTACTGCCACTGCCACTGCTACTGCCACTGCTACTGCCACTGCTACTGCCACAGCCACGACCGCTACAACCTCCTGCTCGTACTGCTACTCATACGACTATGACTCCGACTGAAATGACGTCGACAACCACGACGACGGCAATGACTATTGCTGAAATCACTGCTGCTGCTGCTGCTGCTGCTGCTGCGGCTGTTGCTACTACCTTCTACTTTTCCTACTGCTAATTAACTCAGGCAGAAGCAAGGCCAAAACAACGACGATCGATTACATCGGCAAAAAAATCCCACCACTCAGCCAAGCACCATGTGAGCTGCACCAGCACGGGACCTGCATGCAAGCTCACACCTTGCAACCCGCAGATGCCCCACCGTAGAGGAACATGCTAATGCCTCTTGCCGCCATAGCGACTGACTGGTCATGTGTGTTTGTAGTATGCGACTACTCGTGTATGCAGTATATATATATATATATGTATATGTAACTATATATATATATATATATACATACACACCCATGTGTGTGTGTGTGTCGACTGGTCGAAGGCGAGGGCGTATTTGGTTAATTATTTCTTGCCACAAGTCGTGCAGGTTGTTGGGTCTGCGTTGCTTGAGGGGAAGACTCGGCTAAAAGCATGTACAACATCAGAAGTTCAGCTGCTGTTGCCAGTCAGATCCTTGTTGAAGATGATTGCGAGAGCATGTTCACATCATCCAGGGCGGGTACACTCCCCTGGAGGCCTTCCCCGATCGTCGCCACTGGACACGGCGTTCAGGGCGCGCTGCACTTTGGGAAATCGACAGGCCTCAGCGAGAGCTCAGCACATGGAACTCTAGAGGTCGTAGGCGTCTGGCATCCCACCTCTTGTGTACCACAATGTCACAGAGAAGCTGGCTCTCTACTCGAAGTCCGCAAAAAGGATGCCCTACATCCTTTAATCCTCGAGTCCTAAAGCCCTGAACCCTAAAGCCCTGCAGGCCTAAAAACCCCAAACGCATTCGAGGGCCCGGCAAGCGCACGTCGGGCGTGCATTTCGAAGAGCTGCAGGAACGGCCTCGAGCCAAGTTGCATCTCCTCCATTAAGATCCCCTGGCCTCTGAGCACCCTAAGGGCCTCAGAAAAAAACTACACCCCTCCCACCGCCCTAAGGCTGCACCGTACAGTTGCTTATCATCCTCTGTGATGCCCTCTGTCTGTGAGTGGTGCAGACAAGTAACAACAGCCACCCGCCTCGTCCAATCTGCTAGCAGAAGACCCCCTCTCAATAGCATTACTGTATGCACTCAAGACACCATCGACAAAGTAAACCAGCATTCCAACCTTTTCGTAGCTGGCGACTACAGCTCCTCGCCTCACTTGTTCACCACGGCCTAACTAACCTCCAAACCGCCCATATGTAAGCAGCCCCTTTGCTCGGATAGTTCTGCTATAGCCCGCTCTTTTCTTTCGCCAGGGCTACAGGAAAGGGGCACCCCTCGCACAAGTGTGCCCCCCCGCCAGGTGCGAGTGCCAAGAATTTTGGGGAAAGGCAAAACGACAAACGACCGGCGATTTCTGGTAGCCTTTCCTCAATTACCGTGACCCAAAGCCTTAAACCGCAGGAACCAAGCTCCTCTGTACTTGGAACTTTGGCTCGTATCCCACCAACTTAGAGGATCATGGGACTTGGAAGTCAGGTTCTAAGTACCTTAAGTGGGAATATAAGTGGTTATAAGTACAGTTACCTTATTTATAACCCCAGTTACTAAGTCCCATGATCCTTTAAGCAAGGGCATGGAACTCCTGACCCGGCCTGTCTAAAGACAACCCCGAAAGCCTCAACTCTGAACCCCTTAACCCTGAGCTCTCGTCTCAACTTAAACTCCAAACCCTACACTCACCACCCTAAACCCTAAACCCTAAACCCTTAACCCCATCTCCGAAACCCCTACACCCTAAGCCTTATATGCTAAACCCTTAAACCCTAAACCCTATATATCCTAAACCCTTAAACCCTGAACCCTAACCTGAAAACCCTCAGGATCACCAACTGGGGATTCCGGGGATTCCTAGATCTGGGAGGGCGGCAGCTCCGCATCGAGCTGGAAGCAAAGGCCACGAACCAGCAACTGCGGAGAAAGGGGCGGAGATGACGCAGCTTTCTGTCTTTGGGCTTTTTGGGGGGATTTGGGAATGAAGGCTTCGGGAGTAGAGCTTCGAGTTCAGGGATAAAGACTGCTCAGAGATAGGGCTCAGGCAAAGGATGTGGTATCGGTGATTGTAGGGTTGTCCTATTCCGGCGTCGGCGTCCCCGCTTCCACTGCAGAGATGTCTTTAGGGCTCAGCGATGAGGGTTTACTTTAAAGGGTATTGGGTTTAGGATTAACTGGTAAAGGGGGGCTTATAGGGTTTAGGGTTTAGAAGGGGAGAAGTGGAGAGGGTGTGGAGGGGTGAAGCAAAAGGAATGACAAATCGCAGATGGGATTCTGGAGTGGGGTCTCATCTACTCCTCGCAACAAGCAGTCTCAGAGCCAAGCGGTTAGATCCCAAAGTCTCACACCAAAGCCAGAATAGCCACTAAACCCTACCTTAACCCTTAACCTTGAAAAACCTACCTTTTTAGGGTTCCCTATTAAATTTTTTCCTTATACAAGTCCTTAAAAAGGTAGGTTCTTCAGGGTTAGGGTAAACCCTAAACCCTAAACTCAGCTCCGGGCCATCATCCGCAGGAAGAGCACTGCCTCCGGCGGCATCTTCTTGGGATACCGCTCGGTCTTTGCCTGCGGGAAGTGCTGCAGCTCGCAGGCTTCAGGGTTTGGGGGCTTTAGGGGGTTTAGGGGCTTTAGGGTTTAGAGTTTGGGGGTTAGGGCTTAGGGGTTAGGGTTTAGGGGTTAGGGTTTAGGGGTTAAGGTTTAGCGTTTAGGGGCTTTAGGGTTTAGGGTTTAGGGGTTTGGGGGATTTACTTGAGCCAATGCTGACAATAAAGTTTGCTCCCGTCCTGTGAAATTGTAATTCCGTGTCTTGGCTCGTGGTCGAATCGGAGGCCTTCGCTTTCTTCTTGTCCTTCTTGATGTTTTCATCCAGGGCCTGTGGCAACAGCTGCAACGTGCAGCCGGATCATCCAACGCGAGATTTTAGTTTTGGAATAAGAGCCCGACAACTCAAACCCAAAGTCTAGCAAGTTTGAAGGCGGGCATCAATCCTTGTGGCCACCGTTCTGGGCATGTCGGCGGTTTGTGGAGAGCCTTTTCGGGGACGCTCCTCTCTCAAACCCCAACCCTAAACCCTGCAATGCCCACACGGACCTGGCTGTTTAACTTGGGGGGGGGGGGTGAGGGCACTGGGTGTTTTGAAGGTTAGGAATTTCGGGATTGCGGTTCGGGGTTTGAGGTTTCTGGGCTTGGGTGTTCTTCAGATATATATATATATATATATATACACACACACACAGACCCCTAAACCTAAACCCTATAAGCCCCGGAGGGACAAAACGACTGCCTCGATGTCCGACTTGTTTTGAGACTTCCGGAGCTCCCGGAAGTCTTTCATGCCGGCCATCCTAGGGGCTTTCAAGGAACTTGAGAGCTTTTGAAAGCAGTTGAAGGGGCCTTGTGAGTGTTTTTGCTGGCTTTTGAAGGACTTTAAAGGGCTTCTAGAGGCTTTGGCAAGTGTTGCGGGACTATTGAAAACCTTTCGAATGTTATCTCTCTAACCCTAAACCCTAAACCCTAGAATGTTATCTCTGTGCAGTCTGGGCTTTCAAGACTGTGCCAAAGGGCCCTTACAGTAGTACGGGCTCCTGGGGTTTGGTGCTCTGGGGCTTCAGTCACCGGTGTTCCGAGGGCTTCAGGGCTTTACGCTTCAGGCCTTGAGGTCTTTGAGCGTTGTGTGAGGGCTTTGGGGTTGAGGGCCGTTTAGGTTGGGACAGATAGGTAGGTATAGGCAGGTAGGTAGGATAGATCGAAGGATAGATAGACAAATAGATAGTTGGACACACCCTGTACAGGTATGTATCACTACAGTACATGCAATGTATGTATGCTACCTGCGCATGTCTGCTTGCCCCGCACATTGACACCATATATATATATATATATATATATATATATATTCGGAATTACTATTATGATTTGGGAAAGTATCCCCCGTAACAGTACCTAGGACCCTTTGGGTGTAGCATGCTTGTGACTATGGGCCTCTGCAAGTCTTGCAATATCGTCCAAGCCCCGGAAACACCAGCGGAACCCCATAGAAACCGATGCAGCCCCTGCAAAACCGATAAGAGATACACTATAAACCTCTAACACATAAACCCACTCATACCCCTAAAACCTTAACTAGTCCCAAACTTGCCCAAACCCTGGTAAAACCTTTAACACTAAGTTCATCATACCCTTTCGCTGCGCGGCTGATGCTTGCGATTGCCGGTGTCGCGGAAAACCATCCTGGAAGCCCAGGTTGCGAGGGTGGGTGGGGCGGAAAGGAAGGGTTGGAGGGGAGGAGAGGGGAGGCGAGGGGAGGGGAGGATTGAGACAGGGTTTAGGGGCTTCTTCGCTTAGGGGTTTAGAATTTGCAGTAAGGGAGTTGAATTCATATTTCTGAGCCTCACGGGGTTTTGTTGTGCCGCTTGGGCCGTACAGGGTTTCTCTCTAGACTCTGCAAAACATCAAGCACCAGGGGGTGGAAGATGCTTGGCACCGGCTGAGGTTGGGGCTTAAAGAATTGAGGACACCCTAGGACTGGCAGTACTGATTATTCAGGAGCTGGGAAAAGCTTCAAGACCTTCATGTTCTGCCACGGCCATGATGCTGGTGAGGAAGGTGGTGACGTTGACAGTGGTGGTTGTGAAAATAGTGGATGTTCCTAGCAAGCAACGACGAATGTCTTGTTGCCGCACTTGTTATATCATGTCATGTTGCTCGCAACCTCCCACTTCTCGCAGCTATTGCTGCAAGGGTGCATCATGTACTCCATGTCTCGCCCGGGGTGGACCTGCGGCCATCATGCAACACGCATGGAAGCCTCGCTTAACCACACCAGCAGCACAAGTCCGTGCTATGGACCCCACAAAACTGACATGGACCGACGAACTGTTTGGACATCGTTGCCAACGACCCCACGACCCGTTGTTGCGGTAATGGTGGGAGGAGGAGTGGTACGGGGCTAGATGCTACATTCTCCCATAATTGGGATGGGGCCATACAGGGGCCTTAATAAGTAGAGTAAGGTTGGGGGATATACGGTATACAATACCGTAACTAGAATAACAACCAGGAGGCCCAAAGTAGTATTGGTAATTCACTATTCAGCCCCTATGTTACTTCTTAGCCTCTGGTCGACATGTCAGAGGGGCCTCAAGCAAACGGCCTTGTCCCGTATGGTGACGGCAACGTCAGATGTCATGGGCTTCAAACCACCGGCGAACCCTAAACTCCAGAACGCGGCTCCCGGAGAGAACCTCAGTCTGCGAGTTGAAGAAGCCCAAGTTCTTCATGGCCTGTTGAGCGAGCAGCTTGGGGAAACAGCGGTGCAACGTGCTGCGAATCTTGTCTGCAGTACTCTGCATCCAGGAGCAACCAGAACAGAAACCTGCCCACAGCATCAGCCCTAAACTGTTCGAGTTCGAAACCCACAGTCGTAGCAGCCCTGTTCCAGACCCACACTACAACCTGCCATCCCAAAATCCGCACATAAGAAACTTGGAGAAGCTCGCCTGAACCGCAAAACGAACTAGAACCCTATAGACCTTCCATCCTCTAAGAAACCCTAACCGTACTCACCACCCACCCACACCCACCCACCTCACAGACGCTGGTCATACTGGTCTCAGACAAGGCCACTAGCAAGCGGCAGTAGAGGAGACCTGGCAGCGCGGCTTTCGTGGTTCAGGGGGCTTTATAGGGCTCAAGAGTCGTGCAACCCGAAGGCATCAAAGCGGCCAAACCCCAAATGCACCAAAAAAACCCTGAACCCCTAAAACCAAGCCAATGCCAGGGGCGCGCTGCTCCTCAGGAAGCCGAATGCAGTTCCCGAAGTCAAGAAGAACAGGGACCTGCAGTCGGAGCCCAAGCAGCACTTAAACACAAACCGTTGAAGTCAACCTCCCTATAAGGCCATATATGTAAATATAATTTTAAATATATATATATATATATATATGTATATGTATATGTATATGTATATATATATATATATATATATATCAACTTCCCTCTGAGGCCTAGGTTTGTTCTGGTTATACAGAAGTTGCAGTGGCAAACAGCTTACAGCATGGTGAGCCTGTTGTAGCGGAGGGGTCTGGTCCCAGAGGGGAAGACCCGAAAGTTTAGGAGCTCAGAGCCCTGAAATGGGCAACAAGGTGTCTGCTTCGTAGGCTCTAGTAACCCAAAACCCTATGAACACCCCTAAACCGGAGCTCCAAGGCCGTGAAGCTTCAAAGAAGGCTCTCAATACTTGGTTAAGGCGGCTGCGGCGGTCGTGCCATCCCGGACTTGGCAAAGAAGATTGCCTCCATGCCTTATGATGCAGGGCTCGGACACCCTAAACCTTATAGTGTCTTTATGACTGTATACATATATTATCTATGTATACATATCTTCATGCCTGTACATAAGTTCACATGTGCGTGCTGATGCGTCTGCAACTTTGCATGCCCGAAGGTGGACATGATGTCTGCAAGCCCTCGAGTAGAGCCGAGGTCTTAACGGGTCGGAGTTGAAGACACCGATCTCCAAGAGCTGGGTGGCCACAGCATGAACTGCTCGAGCCTCCGGTGCAGAGGTCGGGTTTGTGGCTTTGGGCTTATAGGGTTTTAGGGTGTAGGGCTTGCAATTTTCCTTGCGGCGCTTGCAAGCATACCGAGATGGTAACATTGTGCACCTGCACATGCGCCCATGCTAGGCAATTTCATGTCGATGCCAAGGTGTGCCAAGTCTACAGTAACGTGTTGCAGCACGAGTTCATGGGCTCAATGCAGCCTTTTTCACGAGCTGTTTGCGCTGCGGTTTGTGCAAACACAGTAACACAGATGTTTGCGTACGCGTGCATATGTCATTGCTTCGCGCCATGCACTTGCGGAGATTGTCACATGTGACCCTCAAAGCCTATATCCAGAACCACTGTCTGGGCATGTCATTTTCGAAGCAGTACTATACAAGAAGTTGTACAACGAGCAGACATGAAGTCACAAGGAACCCCCCTCAGCAGACAGCAACAAAGGTGTTCGAATCATAATCCATTCCCATTCCCATGAAAATTCAGTCATTCTTCGGACTGAACAAGGAGCCCGATTGTAAGCCCATGCAACAAAATGCTAGTTAAGAGCCTACTTGAAAACTTGTGCAGCAATGTCCTGCACGTACATTTGCAGTTGTCGATGGAATGACTAGGAAACATGTATCATGAAGCGAAAGAGCATGACAGATCAGATCCAATGATTTATTGGCAAGTTATTGAATCTTGCTAATACACATGCACATGCATATACATACCATAAACATATACACACATGCAAAGACAGATGTGTGAATGTACGTGTGTGTATATATATATATATACAGGTGTGTGCGCATATAAATATATCTATACACATGTGTATACAAACACCGCCAAATAAATGTACATATATATATATATATATGTGTAGATATACATAATTATACATGTACATATACACATGCTTCTACATATACATATACATGTACATACAAATGTATACATACATATATATATATATATACACATGCATGTACAGTCAGGGGTTCATACACGCGTACACATACAGACACATATACAGACACAATATCTCCATAGGACATTCGTGTGTGCAAGTGTGTGTGTGTGTGTGTATGTATGTATGCTGTTATATAAGTAAAAAATGACATTTTTGTGTATATGTGTGTGTATTACATATATATATATATATACAAGTAGATGCTTATGTTTCGTACCTATATGTTACCAGTACCAACATGCTGAGGCATGGCCATGCTTCAGCGTGGGAGCCTGGGTTCCCGGGCACTTAGGGCCTTGCGGTCCACTCCGGCCAGGGCCAGTTGATCCAAGTCGGTAAAGCGGAAGCCCTTGCAGAGGCTTCGAGCGTCCGAGGTTTAGAGAGGTTTGAGGCGTCGGCCTGATAATAAAAGGGGCTTAAATGTTCAGACTGAGGGTTTGGTGCTGATCATTGTACTATACCTATTCCGACCACTGTCGTGGTAGGCTTCTCTGCCGGAAGCTTAGTCTCCTTGTAGGCTCCAGGGTGAAATTTCAGAGGTCTTCGGACTGGAACTCGGAGCCAGAGAGGCACGTCTCTTCCAGCCTCGCAGAAGTCCATGATGAATGCGCGTCTCGACACACGTCCTGAGAGCCAGGGCAAAGGAATTTAGAGTGCGAGGCAATGGGCAGAGGTCACGGAGAAAAGATCGACATTGGAGTTTTCGAAAAAATAGGGGGTACCTCATTTTGGGGTCCTTATAATAAGGATCCTACTACTTGTAATTAGGGTACTATATTAGGATCCCCTAATTTTCGGAAACTCCCACATTAAGATTCCCGGTGGACCGTTTGAGGAAGAAGGGCCTTGAGGAAAGTTAGGCACAAGATAGCAAAGAAGGGGAGAGAGCGAGAGAGGAATTACTGACGGGGCTCCTTCGATCTCTTTTGGCACGATTACGTCCACCCCGGCATCGGCCATGCCTTTGCGAACCTGGCAGCTATGACGGTTGCTTCGTAAAGTTTCTATGTCGTTGCAATCTCTGCATCGATGCATGTCAACAGCAGAACGGCCTGTTCAAGAGCAACACACGGAAGCATCGCAGCTTTCGGTTCGAACGTCAGTGCCGAGCGGGTCTTTGTTTCGCTGTGCACACGGCCTTGCCTCCTGCAGGTTTTCAACCTGGCGTCGAAAATGACTGCACATTCCAAGGGTATCGCACAGCCAGTACAAGGGTTACTATCAGGGCTACTAGAAATAGGGTACTCCAAGTGTAACGTATACGGGATACTACTAGCACCTCGCGGTGGAAGTCCAGCTCGTGGATCATCTCCTTCATCCACCCCTCGGTGACCTGCCTGGCCATTCAGAGGCACGTTGCCCCGGTAGTTTTTATAGGGCTACCATATTCAGGGTATGAAACGGCTACTACGACTATATGTCACTATGAGAGTGTTCTAGGGTTACGATGAGGTTATCACAAGGGTACGATAACGGTCTTAGGTGGAGGTGGTGCTATACAGGTATCATAGTGTTTTGCTACCTGGTGGCCAGCGGGAAGATCAGCTTTGTCTGGAAATCCACCGGAGAATCATGGGGCGGGGAGGGGGGCGTGGACAGCCCGGGCAACAACACTCTCTGCGCGCTTCATAACAGCTGCATTCACCTCACACGCATCGGAGCAGGAAAAGGCGACCACCTCCGTCATGTTCGGAACCTATATTCAAGCGAGCCAGGCGGGCTTGATCTCGTCCCAGTCATTCCCACCGAGCCAGCAGGTGAATCGTAGAATGCGCCTGTGAGCTCCGAAAGGCATCAGTTCTTTCATGTCGCTTGCTAGACCAACATGCATCAAGCTTCACCAGGTGTCAGGCTTTAGTGCAGTCAAGTCGAGCAGCATCATCCTTGGTGCATCGGGTTTGCTCGCATGACGGGAGGGACTTTGCAGCCCGCGACTGGAAACTCAGAACGGAGCGGCTCGACACCTTCGTGCTGCAGCTTCACAGCCACCTTGCCATTGCAGCTCAAAGGAAATCGTAGATCCTGCTAAACCCTAAACCCTATGTAAACCCTAAACCCTAAAGGCTGGCGCCTGTTGACCCGTTCCTTTCATCCGCGCTTTGTGTACCTGTCCCAACGAAGACTGAGAGCTCAAGGAGGACATTTGCTAATGTATGCGCCTTAATAAATAGAATAGGGTTTGGGGCCCATTATACAATAATTATGATAAGGAACCCCCAAAATAGGCCCCTTTACATTCGTTTGTGTGTCTGCCAGGTAGACTAAACTATAGCACTTCACGGCAACAAACTGAACCCTACAATGTCAGAGCAGGAGATCGTAGCACGCGGAAATCGCGGTGTAGCAAAAAATGTGCGGCTATCACGAACAGCACCACTTCCCGTATCGATAGGTAGGTTCAGACAATTACCAGGCGCTCCGGTACAGTGCATAATCCCTCTTTCCGGTCGGAACATGCATTCGGAACGACAGCCGCGTGATACTTCGGAACATGCTATCACCTAAGTGGTACATGTGCTCTGTACATATACATATATATATATATATACATACATACATAGATCTCTCCCTCGCTCTCTCTCCTCTTCTGTGCATTCGGTGCTAAGCCTGCGCGATGCTTGCGGACGCGACTGGCTCGAACTCGAACTCTTCAAAGATGTCCTTCGTATCGAAAATGAAGGCTGGATGCAGGGGTCCGGGGTTTAGGGTTTAGGGATGTGCAGGGGCTTAGGGTTTAGGATTCTAGTGGCTGAGGTTACATGGGCATGATCTAGGACTAGCACTGCTACCTCTCGAAACTCCTGATCACTAGCTCACAACAAAGACCGCTACGTAGTCTTGATGCCGATCCACAGGAGTCTGCTTGCCAGAGACAAGGGACGGACATTTGTTTCAGAGAGCATCCCCGGATTCATATCCGAGAAGCATTCCAAGGCTCCCTGCTGCGGAAACCCCGACAGGGGACTCGTCAATGCTAACCTCGCAACTCGACACAGCGAAACCCAAACCCTTAACACTGACAGCAACCCTTGCGAACTTTGCAAAATCTTTTGCTTGAAAAGTACCCTGATATAGAATCTTATTGAAACTAACCATAACCCGTTTTAATTTAAGAACCCCTGTACAACATCTGAGTACATGCTTGAGATTAACCATAACCCGTGTAGCAACCCTTTGCAGGAGCCCCTGCTCAACTCGAAACCCTCGGTCTATTTATCCTAACCCATCTAAACCCCAAAACCCAAAACCTCAAAGCCCTAAACCCTGAACCCCCTAAACCCTAAAGCCCTAAACCCTAAACCCCTAAACCTTAAACCCTCAACTCGGCACCCTCGGCAGAAAGCCAGGTGCTCCTGGAACTCTGAGCCGAGCTCAGCCTCGCCCCGGAGTGTTTGAAAGCTTTTGGCGAAAGAGGTTCTTTCAGGGTTCAGGGTTTAGGGTTTTTGGTTTAGGGTTTAGGGTTCGATCAGGGTTCCTTTAAAGGGGTTGGTTTAGGGTTTAGGGTTTAGGGTTCAGAGGTTCTTTCAGGGTTCCTTTAAAGGGGTCTATACGTCTTTCAGGGTTCCGTTAAAGGGGTCTATAAGTCTTTCAGGGTTCCTGCAAAGTGGTCTTTCAGGCTTCTCTCAGGGATCTATAGCGGTTCTTAGTAGGGAATGGGGGGAATGGATTATGGAGACTATTCTTGGCTAGGATGCCCAGCAACCTAGGAATAAAAAGGGCTCCCATTTTGGTATTGGGTAGCTGTGTAAGGAACCTAGGACTACAAAAGGGAATAAGGGTACTACTGGGCATCCTAGGGTTCAGGGGTCTTGGGGTTTAGGGTTTAGGATTTAAAGTAGGGTTTAAGGCTTTCGGGGTTTAGTGGTTTAGGGTTTAGGGCTTAAGGATATTGGTTAGGTCTTTTGCTTTTTTGGGCGTGGTTTTGGGTGTTGGATTTAAGTTTAGATTTATTGCTCAGGGGTTTTTGGTTTAGTTAGTTTCGGCTTGAGGGTGTATGTGGTTTGGGTGTAGGCATCGGGGACGAGGGGGTGGTAGTGTGGTCGAGAACTGGTCGAAAGAACTTGCAAAAGCTCCTGCCTCCAGCAAGGATTTCACATAGGTGTCTGTGTCCCTAGGGGCGCAGTCCTTCCCAGCACATGTCGCTGCAGCGACGCAAGCCCAACAGCTGGCAGAGCATCAGCAAGAGCTGCGAGGTTTACTCCTGCAGCTTCTTCAGCTCCTGCTGCCAGACCTTTGCACTGCAGTATGCAATAAAACGGTCAGCTGCTGAAAATCCGAGGGGCCGACGATGGGCGTCGCTGCCATATTAGCCATCCATTGCCCTGCCTTCACGAAGAGGCCTCCCAATGCCTGGGGCATCTTCGATGAAAAAGGATAAGTAATGTAGGGGCCTTAATAATTAGAAGAGGGCTTTTGGGCCCATTTTACTGTAGTTAAAAGGGGGACCCCCTACATAGTATTGGTAATTATTAAGGCCCCTGTAGTATTTAGCTTTGCAGATGAAGATTGCAAAAACGGCGGCTGAGACGTTCAGCCACTGCTTAGCAAAAGTCAGCCAAGCTGAGAAGGCTGCGGCAAAACGATTTCCCAAGAAGGGTGCCACAATTTTGTCCGCTGGGTCCTGAGCTCGGCAAGCGGCAGTGTTTGGCCTCAAATGGATAAGGTTTTCGGTTAACGGTTCAGGCACGATCCGCGCAGGCTTGGAACCCAACGTACATCCAATCTTGCGCCTGCTGCGCAGACAGCTTGAACACCTTCCGGACATTCTTCGGAGGCGCTACAGCAGCATACATTGTGAAACGTGTTTATGTCTTTTTCTCTGTCTGCCTGGCTGTCTTGTCTCCGTCTGCCTGTCTGCCTGCATGTTTATTTATCTGTATGGCTGTCCGTGTCTGTATGCACTCATGTGAGCATGTGTGTGTGTGTGTGTGTACGTCGTTGTACGTCTGTGCGGGTGGATGGATTGATGGATGGATGAACCTAATGGATGGATTCCACGTCTACAGTGGCATGCTGACATACATACATCCACACACCGAGACATACATACAGCAAGCACAGTGGTGTGAATATGCATGGCAGGCACAGTACTCCTGTTGATTTGGGGCGATGTTGCATGGCTGGTGCAGAACTGGCGGTACTGATGAGTTATTTTTGTTTTCGTTATTTTAGTTGTTTGGAGTGGCAGGCACGAAAGAGCCTGTGAAGTACGGAACTTCGACTATCTTAGACTTCAATTGAAGTGGACGTCCTTCATAAGCCAAACACGGCAAGATCTGCAGCATCCAAGCATGCAGGCCGCCTTCTGCACAGTCTTGCACGTGAAATAGAATGCAATCGGAAAAGCTGCTGTGACCTCGCAGGAAAGGAAACTGCAGAAGACTTGACAGTGTAGGGGCCTTAATAACTAGAATAGGGTTCGGGAGTATATTTTACCATAGATATATAATGAACCCCCAACGTAGCATAGGCAATTATGAAGGCCCCTACATTGCTGGAGCTGCTCTGAGAGCCAGGCATAGATCTCGGCCAAGCGCAAGAAGTAATCTGCAGCAGCCCGATAGTCTCCAGTGCAGCTCCCTTTTTTGGTTAAACCGCTTATAGATGTAGGATCCTATGGGGTAACCCCGACAAGGAACTACAATGGAGACTATAGGACACGATGTGAAATCTACGCGAGTGTTGCTTCAGAAACTTCGCCCTCCTTCCGTCAGGAAGGCTGCTCTTGTCTGCCAAGGTACGATAGCTCTGCAGCCTGCGCACGACCAAGACCTGAATCTTCACATTGTGTAATATAGGGGCCTTGATAATTAGAATAGGGCTTTGGGGCCCATTATACTATAGAAGTTAAGAGTTGTAATTGGTAATGAGAAACCTCAAAACCGTATAGGTAATTATTAAGGCCCCTATACTAGACTTTTCGGCTCCAAGTGACGTCTACCAGCCCACCTACCTTAGGACCATGACCTCCCCCAGCTTGCACCCTGCCCAACCCTTTGCACCACAGTTTAACTCAGAATGTAGTTTCGGAAAGTTCTTTGTTCTCAAGAGTTGGAACCCAGGATATTTGATGAAGCCCCCTTAGTCCTACTTGCCAGGTATCACGGGGAACTGAAGGTTAACCTTCTTGGTGATATAGGGGTTATATAGGGACTATACTACCCAAAAAAAGTTAAAGGTTCCCTACTCTACTACTACCTTGAGCCGGAATACCTACCTTTTTAAGGACTTATACAAGGAAATCATAATACGGAACCCTAAAAAAGTAGGTTATTCCGGCTTAAGGTAGGTATTAGGTAACAAGGGCGAGACTTCATGCTCAGCAGTCGAATGGCTTTCCCATGTTCTGGGTTTCTGACCTGGGAGTCCTAGAACCCGAAAGCCAGAGGGTTTAGGGTTTAGGGTTTTTTTTTAAGTGCAGTAGCCCCTTTCTCCGCAGCTGCAAAGTCAGAAGCTCGCTCTATTCCGGTTTAGGGGTTTAGGGTTTAGGGTTGGGCACATGGAGGACTTAACAAGTAGAACAAGGATGTTTACAGTAGGGGTGAGAAAGCAAGACTGCTACTACCTTTCCGCCCCAAGTTTAGATACTAGGTTGGCCCTTCAAAGCCTCTGAACAATATTCGTAAATAGGGTCCTATTAAGCCCAATAAGGGAAAATATAAAATGTCCCAAAGGCCTACCTAGGAGATTTTCAGGGCCCCAGAGGATTCTCCCGGTTCAGGACTCGAGCCCAGAACAGCACGGAGCACAAAGAAGAGCTAGAGCCCAGAGCCCCTGAGCTCAAGTCATATAGGGGCCTTATGAGTTAGAATAGGGTATTGCGGGCCATTCTATTAAGGAACCACCGAAAAGAGTGTAGGTAATTGTTCAGGCCCCTGTATTACAAGCCAGAAAGTCGGAAACATCATTCTCCGCAAACCCTCAAGGTCCAGAGAAAGGAATCCCATCATCCAACTTTAGGGCCAGAGGGGCTGTGTTAAGCGTAATTACCTTGAAAGGCCCGGCAAGCGCTTGCTTTGGGTTTCGGGCGCAAGGCCTGCATCTTCAAATTAGCTTAAAGGTTTTCGGGTCTTCGGGGGTTGTTGTGCTGCTGCATGCCACTCCTGAAGGGTGTTATGCACTTCCGTCTCAATAGTCAGCATGTCAGCAACAAGTTCAGTGTCTGCCATAGTGTAACCCTAAGCTCTAAAGAATCTATTGAGTAGTATTCCTGCCCCATGCATGCACACACTTCCATGCAATGTAGCTGTATGTATATGAAGAAGTATGAAACTGCATGTGTATAGTCATATTGCTATTCATACGCATATATATGCATACATACATACATACATACACTCATGTAGGAAGGCATACATGGATGGATGTATGCATGCTCAAGGTTTTTGTCACTAGCCGCGATCCCTCTAATCTCTTGAGACACAAAATAAGACATGGGTCCAGTTTGAGCCCAGCACCACCCTAAGTTCTGAACCCTAAACCTTATATCATAAACCCTGAGCCTAGGGTTTAGGTTTAGCGGCGCTTCGAAGTTATCCGGATCGGTGGGCTGGGCATGTCTTACAAGCATCTATGGGGAGTTTCCGAAAATAGGGGCCCCTAATATAACACCATAAATAATAGGATCCTTATTATAAGGACTCCCAAATAAGGTAGCCCTAATTTTCGGAAAGTCCCTATTACACGTAGGACGCATGTCTTTGGCCCGAGCATCGTCTTGCACAGTGCGGTTGCAACCCGAGACATTACCGATCTATGCCGAGTCGTCCCAGAAGGCGATGTCGTGATTCTGGTAATTGTAAATGGCCCAACCTTTGGACTTGACATCGTGGCCCAAGATCGGACCAGCAGAAATCACCATGCAGTGTTCCCCAGTCCTTCTGTCGCGATACCTTTCCGTGATGCGCTCGACGAGCTTGACGCCATAGCCCCTGGTTGCTGGAGTGGGGTTGACCTCCACCCAACACTTCGGGATAGCTCTGGACAAGATACGATCATCTTGCTCGTCAAAGCCGTGGCCCCAATGCTAAGCAGAGAAAGCACAGAGCATCCGAACCCCGCCAGGGTGGGGAGCATGGCTCTTGGGAAACCCTGAGCCCTCGACCTTAAACCTGAATCCCAAACCCGAGAAACGGGTCCTTGAGTCCCGAGCCCCACACCCTGATATCGCGGCCTTCAATGGGGTTTTGGGGTATATTCTACTATAATCATAATTTGACACCCCCAACTAGTCAGTATAGAGATTTATTAAGGCCCCTATCTTACGCCCTAAGCCCTCGACGCATCCGGCCCCACACCCGGTACCCGAGGCGGCGGCAGAGATACCCAGGAGAAAACAAGTGGTCGACCAGCCTCTCTCTCTCTCTCTCTCTCTCTCTCTCTCTCTCTCTCTCTCTCTCTCTCTCTACATATACATTATATATATATATATATATATATATATATATATATGCGTGTGTGTGTATGTACATAGTTAATTATGTCTATACATATATATATATATATGTATGTATGTATATATACTAATATACATATATACATACAATATATTAAAACACACACATATATATATATATACATACACACACATATACATATACATATACATATATATATATATATAGATAGGTAGATAGAGAGAGAGAGAGAGAGAGAGAGAGAGAGAGAGAGAGAGAGAGAGATTGATTCTCGGGGCCCCAGAGGGGGAGCGGAAGCTCCCTTTGCTGATTATCGCTTTAAGGACTTAGAGGGCTTGGAGGGTTTTGGAGGGTTTAGGGTTCAGGATTTAGAGGCTTTGGAGGATTTAGAGGGTTTGGAGGGCTTTGGAAAGGGTGTTGCAAGATTCTGCTGGGCTTATGAGGGTTGTGATAAGTTGGAGGATGTGTCCCTTTACAAGCTGGACCTGTCACAGCATTTGTGCAGCGGTGTGTAAGGTGTTTATATATAGGTGTATATGGGTTTATACGGGTTCATATAGGTGTACATAATATATGTATATATATATATATATATACAAATATATAGGCATGTAGGCATGTATTCATATTATGGATGTATAGGCCTATACAGGTTTATATAAGTTTCCATGGTTTCACTCTGCTCGGGGCGGCTCAGGGGGTTGTGCGAGTTTGGGGTCTTCTTCGGGGTCAAGTACGGGGTGGTGAAAAAGCCAAGCAAATGAAAAAGGGTAGGTGCCTGCTGAATGTTTCTGGATGTGTGAAAGACTCGTGGGCCACTGCATGATGCGTTTGTGAAGTGTCCTTCGAGAGACTTTGCAACGGCCAAAGACATGGAGACGAACTGCATGGGTGATGTAAGCTTTGGAGAGCATCTTCATTTCGACCCGGTATGACTAGATTGGCATGCGCACGTTTCGCAAGGGGCAGCAATAGTACTGTACTATCCGTCCGAACCTTGCCAGCAAAATCCCTGCACCCTAACGTTGGCCTGGAAGACGGAGCACTGCAACTGGAAATGCCAGCGCACGCCAGTCACCACTGGCCAGGGATGAAGGGTTGAAGCAGGCGTACTCAGCTGTACCGACAAGTACCGATAAGTAGCTAATTAGCTGTTCAATCTGTTTCAGTGAAGACATAACGAAGCGGCTTGGGTAGCGTCAATGATGACGATGATGATGGTGATGATGAACTCACACGCTGTCATGCTGTCAGAGCCACTATCTTCTTCGTCGGCATCAGCACCACCGGTACTTGTACCATTACTAGCATCACAATGGCCACCATCAACATCAAAATCTTGCACACAAGAACAACAACAAAACAACACAATCCATAGCTTGTCCAAGCAGTGCCTCTGGCAACAAGAAATCGGGCAGGCAATAACGACAACAACAGGAAGATAATACATCTGCAACATCGGACTTTGGCGCTTCTTGTGGCTTCCTCTGCCTCAAGAAAGGCGAATCAGGCAGGTCCAGGCTAAACGTCCTGACCTCAGAACGTGTGAAATATCTGGCAAGATAAGCACTGAAGAATAGCATGCTCATTCTATGAACCACCAAGTCGGGACCTGCAGTTGGGGTTTGTGGGCACTAGAGTTTGATGGCAAAGGGACGCAGGTTTGGGGTTCAGGGGAACGTCGGGTTAGAGGTTGCTTTGCTGGGGACGCTTTTGGATTTCGACAAGCCGCTTCGCTGTCTCAGTGTTGTTGTCACAAGCAGAGCGGCTTCTCGTCGGCAAAGTTCATGGGGGCGGGGTTGACAGGGGCTTCAGTCGCAGGTACATAGAAAGGTTCCATAAAGTCGTTCTTATTCGTGCATTCCCTTCAGCAAAGAGGCAGGCATTGATGAATTCTGAAACTGCAAACCCCAGGCTGCGGGGTTCTAAGGATGTTTCAGTTTTTCTGTGCGGCCAGAATTATTTTCAGGATTCCAATATTGTCGAAGGTCCATACACTAGGCTCCTTCACTTTCCGTAACTTCCACATGTGTCCTGCGGCCCCAGCAAGCAGCCAGACGATACCGGAGAGGGTGACAGCTGAAACCAACAGGGAGGCCTCGGAAGAACATCACGAGTTCGACCAGGGGCTCAAGGGTCCAGGCTCTCCAGGCTTAGATTTAGGGCTCAGGTTTCGGATGTTGAATGTTGTCATGTGAACATTACAGCGGCTTCAAGGCTTCATGAAGCTACCCAGAAGCTCAACCCATTTAAATGAGGATTATACCTCAATCTCTATCGGGCTTGCAATTATGGTTTAAGGCTACGTAAAGTCTCGCTTAAGGAAAATGCCGTGTACTATATATATATATATACTGCTATTATGGCTTGAAGTCTCATTTAAGGAATGCACCTCGAACTATATAGGGTAACTATGGCTTAAGGTCCAATTGAATCAATGTACTTGAAACCATTTAGTCAGGGCTGGTTCTTCTGACTATACATGTTCTAGATTTTAAGCCACAACAACACTATGGATCAAGGCATATTTCTCTGTGCTGACGTCTTCTTGCCGGGTGGAAGGCACCCCGAAGCCGGCAGCCGATTTTACGATTCGGATCCGGATCTCGGCCCGGTAGTACAGGTAGAGGGCACTAGAGATCAGAAGAGTCGAGACTTGCGTAAACCTCTCCGCGCTGGTAGGCGAGATGGTTTCGAGACCAGAAAGCCCCCAAACTTCAACCCCGAAACCGCCAAAGCTCTCAGAGGATCTACGAATCTACCTGCGACCGGGGCACAGGTCGGAAAATCGAAAGCAGAAGTACCTCAGATGAGACGGTGGGAATTTTAGGGTTTCGGAACCTTTCACTTCTCAGGTCTAGAGATAGGCTTACAGTAGAAGCCCAAAAGTTGGAAACCCAATAGCCTCAATCCTGAAGAGTAAGGTATAGGGAATCCCAGCACTATTTGGCCTTAATCGGGCTTTCAACTTTATGGGGTTTGCTGTAGTTCTTTTCGGGCTTCGAGCTTTGGCTCTGGCGTCATGGTATGGCGGCAGCAAGCTGGGTGACTACAGCGATGATGGTCACTGTGACAGACCCCATTACCGTGATCGTCGTCACCGTCGTTTCCAATCCTCATCGCTATTATCACCAACTTGTCATACACGCTTCAGCTTCGCTGTCCATCTTCGCATGCCGCGATCGTACCGTCCTGCTCCAGCAGTCCCGGGGATGCGGCTGCAGCTGTAGCCACGACGAAGATGAACAAGTGCTCTCCGTAGGCTGAAAACCTGAAGGGGAGGTCACAGCTCAGAACTCAACTTCAAGGGATCATGAGGGGCACACGCGGTTCATTCAAAGACAAATCAAAGACAGAGCTTGCGAGGGGGGCGGCGAGCCTCTCTCCCCCGAGGGAGAGCGCGCCTTGCTGAAGCCTCGGAGTGCACAAAGAGGCAGATATGGAACAAACTTCAAAGAAGCAGCTCTCTGAATCAAGGCAACAGATCCTTCCGAAGCCCTGTGGCCCTGCGGCTTAAGTACCCATGATGCCGTGGAGTCCAAGTGGGGTGTAGAAGATGGGACCTCACCTCAAAGCCGCCCGGCTATAGATCAAAAAGTCCGAAGCCTCCGCAACTCAGGTCGCAAGCCCCGAACATCTTCAAATGCACCAACCAGACGAGCAAGACTCTAAAAACTCAGTCTGACTAGAAGCCTAAGCAAATTGGACTGCGATTTTGGGGCATACGATATAAGACAACAAAGCTTCTCCGGAAACCCTAACCGACACTACCACGCAATTTCACTCTTCGAACGCTGAAGTTACAACTGTTTCTCTAGTTCATTGTCGGGATAGGATGAAAAATGTACATTTTATTCCACATTGGGTTTCAGCACCCATAAAAATGTAAAATGTTACCCAACTATGACGAAGTTCTATCCCGTAGCTCGAAGCCAGGGCCCCCGAGCCCCGCATGAGACGTGACTCCCAGGAAGAAAACAGCCACCAAGAAGGCATGGCGGGCGACCTCCATTAAGGTTTCTTGGAAGCTTAGAGTTCTTAGGGTTTGGGGCTTAGGGTTTTAGGGTTTTAGGGTTTCAAACTCTTGGGTTGTAGTTTTCCAGCACCTCCCTTGGGTTTAGACCTAGGCTTCAGGGCTCTGGGCCTTGGGGCTTTAGTGTCGGAGGCCTCAAGGCGAAACCCAGACCTGAACTACTACTACTTCTGCTACTACTGCTTCTGCTACTACTACTACCACTACCACTACCACTACCACTACCACTACCACTACCACTACCACTACCACTACCACTACCACTACCACTACCACTACTACTACTACTACTACTACTACTACTACTACTACTACTACTACTACTACTACTACAGTACTACAGTACTACAGTACTACAGTACTACAGTACTACAGTACTACAGTACTACAGTACTACAGTACTACAGTACTACAGTACTACAGTACTGCAATACTACACTACTACACTACTACTACTACTACTACTACTACTACTACCTGTGGCACCGCATAACCTTGTATACGCGGCTGTGGCCCGTAGTCGGCCGTATTTGCCGAACAAAGCGTTCATGGGCGTATTTGCTCAAGGGGTCGCACACTTTGTAGCGCCCAGGCGCTCAGGGTACATCTTCGAGAATCTAAGGCACCGCAGTTGGAGAGCCTATATACTTTTGAAGCCTTTGCTACCACAGTTACAAGATGGAGCCTTCATGAGCCTTCGTGCTGCACTGTAAGGTACGATCGATAGTATAGCTTCGATCATCATTTTGTCCTGTCGTGTGCTGGGGTGAGCTCTCATGGCAACGGGGGCCATATCGCTCTTTTCGTTGAGCAAGTTCCGGTGGTGCGCCCTCCCAGCTGATGTGATAATTTGGTGCAGGCATGTCGTGGGAATCTGGTGGCAAGCGTTACGGTGTGTGCTGTGCATGGTGCAATCGAATCATGTGCATGCGCATGGCAAAAGAGGCTCAAACTGTGCTCAACGTGCGTTGGGGTTTTGACCTGTCGCTTGTCATGGCGGCCTTGCTTTTGGGGCTCTACGAGTACTGGCTGCAAGATCCTGAAGTGAAGCACAGGATCGCGGATAGCTCGATCCGCGATCTTGTGAAAACTGTTGATGGATCCCCGATTGCGTTGCAAGACAGAGCACACGCACTTCTGAACGTCGCTCTGATTAGACCTGTGCTGCAGCGAATGTCCGATTGCAAGACGCTGGTGGTCAACGATGTGGATGAGTTCGTAGTGCAAATCATCGTGTTATGCGCCAAGATATATGATCAAGAAGGCATTTCGGAGGATAATGCCATGGATGTTGAGTTTGAAGCTGGTGCTTACGATGAGCTCCGGGTTTTGGCGATGGGAATCAAGAGATGCGTCGCGTTCGTGCGCAAAGCCTTCATAAAGCAGCACCACCCCCAGGACGTATTTACAAAGCAGTTTCATGCCTGATGCCCATCACTCTGTCAATTGTCAACCATGTAAACTCCAACCGTCGCAGGACCCAAAGATGGAGGAGTTGCTTGCTATCTTTGGGCCCGCTGCCTCTTGGTTGCAACCCTCAAATTCCCAGCAGCTGCTCATCGATCTTTTTTCACTCGGAGCTCAGGTCGGCTATCGCGATGCTCCTGGCGCATCGGCGTTGCATCTCGACGACTACGACCCGGAGATAGCTGAGGACCCGCTGACCCCGAGAGGATTGCCGGTGGATCTAGTCGCTAGCAGAGAGCGTGCAGCTGGCAATGTTTTCGGGCCACCGCGATCAAATTCCGGAGAGGTAGGTCCACCCCTAAACATGGACGTGGCAGGCTACATCCCAGGAAATGAGTCGATGAACACGGGCTCCGGGCAGTCCTCAGGTCTGCGTGAGCCTCTTTCGGCTCCGCCAGCGGTGGAGCCGACTCCGTCCTGCGCAGGCTCTTGTTGGGAGATCAAGGATAGCGAGGATGAGGACACAGAGGCCGAGGTTCTTCAGATTCAAGAAGCTGTTTACGAAGCTCGGGCCCGTCTTCATCAGCTTCTTTTGAATGCAGGCGGCATCTAGGCAGCAACTTTCTGGGTGCAGGGGCCTCTTTGTTTTGCAGTTTTCTTGCAAGTGCAGTGCATGTGCTATGTCTTCTGAGATGCGCCCGCGGCCTCCGTTTCTGGGGAAGGTCCCCCTGATGCTCCGACGGCCAGCACCGACATGGACAACATGGAGACTCAGATGATGGAAGTGCCAACGCTTGACTTGCCGACTGGAACGGGTGTGATTCACCTGCAACTGCATGTGCCACTGTGTGTGTAACATGATGTAACATGTACGTTTGCACATGGAGCTCAACTAGCAGATCTAGGTTCTCACCCGCATGGAGCAGCATGACCTCAAGCAGAAGAAGAAGGAGAAAGCCGCTGCCAAGAAATCCGCTGCCAAGAAACCCAGTGCGAAGGCGGTGGATGATGCGGACATGCCGGGTGATACGGATGCTGCGGGTGCTGCAGACACAGAGTCACCTCAGAAGGTTAAGAAGAATCGCAAGGGCCGCAAAGGCAAGAAGCCTCGCAAAACGAAGGTTTCCCCGAAGCGGTCATTGCTGAGGCGGATGTCTCAGCACTCCTTCTCTGAGAGCCTTCCGGAGTCTTCTGAGACGGCGTCGCCACCTCGATCGATTCTCAAGCGCAGAAGCAGCCCTAACCCGAGCCCAGCCAGCAAGAAAAGCAAAGCCGTGCGCAACACCAAAGCAGCTGCCAAAGCCACTGAGCCCAAGCCGGCGAAGGACAAGACCGGCACCAAAGCTGCCACAGCAAGCAATGCAGGCAAATCGGCACCCAAACGCAAAGCCCCTGCCAAAGCCCCTGCCAAAGCCGACGAGCCCAAGTCTTCGGCAACGGAAAAGAACGGCGCGAAGCGAACCAGGGTCGGGCACTTTGCGCAGACATGCATGACATATCCGATGCATCACACTGTCCTCGGTGCACAAACTGCAACCTCAAACCAGGTTTGCTTCCAGCACGATGAGAACACGCAGCTGGTGAAGGATCTGATTGGCCACTTCAACTGGGAGCAGGGGAATGACACGGGATCTTTCAAGATTATCCCCTACTGGAGCCGTGGCGATATGGCTGTGTCGATGAAAGACTGCGAGAACAAGAAGCTGAATGCAGCTTGATGGTACAGTCTTATGTGCTGTGTCGCTTATAGGCATGCAGTCCTCATCGTCGGAGCCACGCCGAGTGTGATGTGACCTAGGTGATCTATCTAGTCGGGCTCTCGACCAATGAGCATGCCAGTTTGATGGTGGAGCTGTTGGTTTGGATGGCTCCATAGCTGCAAATAGATATCGTCCCCATCGGCTGCGGTGTTATATGTCCATGCTCTTGCTCTATATTGGCTGCACACATGAGGCAAAGCAAATCGGCAATGGCCATGACCCTTCGACTGTCACTGACAGCGTGCAGAGCCACAGAGCATTTTTCAGAGACGACCAGCCTCGAAAACCGATGCTGAAGAAGCTGCGAGCCTTGCTCAACAGCCAGCTGTGAGTAGGGGTGGCTTGCAAGGGCATCAGGGTTCGCAAGGGTCGGTTTTGATATGGCTTGAGGCAAAGTCTGCTTCCAGGCACAACCGCATTCAGAGAAGACCCTGCGAACCCTCGTATGCCAGGGCACATCGTTCTACGGGGCGATGTGATTATCACGCCTTAAAGTTTCAGCCTGGGGTCCTCTTGCATGCTGACACAGCTCAGCAGTTGTGGCAGCACACGCAGTCAGTGGAAATTGCAGCTCCCGCAAATACATGCCGAAGCGTCTCGTCTGCTTCCATGGACATGTTTGTCTAAACCCCTGAGTCGCATACGCTCCAGCAGGTATGTGGGCAGCCCGGCGGGGCTACCGAAGAAAGAAGCGTCTTCCTGGCCAAAGTTCTTCGCAGCAGCTTTGCACTTACTCTGTTGTGCGCTGGAGCCTTTCGCTCAAGTTTCGGAGTGGATGTCAGTGCTGCCACGTGTTCGCAATGCGGCTTTCTGAATCAGAGACGGATCGCATGGTGCAGAAGCTTGTGGCCATACAGTGCCCCAAGGCCGACCTGTGTTTACCTGTGTGTGTGTGTGTGTGTGTGTGTGTGTGTGTGCGCATGTGTTTTCGAGACAAAGACAGAAAGAGAGAGAAAGAGATAGAGAGAGAGGCAGACTGTGTGGGAGAAGAGGCAGACAGGGAGGGGCTGACGACTTTTGTGCGTGTGCAAGCGCATGACACAAAGCATTGCAGATCTTCATCTTCATCGTCTTAATGGTTTCGTGGCTGGACTTCACGCAGACCCCAGCCTCAGAGCCCTGGCGATCGTTTGTAGTCCGGCCTGCAGCCGCAAATTTGTGAATGCCGAGTCCTTTGCCAGCACATGCTATGCGAACTCAGGACTTTACGTGGATCGAGATGTTTGCTGGCTCCGGTGCGGCTACCAAAGCTGTCCAACAGCAAGGCTACAGGACTGCACACTTTGATTTGAAGGATGCTTCTGTGTATGGCTTGAACGAGCGTGGATCCGTCTTCGACATTTTGTCTCCGTCTGGATTCTCGAGTCTAGCCCGCAATCGTCGAATAACACTTGCGCTTGTACCGCATGGAGTGCCCCACTAGCCGTCACTAGCCCTCCTGTTCTGTCTCGCCGAGGTTACTGGTTATGGCAATTCTGGACGCCGATCCTCATGGCTTTGTTGTGTGGCTCGGTGTGCTATGTGCTTCCTGGTCCATAACAAGTCGCGGGACCAGTTTGCGAAGCTTCCTGAATCCAATCGGGCACGAGGGCTTACCGTTTGTGAGGGAAGGGAACATCATGGTCACCAGGACGGGCGGCTATCTGTTATGCTTCGTGTACACATGCACACCAAACCTGCAACACGCTGCTGCAAACCCGAGGACTTGTATGCTGATAGCCTTGGTTCTCGCAAGAAATGGAACCTATATAGTGGAGCAGCCTCGCCAATCGCTGCTCTACCGGCACCCCCGTTTCAGGTGGCTGT